TCGTTTCAAATTCTCTCACCTTAGGTTGACCGCTTACATATAAATACATCTTTAAGTTCTTATTTGCTAGTGTAAAAATTATATAGAGCTTATTTCTAAACAAAATAGTTTGGTAGGTTTTTTAGCATTATCAAGTGGAAAAACAAATACATCAGTCGCCGTTGTAGATTGCAATACATACAGTCTTAGTCGTAAATTAAACATCTAATTAATTGTCTTTTCCTATTTTCCCCCTCTCCTAAAGGATTCATATATAGCAATTTTAGGCTGGAATCTATTACATATATAACATTTTATTTTCTCAAAAACAAAAAACAATCGTTTATATACTCGCACAATATAGACATTTTACAATTATAACTAAACACATTCAAGCTTAAAACCGTTAAATTCCGTTTTGGAACTCACCTTGGGAGGACTGCAGAGAGCCCTACACTATAAGAACTTTTTTTCAGTGGTTTTATTCCAGACTTTTTTTTTTACCCGGGAGGGGGGGGGGAGAATTACAAAGGGGGGGGGGGGGGGAATATGTCTTAAAGTACAAAGTAGACTCGTGGACTTAGCAGCAATTTCAATTACGCTTGCAAACTGGAATTGAAGAAATTAGTACAAACTTTTGAGACGAAGGGGGCAAGTAAAATTTGATTTTGATGTCTACTTATAACGTGTATGCAATTGATAATAAATTAATATGTCACTTTTAATTAATTGTTTTTTATAGTTCTACATGTTTTAGTAATTAATGTTTGTGAATGGGGGCGATTTAATAAGTGTTGCCTCTTGCCTAGGGCGTTAATTAACCTGGCGTCGGCACTGTATAAGGCTTATACACATTTCAACTACCGCTGTTCACTAATCTAACTAAAATAATATTCATTTGCACAGGCATTTTTAATTACTAACTAATTAATCTATTACCTGGAAATTAAATAATTCAAAATTGGTTTTACAACTTACCAAGTGCTAGCTGCCTATTATACAATTCCGATTTACACAAGCTTATATGTCAGTAGCTTTTAGTCTTTTCGTGCAATGTAATAGGTTATACATAAAATATAATTTAAAATATAATGTAAACGGCTGGTTAACAATGTACGATGTGTATGAATGACTCCCGAGACGATAGACAACTCATCTAAGCGTCCTTACAGGCTCGCTGTTCTAAAAGTGCACCCGATAAGGTCTTGCTAAGTCCAGTGGTGTTCAAATCATGTGACTGGGGGGCCATGGGAAAATATTTCTTCACGGTGAGTGTGGGGGGGGGCGTTAATAGATTATCTAGCATAGACATTTGACATTTTTTATATCAAAGGCTGATCTAATATCCATAAACCACCGCAACTGTAAAATATGTTTTCAAGAACCACTATCTTCCTTCAGAACCCCCCCCCCCCCCCATCATAAGCCGCAGGTGTGGACTGGCCCGCCGGTCCACATGCAAAAATCCCGGTGGGCCCACGGGAACTGTGCTGTAATAGTCATATTAGTCTTTGGATTGATTTGTTATTGTGTTGGTACTTCTCCATTGCACTATTTCTATTCGTTAGGGACGTTATGATATCCGTAAAGTATTTTGTGGTTGTCGTGTGATTATAAAAGCAATGAAATGAAAAGACATCTTACATGGAGGAAAAAAATTATAAGAGTGTATGCCCCCTCTTCCCATACAATCAGTGGCGTAGCGAGGTTGGGTGTCACCCGGTGCGGCACTTAATGGTGTCACCCCACAGAGGCGTAGCGACCCTTCCCGGGGACAAACTTTCAAATTTTCTATTTGCACCCCCCCCTCAAACTTTCGATTTGCAACCCCCCCCCTCAAATGTTTCTATATATATTTTGCTATTTTTGCCTTGGTGTCACCCCCCTAAATGGTGTCACCCGGTGCGGTCCGCACCCCCCCCCCCCCGCCCCCCGCCCCTCGCTACGCCTCTGCATACAATAACACACAAAACAATAAATTAGGTACAGTCCCTGGGCATTAACAAACAGACCGACCTCACCCTAACACGCAGTATACAAAAGATCTCCAGAGACTGGTTTGAGAACCCATTTAGATCCCATGAGATGTTCGGGTAAAGCATTCTTTTGTTGGTAGGGTCTGTACAGGGAGATAACTGGACCATCGAAAAGTTTGAATTGTTTTCTCTTGCCCTGACCTTGATTCGAGGCTGAGTAAGAGTAGGCCTACTAAGACTATGTGAATTTATTAAACTATACAAATAGGCTACTAAACAATTTTTTTTTGTCTTGAAAAAATAAGGAATAAGAATGTAACAACAATATCTTATATCTTTATCATATTTATATTTTATATTTAAATTTATTACCAGTTTAAAATGGCGCTTTATGGCATACGAATAAAGAATCTACAATTTCACTATAATTATGCAATGAAATGGTTATCATTCTGTGTGTATTGTCAAGTGGAAAGGCGCGAGTTTGTATCCTGGTTCAAGTCAGTGGAACGTTCCTAAGTCCACCCAGCTCTGATGGGTGCCTAACTCACTTTAGGGGAAGTAAAGGCGGCTGGGCATAGTGTTGACCACACTGTCCTTTCAAGGTCACAGAAACAGGTGAGCTCTACTTCACTTACCCCAGGTTCGAAGAGGGAACCTTACTATGGTAAAATCATCATAAAATAAGTCAAACATATTAAAGATGTTCAATTTAAATAAAGAAGCAAATTGTACAAACTGACTCATATTGTTGAAACTAAACTGCAAGTAATTAAAAAGTTCCCTTTCAAACTTAAAGGTCGACCAGCTAAATCGTAAAGGGAAATAACTTTAACATTCTCTTTTTCAATACCTGATTAGTTTACTACCTGCAATATCAAGGGTTCGTTAAAAATTTATATGAATTTAATTTAGATAAAAATATATTACAGTGACGGTAAATTCTACATCCACTGTTAAGAGTGGAGGGGGGGGGGGGGAGTGAGAAGGGCTCAACATGTGAGGCCACTACACTGTTTCCTGTCTGGACATGCGCACTTCACCGTTTTTGTTTATCAGTTAGAGGGGGTCGTTGATGGTGAAATTTGAACATTCAATGGGACTGAAGTTTGACTGATGAGTGATGAAAGGGGCGGGGGTTGTGGCAATAGCACTTGGAGAAAATGTCTCTATAGTTGGGAAAAAGTACCTTCAAGGAAAAGTTTAAATTTTTCCATATATATATAAGTAAACACACACACACACACATATATATATATATATATATATATATATATATATATATATATATATATATATATATATATATATATATATATATATATATAGGCCTATATATATAAATAATATATATATATATATATATATATATATATATATATATATATATATATATATATATATATATATATATATAAAATTATAGCGCTAAATATTCCCATTATAACAGATAGAATTGTATTTAATGGTGAACTACCTTTAGGATTAAAAGGTTTGTCAAACTCTCAAACACATGAAGTAACATTGTATTACAGCCGCCTATATTTTTTATAGCGGCTGATAGATTAATTGATTTGCCATATATAATGTATCTGTGGTGTGGTGCTAGCATGTCGCCAACATTTCGGTCAAGGTAGGCCAACACCCCGACAACCCCTCACCCAGCACCCCTTCCCCCCTCCTTCTTTTATTGTGTTTCCATTGGTTGACAATAATGGAGAAATAAATACTAAAATACTAAAATACAACTGAATGCGAATGTGAATGCGAATGTTTAAACCAATTAAGAATTATAAATAATACAACCCAGCACTGTGTGGGTTTGCTTATATCAGTATAGTTTAACTGTACACAGGACCGCTATTCAAGAAATAAAAAGTGTTTTGTTTATAATGCTCAGCTTTTTATAAAAGGTAAAAGCTACAATAATTATTTACTGTATGTTGTACGAGTAACAATATACGTTTTTAAAAAAAAATTAAGAAAAATATTTTTTGTAAATATTTAAATTGTATTTTTAAGTAGGGGAAAGATGTAACCAATCGAATGTAGGTTTGTAAACACCTAAAGGGAAACAACTGAAGTTTACAGAAATTTAATTTTAGCAAAAAAAAAATGTCCTGTACAATTTTATGTATCCTTGAGTTTTTTGTCACAGCAATTAGTATAGATGCTGACCATATTAACTGTTTTACTTCAACGATATGAAGAAACGGTATTGTTGTTTTTAGCACATCAATATTGTGTTTGCAAAGTATCACTTAACTCTCTGTTTCACTAGCATCGACAATTATAAGGGGTCGTGGGGTCACATAAAAGCGCTGAATGGACTGAGTGACTTTACCCCAACAATAAATAAATGCATGATAACATTTTTATAAAACCATGTAAGTAACATATAAAACCATGGAAACAACATATAAAAACCATGTATGTAACATATAAAACCATGGAAATAACATATAAAAACCATGTATTTAGCATATAATACCATGGAAACAAGATATAAAAACCATGTATGTAACATACAAAAACCATGTATCTAGCATATAAAACCATGGAAACAAGATATAAAAACTATGTATGTAGCATATAAAACCATGGAAACAACATATAAAAACCAGGTATGTAACATAAAACCATGGAAACAGCATATAAAAACGATGGAATTAACATATAAAACTATGTAACATGAACTATTGAAGTAACATATGAAACCATGGACGTAAAGTATAAAAGCATGGAACTAACACATAAAACCATGGAAGTTGCATAAGGAAACATTAAAAGCGAGGTAAATTAAATTCAGTGGTGTAAAACTCGGATTGTACAATAGAGTGAAGTTTATGATTTTTTTACGTCTGTGATTATGCGTGAATGTAAAACTGCAATCGACCTTTACAGGATAACTAAACATAACGTTAAGTTTGTGACTGTTAGTCACATTGCCAATACGTGTGTAAAAAAAATAAAGATATAATCAATAAAACTAATGAGTTTAAGTTAAACACGTTAAACACGCGCAAATTTAAAAGGTTGTTTTTATAAAATAAGTGGGACACAAGACCAAAAAACTGTTGGTGGTGATTTGAATCTAAACTGTGAGTTTATTATTTGTCGTTTGTATCTCTATATATTTAGTTACAATAATTCCAGCTTTTCATCATCGTCATCATAATTTCCTGTTCATGCCCAAGATACATGCGGTAGATGAAGTAAAATTAATCTGCTTCATAGACCTCGGCATATGAAGGGATAGTATGGTCAACACTAAACCCAAGCGCCTTTGTTTCCTTAACGTAAGTTACGTAACCCACCAGAGCTGGGTGGATTCAGGGACGTTCCACTGTTAGGAACCCGGTAGCCTGGTAACCTACATTTTTCTTTATTCCTCAACAGGTAATATCAATGAAAATCACAGCTTTCTTCCTTTGTGTGCTATGTATTTCACAGCACTTTCATTTATCCGCGAGGTAGGTAGATCAAATCAACACAACTACTATACATTTTTTTTTAAATACAGTACTGGCCTGTGACTTTGAATGTTTAAATATGAATTGGTAATTTCTCTAAGCAACTTTTGGTATATTCAAAACCGATGTCAATTTCGTTTACAACTACGACATAAAAACATGTAGGTTATATAAACTTACATATACATATATATATATATATATATATATATATATATATATATATATATATATATATATATATATATATATGAGATTTCTATTGTTTCCTACAGCTGTGGATGCTCATACTCTGGAGACAATTGCTATTACGGTGGAAAACAATGCTGTAAACAATACACATGTTTTCTTAAAGACCCTGCCAAGTAAAACATACAATTTTCTATCTTTGCTATATGGAACCATTAGAGCAGTATAAACGGATTTCTAAGTGCTCGTATTTTGTCTTTTCAATTAATATAAACGAGCCGACCCGCGTCGTAAAGCCGCTATTTAGTTGTTTTATTTTCTACTCTTCAGTAATTCCTAATTTGTGAATTCGACAGTACCAATGCTGCCACTGAAAATATTTGCTTTAAAACACTATCAGATGGTCGCTTAGGACGTTACTCCCCTCCTTTCCCCCAACCATCCCCCCCCCTTGAAAGCAAACTCCTCCTCGTTACCTCCCCTAAGTTTAAAATCGTTTCAAACTACATTATCTGCCCCTAATATCCGTCACTAAACCCGGCTCTACGATTGTAAACATTTAGCGTGAACCACAGCTCACCAGACTTCCTAGAGAGGAAGAGAGGGGACTGCAAGGCGCGCTTACAGCTTGTTTTCTAACGTCTCCAAGAAGAGAATTATATATATAGATAGATAGATAGACTAAACAACAAAACCTTGGGTGGAGATTTTAAGATATATTAATGAAGAATATATATATATATATATATATATATATATATATATATATATATATATATATATATATATATATATATATATATATATATATAGTGGTGTTGTGGTGCTGGAGTAAGTGCATGTACACAGGTGTAGTTTTGGGTGTAGGTATGGATGTAAGTATGAGTGTGGGTATGAGTATGGGTGTAATAGCAGTTGCAGTTGTAGTTGTGTGTGTAATTTAAGGTTTATGTGTGGGTGTGGGAGTGTTTGTGGATATGGGTCAGGGTGTTGGTAAGAGCTAGGTTTAGGTTTAGGTGTAGATGTAGTGGATGTGTATGAGTGTGGTTGTTCTGATGGGTGTGAGTGTGAATGTGGGTTTGAGCATGGGTGTGGGTGTAGTTTTAGGTGTAGTGGGTGGTGGTGTGGGTGAGGTTGTAGGTTTAGATTTAAGTTTAGGTTTAGGTTTAGGTTTAGGTTTAGGTTTAGGTTTAGGTTTAGGTTTAGGTTTAGGTTTAGGTTTAGGTTTAGGTTTAGGTTTAGGTTTAGGTTTAGGTTTAGGTTTAGGTTTAGGTTTAGGTTTAGGTTTAGGTTTAGGTTTAGGTTTAGGTTTAGGTTTAGGTTTAAGTTTAGGTTTAGGTTTAGGTTTAGGTTTAGGTTTAGGTTTAGGTTTAGGTTTAGGTTTAGGTTTAGGTTTAGGTTTACGTTTACGTTTACGTTTACGTTTACGTTTACGTTTACGTTTACGTTCACGTTCACGTTCACGTTTACGTTTACGTTTATGTGTAGCTGTAGTGGGTGTGTATGAGTGTAGGTGTAGGTGTAGTTGTGGGCGTGGGCGTGGGTGTGGGTGTGGTTATGTGTGTGGGTGAAGGTGAAGGTGTAGTTGTAGTTGTAGGTATAGGAGCAGGTGCAGGTGCATGTATAGGCGCATGTGTAGAAGCATTTGCAGTTGCAGGTGTACCTATAATATTACTTTTTATTATCCTAATCCTTGAGTATATTAATTTGTGAGGTAAATTTAAATAAAAAAGATCGATTAATTTCATAATTAGATATAAATAACATCCATAGATATCGAAATGCGTAGGCCTATATGTTGTATTTCTCAACAGATCTCAAATGGAAGGAATATGCCTGAGTGGGGTAAGATGTATATTCGATACATTTTTTACCTATGTATTTATAAGCGTTTGTATCATGTATATATATATATATATATATATATATATATATATATATATATATATATATATATATATTATGACCAAAGCTCAAAATCGGCCAAAGTAGGAATAAGAAGCTCATTAGCAGATTAATTTAATTTAGTATACCGTAATACTAAATCACACACTTAGTCAAAGTGATGTGTTGATACCATTGTCCATGAAGATGTACTTTAAGGTGAACGTATAGCACATCCTGAATGACATAGTAGTTATGTTTAGATGTGCAGCGGTTCGTTTTGGTACTTGATTGTGCGGTTGTGTCGTGTGTAGCCTATATTCGCAGTCTGCGATGGCGGCGTAGGCGCGACGGTTCGTAGTTGTTTTTTTTCCCCCTCTAACACAATTAAGTATACGTGTCAGCCTGTTTTGTCCCATATAAGCCGTTGATTCCGATCCAATTCAGTTTGTATTTCTTTTTGGATTTGCTTTCATAGCCTTAGTCCAACCAAGAACAAATTACAAGGCAGCAGTTGTTTGATTTTTGGAGTTGTCTCTCCTAGAATAGTTGCTGCTCCCATCTGTCGAGTCTCATCTCCCCCAGTGTTTGAACTCGAGACTTTTCGGTTTAGCAACCATGAGCTTTACCGACTCGACCACGCTGAGGATGATCACCAAGTTGGGGGAAAAAATGAACAATGAAAATTTTAATCTTGGATTGGGGGGGGGGGCTCATTTAACATTTCCCAGGCCCCTTGGATACTACCAATCCACCTTTGCCAACGTGAGCGGTTTAACATGCAGGATGGGGAAACTTCCGGAACATCGATGGCTGGCAGAGGCGTAGCGACCCTTCCCGGCGCCCGGGGACAAATTTTTCGATTTGCACCCCGCCCCCCCCTCAAGATTTCGATTTTCAACCCCCACCCCCCCCCCACAAACTTTCGATTCGCACCCCCACCCCTCAAGATTTCGATTTGCACACCACCCCCGCCTCAAGATTTCGATTTTCAACCCCCCCCCCCCCTCAACCTTTCAATTTATTTTTCCAACCAATTTTGGCGCCCCCTAAGGTCGGCGCCCGGGGACTTATGTCCCCCCCCCGCCCCCTCGCTACGCTAGTTTAGTTTCTAGTTTTAAGAATCCGACCTCGACCTTCATCACAACTGAAAGTGCGCTTCTTTGATCACCGTGACCGCTGTCAGCTACTGGTATTCAGATGCGTACATTTTGTGGTGGAGAAGTGTACACGTGACACCAAGAGTCCACAAACCAGCATCTGCTGCTGACTTATCGTTCTTGTTTTAGTGTTTATTAAGACATGGTTTACAAGCACTTTGCCTTCATTTACGGTTCGTTTGCTTCATTCACAAATTGCTCAAATTGCTTTGACATCATTGCCTCATGATCCAGAAGAATGAGATGAACTACACTATTATTGAAAGATTCGATTAGATATGTCAAAACTGTTGCAATTAGGCAACTTATATCACCTGACGTCATCAGTGCATCAAATATTGGACGGGGTGTCTTCAGGGGATCGAATATTGGCCAGGGATATATATATATATATATATATATATATATATATATATATATATATATATATATATATATCACGTGGGGACGGGGCTGATGCCATTTCGCTAACCATATCTCTAATATATCCTTAAAATATCCCAATCCGTACATTTAATTGACCTGGGTAATGCGCAGGGAATATTTGACAGGGAGGACGGTGTCGGGTACTTAACACAGGGTATGTTATCCGGGGTGGGGGAGGGGGTGATGGGGGAAATTTACTTGAGCTTAATTGACAAGGGAGTGACGTCCTGAGTCCAACCAGCTCTGATGGGTAACTTACTCACGTTAGGTAAAGTAAAAAATGGCTTGGCATAATTCTGGATACATTATCCATTTCGTATGCCGCGGTCATTGAAACTGGTGAACTCTACTTCACCTGTCTCATGGTCAGTCAGGCTCGGGAGAGTACATTTCTGAAATGTGTAATGTCCAGCTCTCGTACAATCGTGTTAGTATAAATGTACACACATGTGTATGTGAATGTGTAAGCGGGTGTGTCAACATATGCCTTTGTATATTGGCCCTGTGTTTACGTGTACATGTATATAATGTAAGTGTAGTCTATATATCGAAATACGTTTATCGAGGGTATAGAGAACAAATGCAGTATGTCCACTTTTTTTGTCTAATCGATGTACATTTATACAAATACTGTCAATAATACAATCTACGCGTGGTCGAGTCGGCAAAGCTCATGGTTGATAAATTCGAAAAACTCTCGAGGTCAACCCCTCTGGCAGATAAGGTTCGATCCCTTCCAACAGTAAAAATTAAGAACGAAGAAGAAGAAACGAGCTACAAGAACACTCATGTACAATGTCAGAAAAGTAGAATGCAAGTATTTTATGAATGTTTAAACATAATATTTTGCACTATTTTAATATTGGAATGAGATTTATAAACTCATTTTTCTCGAGATTATGTTTTTTTGGACACACTACGTTTGTCCTCTAAACCCACGATATGTAGTTGTAAATTATATGTGTAGTTGCGATGTACTTACACAAAGACTTACAGATTTCTTTAAAAATCTAAACAGGAACGAGAATACAAGAAGTGGAAAGCTAAGGGGAGGTAACCGTGTATACTTTTGATATCCTGGTTACTAAAAGAAAATATTCTTGATGCAGCCCTGTATTAAATATTCATCAACAATAATAATAATAGTTGTCATTTTTGTGAATTAATAAATATGATATTAATTTGGATCCTCTTCGTTGTTTGTTGTTAGTGTTGGAAGGGATCCCCTAAAAACAATACGTTTCAACTGGTTATGCGCCATTGAGGCCATTGTCTCCCGATTTTTTAGCCCACTTTTTAGCGCAATTTCCATACTGGCAATTGCGATTATTAATTCGTTATTTCTGGATGGATGGATGGATGGATGGATGTGTGTCCGCAGCTTTAAGACGTATCTCCTCCTCAACGAAGCAATATCGAGGACTAGTTCCAAAAGCAAATATGTTAAGCAAGTTCCGAGGATGATTGTGGGCCAAAAAAAATTCCCGGAATTCCTTCCTGAATTTCCCGGAAAAGCCAAAAAACCTCGAAAAAATGCAGTTTTTGGCCCTTATCTCGGCAACCAGACCACTTAGCGACTTGAAACATTTACCAATCGATTCCTGCCATAATTTAGAAAGTTTTCAAAAATATCCTTTCGTTCGGTCACAAAAAATTAATTAAGGAAATTGCGCTTAAATTGTCACTAGACTTTTTATTAACTTGTTTTTTGGATTTGCTACAAGAAAGCAGCTGTTTGATTTTGGAGTTGTCTCTCCGAGAAGAGTGGCTGTTTGAACTCGAGAATTTTCGGTTTAGCAACCATGAGCTTTACCGACTCGACAACGAAAATCCCTTAATTTGGATAATTATTAAAAATATTTTTTTTTGCTTTGTGTTGTGTTAACGATCGACTGTTTAAGCCAGATATACTTCCTTATTCACACAACAGTTCTAAACAGTAGAAATTTTTTTTTGCGAAAACGGTATTTCTTGCGTGTAACCGCCCCCCCCCCCCCCCCCACCCTCCCACAAGCACGTCTTCAGTCCTCTATACACAAATATGTAGCCTAATTTATATACAAAATTTATACTTTAACCATTGTTCGCTATTTAATTTATGTGCAAAATTTATATTTTAACCATTGTTCGCCTCCCCCCCCCCCTTTCTTCCGGCATTTTTCATGTGCCCCCACGGAGAAAAAAAGTCTGAAAAACAAAATTGGTGTTAAACACAATCAAAGTCTACGTAAACTACCATTTTTATACCACCTACTTACCATTATAAAACAATGATTATCTAACCCTTCCCCTCGTATTATAGAATATGTACACAATCCTAAGCTTCTTACACCACTGCGTACCCCCCCCCCCCCCCCCACCAGACCATTACGCAAACAATAGACGTATTTCATTAAATACCTTTTTTTAAAAGAACGACATTGCGTGTGTTGAGTTTGAACACATCGATTGGTCAAGCATTAAACCAAATTACAATTTAGATAAAGGTTGAAATGAGATGTTAGTCAAGCTGTTAAATGCTTTAAAAAATGTTTTCGTTGACTTGTTCATCGCCTTATCCAACTGGTGAGATGTTTTTTGGGTTAATACGTCCACATAGATACAAGTAGATTTTTGTGTAGACGGCTAGACTGAGGGTGTAGGGTATGTTTGGGCACTATAAAGTTTCCTTTTCGAACCTGTCCATGGGGCAAGTGAAGTAGAGTTCATCTGTTTATGCAACCTCGGCAGATGAAGGGATAGTCAGCACTATGCCCAGCCGTCTTTACTTTCCCTAAAGTGAGTTGGGTACCCATCAGAGCTGGGTGGACTCAGGAATGACTTGAACCCTACTGATTCGAACTTGAGACTTTCGGGTAAGCAGCCCAGCGATCTAGGCCACGCTGCCCCATTGAGTAGACCCTACACATCAGTAATGGCATCGTTCCAGCCAACCGATAGGCTACAACATCGTAAAACATCAGTCATCGTGAGTACACAGTGTGTGCTAACATATGTAGGCCTATTCGTTGGTAAAAAAAAAACCAAAAAGCTTACAATAGTATTGTAACAAATATTTTGATTTCTAATGTTTTAGTCCAACCTGTTCTGGTCCACAATGTAAGCCTATTCGTTGGTTAAAAAAAAACCAAAAAGCTTACAATAGTATTGTAACAAATATTTTGATTTCTAATGTTTTAGTCTAATCTGTAATGGTCCACAATACTGTAAAATTGTTTTCTAATATTATGGTCCACATTATTTAAGTCCATAGTATTGTTACAAATATTTTGACTTCTAATGTTTTAGTCCAAGCTGTTCTGGTCCACAATGTAAGCCTATTCGTTGTTTAAAAAAAACAAAAAAAAATTTACAATAGTATTGTAACAAATATTTTGATTTCTAATGTTTTGGTCCAAACTGTAATGGTCCACAATACTGTAACAATTGTTTTCTAATATTATGGTCCACATTATTTAAGTCCAAAGTATTGTAACAAATATTTTGATTTCTAATGTTTTAGTCCAAACTGTAATGGTCCACAATACTGTAACAATTGTTTTCTAATATTATGGTCCACATTATTTAAGTCCAAAGTATTGTAACAAATATTTTGATTTCTAATGTTTTAGTCCAAGCTGTTATGGTCCACAATACTGTAAAAATTGTTTTGGCTAAATTTTCTGCACGATTCTAGGTCATAGGACAACACACAAAAAGATCACAACAAACCAATTTTCAGTTTTATTCAGCTCAACTTTTTTTATGCGTAAATAACAAGGCAAGTACACTTAGGAGACGTGACACTGTTGCATAATGGGACTCAACCTGCCCCATAATGCACTCTGTCTATTTATTTACATTATGCATCTCAATTTTATAAGTTGTTTTTTTTTTTAATTAATCACTATATTAAAAAAAAATGTGTGGGCTGTTTAAAGAAATTTAAAGATTTAATTTCTTATCCATAACTAAATTACGCAGATGCTTTTGTTAACTTTAAGGCATTTTTCTTTATGAATCTGTATAGAACAAATAAGGAACACTTCATCAGCAATGATGCAAACAAAAATGAATTATCTTAGGTAATAAGATGTTCAAAAAGATGTCACAATGTCATAGCTAAATTATAGAATTAAGAATCAATGTAAGGAAAAAAATTAGCTTTTTGTTAACAGAAAAACAGAAACAGTGAACACAATTTTACATCATTAATTAGATGCATTTCAAAAGTAGAGATAGCCTTATGCATGAACTATGGATATTAGCATATCTTTTAAAATATATTGTCAACAACCCATTGTTTACAATTATTTATTATCAATACATGTTTTTGAAAATTAGAAAGAGAACAAAAACCTAATCCCCTGTTGTTCTTTTGAAACATTTTTTATAAAGAATTTTACAATTACTAAATAAATCGAACTAAATTAAAAGTGAATTTCAATTTAATGAATCAAAATCTGACATCCTTAAATATGTGTGTTTACAGTAACAGCTATAACAAATTAATGAGCATGTACATCAAACTGTTATTCAAAAGCAAATATATATATACCATTACCTCTTACATATCAGCTTAAAAATATATATATATTTTAAACAAATTAAAGCTTTTTTTTATTATTTTTACATAAAGTTATGGTTTTTTAACGTGATATTATAATTAGGGTATTAAAAGCATTAAAAAATCTGCAGCGAGTTATTCAAATATTTGACACAACTTCGTTAAATTGAACACTTGGATATAAGAAAAACATTCAAATATTTACAAAACAGCTGTACTCCTCTTCGTAAGAACAACACTACAACGCAGACAAATGTCCTACACAATCATTTCCTCAAGGAACACACAATACGCTGGAGCTAAGTGAACAATTCCTGTAAGATCACTTTAAACTCATGAAGAAGCTGTTAAAAGTTTAAACTCAATTCAATCCAAATTGTTATGGTCCAGTACATTTGATTGAGTTTAATCAGATAAGATTTCGATGCTTTCTCCATGAAACATTGGTAGACTGTCAGTTTAAGATTTATCCATGGTCAGTTGATTTATAAGTCAGGAAGATTTATCTGTGGTCAGTTGATATATAAGACAGGAAGATTTATCCGTGGTATGTTGATATATAAGACAGGAAGATTTATCCATGGTCAGTTGATAGATCAGACAGGAAGATTTATCCGTGGTCAGTTGATATATAAGACAGGAAGATTACAGCTCCCCCGGCTTGACCAGCCCAGCCATGTCTCGTTCATCATCGTCAGTGTTGGGGTCCAGTGCCCTGGGTGGGAATCTGAAATCTTTGGGCTGTGGGGGTGAGGACTGTGGGGGTGAGGACTGTGGGGGGGGGATCTTCCCTGCCGAGCCTCTGACTGTGTCCCCAGGGTCTGTGCTGGACTCGTAGTGAGGCCCATGGAAGGGGAGGATGATGGACTCCACGGGTTGGCCGTGAAGGTTGTCGTACACAGGGTTGGTGAAGTTGTTGGGGCTGTCATCTGACGTCTGGGGAGAGAGGGATGGCATTTTTAACAAGTAAGTTTTAAAAGATTAACCTAAATTATTTAACACTATCATCTAAGGAAAAAAGGGTCTATTTTTTCAAGTAAATTTTAAAACACAAAACATTAGTACTTCTATAGAGAGAGTGAGTAGTTCTTAAAAGCTTAATGATTTGCCTTTTACAAAGGAAGAAAGGAAAAAACTTAGTTATTTCTAGGGAGAACACAGGGAAATGTCATGGTCTATATAAAATATGTTTGACATCCATACTAAGACGTAAAGCAAAAGATAAATGATTTGAAAATCCTTTTAAATATAAATATAATTTGTGAATTCCATCTTAATTGACGCACCATTACCTATAAGATTTAGCTTAAATAAAACATTTTTCATTTATCATTGCAAATTTCAATTTATAAAAACTTTCTTATGCTCTGTGTATACCAATAACTAAACATAAAATACATTTTCTGACTTGACTGCCCAGTTAGTTTTTGAAATACCATACAAAGTTTAACAGATGCAATATTTAATGTCATACAATGGGAATGTATGGTTTATTCCATACTCAGTCTATCAACATTTATATTAGTAGTAAATTGAAAAGATCTGAACAAATGTACGAATAGTTTTTCTCTTAGTCAACTTCAGCGTGGAATTTGTTTAAAAACAAAATGCCTTTTTACATTGGGTTACCCACATTAAATTTTTAAAGTTAATTTTCCCCAACAAGAAATGAGACAAATATACTTACAGATTCCATATAGGTTGGATCTTGGTTGTTATAAGTCATCTCAGGCACGCCCAGTTTGACCTTCCCCCCCTCTCTGAATGAAACAGTTGGCGAGGAGGGTTTGGACTTGGAAATCAGTTTTTTGAAGTTGAAGTCAACTCTTCAAAATAAAAAAGTGGTGAAAATTTGGTTTGGATCTTGAGAGTAGAGTTTTATTTAGGGTAGCTATAACATTATGGTGACTTACCCTCTACGTTTCAAGACAATGACAACGATGACTATAATCAGGATAGTGATGACGCCAACCACAATAGGAACAATTATTGCGATGTGATCTATGTATAAAAACAAAAGTTCATTAAACATCAATTAAAATTTTTAAAAATCGCTAATAGTGAACCCAATTTTATCAGTACCATCTCATAATTTGGGACTAAAATCCTAGGTAATTTTGTAGTGTGTTTTACTATAATCACTCACCTAGAAATAGTTCCAAACTGTCAGTTTATGAGTGTTAGGGTGAGTGAAATAAATTGTAATAAAATGCCAGATGGCAATGCCAAGAACATTTGACTGCAAGACTGACCTCTACTCACCCCATACCACAACACAGACCCCCAACACTGACCCCAACACTGACCCAAACACTGATCCCCAAACACTGACCCCAACACTGACCCAAACACTGACCCAAACACTGATCCCCAAACACTGACCCCAACACTGACCCAAACACTGACCCAACACTGACCCAACACTGACCCCAAACATTGACCCCAAACACACTGACCCCAAACACACTGACCCCAAACACTGACCCCAACACTGACCCAAACACTGACCCCAAACATTGACCCCAAACACTGACCCAACACTGACCCCAACACTGAACCCAACACTGACCCCAACACTGACCCCCAACACAACCCCAACACTGACTACCTCACCCACCTGGTACCACCCCCACCTTTACTCACCTTCCTCTGTTGTCCCCTCCTCCCCCTTATGTTCATGTGGTGATGGTGTCACACCTTCATCATTGTACTCACACAGCTCACCTGTGTAGCCTGTCACATTCACAAGGCAGATCAATGATTACATTAGTTTCACAATTACATCAGCAAGGCAGATTAATGATTACATAAGTTTCACAATTACGTCAGCAAGGCAGGTTACTGATTACATACGTTTCATAATTACATCAACAAGGCAGATTTCACAATCACAACAAGGGAGATTAATGATTACATTAGTTTTACAGTCACAAAAAGGGAGATCAACAATTACATTAGTTTCACAATCACAAGACTGATTAATGTTTACATTAGTCTCACAATTACAATAACAAATCAGATTAACAATTACATTAGTTCTATACACATCAATGAGAATATGGTTCAGCTAAGTAAATTTTGTTTTTGTAGACAAATTTCCTGAGGCTGATTTACACTCAGTGATTAGTCTGGCACTGTATGGTCATGGCTCTATTACCCCAGGTCAATTACAGGAACTCTAACCTATCTCTATTTAAAGGGGTAATATCCTGTTGTTTTTGGTTTTTGGGGAGGGGGAGTGAAAGAGATAATGTTTAAGGGAGGGGGGGGGGGGATGACCTGGGGATAATATTTGGAGGAGGGCAAGAATGATCAAATTGACAGGGGGTTAAATCCTGCTCATACAGGTACAATTAATTATGAATAATAAAACTCATTGACTACCTGCTGGGCATTTACAAGACACGACAACTTCATTCTCATTCACTTCACAGATGCCATTGTTCTGACATTTACATTCCTCTTTAGGCAGTGGCCTCTTTGGTTCAGTGAAAGCTATGGAATTGAGAAAAAAAAAACAGATTTTTCAAATGTCTTACAGTCTAGTTCAACCAGTCAGCTGTCTGATTCTTTATTGGCATTGGATGTCATGGTTGGTGGATAGAACACACAAGTGTAAACATGTAAGTCTCATGTTCAAGTTCTGGTCTTGAGTTTTTATCTGACTCGCATCAGGTTTACAGAAACAGGTGAACTCTATTTCTAATTCTCTTTTGACCATCATGGTTCAAAAGCATAATTTAACTTTTTTTTTTACTTCACTGTTTCATCCTAGTAATGAAGATTAATATTTGTTAAAAACTATGAACTTCTGGCAGTTATATCACTGATAGGTCATTCCAGTATCAAATCAAAGTGTTTTTATCTGCCACTACTGTTGTCTCAAGTCAGGTGTTAGAGCACTTGTCTGATAACCCAATGGTCTTGAGTTCAGATGTGTATGTGAGAACCAAAGCACAGAAGCAACTGATACACAATAATTAAACCATTCTCTAAGCCAGTTAGTCCAAGTTTGCTGTGTTGAGGCCTGCCTGGATAATATGATGTGAGAACCAAAGGACAGAAGCAACTGATCCACAATAATTAAACCATTCTCTAAGCCAGTTAGTCCAAGTTTGCTGTGTTGAGGCCTGCCTGGATAATATGATGTGAGAACCAAAGGACAGAAGCAACTGATCCACAATAATTAAACCATTCTCTAAGCCAGTTAGTCCAAGTTTGCTGTGTTGAGGCCTGCCTGGATAATATGATGTGAGAACCAAAGGACAGAAGCAACTGATCCACAATAATTAAACCATTCTCTTAGCCAGTTAGTCCAAGTTTGCTGTGTTGAGGCCTGCCTGGATAATGTGATGTGAGAACCAAAGGACAGAAGCAACTGATACACAATAATTAAACCATTCTCTAAGCCAGTTAGTCCAAGTTTGCTGTGTTGAGGCCTGCCTGGATAATATGATGTGAGAACCAAAGGACAGAAGCAACTGATCCACAATAATTAAACCATTCTCTAAGCCAGTTAGTCCAAGTTTGCTGTGTTGAGGCCTGCCTGGATAATATGATGTGAGAACCAAAGGACAGAAGCAACTGATCCACAATAATTAAACCATTCTCTAAGCCAGTTAGTCCAAGTTTGCTGTGTTGAGGCCTGCCTGGATAATGTGATGTGAGAACCAAAGGACAGAAGCAACTGATACACAATAATTAAACCATTCTCTAAGCCAGTTAGTCCAAGTTTGCTGTGTTGAGGCCTGCCTGGATAATATGATGTGAGAACCAAAGGACAGAAGCAACTGATCCACAATAATTAAACCATTCTCTAAGCCAGTTAGTCCAAGTTTGCTGTGTTGAGGCCTGCCTGGATAATATGATGTGAGAACCAAAGGACAGAAGCAACTGATCCACAATAATTAAACCATTCTCTAAGCCAGTTAGTCCAAGTTTGCTGTGTTGAGGCCTGCCTGGATAATGTGATGTGAGAACCAAAGGACAGAAGCAACTGATCCACAATAATTAAACCATTCTCTAAGCCAGTTAGTCCAAGTTTGCTGTGTTGAGGCCTGCCTGGATAATATGATGTGAGAACCAAAGGACAGAAGCAACTGATACACAATAATTAAACCATTCTCTAAGCCAGTTAGTCCAAGTTTGCTGTGTTGAGGCCTGCCTGGATAATATGATGTGAGAACCAAAGGACAGAAGCAACTGATCCACAATAATTAAACCATTGTCTAAGCCAGTTAGTCCAAGTTTGCTGTGTTGAGGCCTGCCTGGATAATGTGATGTGGGAACCAAAGGACAGAAGCAACTGATACACAATAATTAAACCATTCTCTAAGCCAGTTAGTCCAAGTTTGCTGTGTTGAGGCCTGCCTGGATAATATGATGTGAGAACCAAAGGACAGAAGCAACTGATCCACAATAATTAAACCATTCTCTAAGCCAGTTAGTCCAAGTTTGCTGTGTTGAGGCCTGCCTGGATAATATGATGTGAGAACCAAAGGACAGAAGCAACTGATCCACAATAATTAAACCATTGTCTAAGCCAGTTAGTCCAAGTTTGCTGTGTTGAGGCCTGCCTGGATAATGTGATGTGAGAACCAAAGGACAGAAGCAACTGATCCACAATAATTAAACCATTCTCTAAGCCAGTTAGTCCAAGTTTGCTGTGTTGAGGCCTGCCTGGATAATATGATGTGAGAACCAAAGGACAGAAGCAACTGATCCACAATAATTAAACCATTGTCTAAGCCAGTTAGTCCAAGTTTGCTGTGTTGAGGCCTGCCTGGATAATATGATGTGAGAACCAAAGGACAGAAGCAACTGATCCACAATAATTAAACCATTCTCTAAGCCAGTTAGTCCAAGTTTGCTGTGTTGAGGCCTGCCTGGATAATATGATGTGAGAACCAAAGGACAGAAGCAACTGATCCACAATAATTAAACCATTGTCTAAGCCAGTTAGTCCAAGTTTGCTGTGTTGAGGCCAGCCTGGATAATGTGAGACACCTCCACACTCAGTGATGTCCATAAAGAAAAAAGTATTGTACAGGTACCAAAATTTAAATAACTGAAGTAGATCTAGTTGTACCTTTTACTATTGTACAGGTACCAAAATTTAAATAACTGAAGTAGATCTAGTTGTACCTTTAAGTATTGTACAGGTACCAAAATTTAAATAACTGAGGTAGATCTAGTACTCATGTACTCACCTGCATCACAAGCAGTGTCGTTGGTGTCAGGTAAGAAGCTCGTCCCCTCAGGGCAGGCACACCTGGCCCCACCAGGTACAGTTAGACACAGGTGAGAGCAGGTCAGGTTTTTACAGCCTGACTTGACTGGGAAGACAAGTTTCCAGGGTTAGCAAAAAAAAAAATAAGTCCATAAAATTGTAGTTTATGATATTCAAAATTTGGAAACTGAAAGTGTTTGAAAGTGAAAGGAGTGCCAATAATTATAACTTAACGCGAGATGGCTGTCTTTTTTTGGGGTCAATGGAGGAGGGGGTTAAACCCCATCCCTCAGCTTATGCCATTGTCTGAACGTGATCAGTCAAGAGAGAGATGGGAGAAGCAGGATTTTCATTGAAGTTTGGGAATTACATGGTCGGGTGGCAGAGCTTACAACTGCTAACCCAAAGCCTTGAGTTTGAATCTTGGATTGAGTCTGTAGAATGTCCAACAGTCTACCCAGCTGTGATGTGTACCTGACCCTCGTTAGGGAAACTAAGACGGCTGGGTAAAGTGTTGACCACAATCTCTAGCTTTAAGCCAAGGCCATTGAAACAGTTGAACTCTACTTCATCTGCCCCCCATGTGTCTTGGGACATGAATGGAAAAAAAAATAGTATGATGAAGAATATAAAGTTCAGTAAAATGTAATCTGTATACGCTTGAAAGCCACTAAATATAAAGAAAAGAAAACAAAATACAGCCAAATGTCTACTAAAACAAATCTCACTGGATATGTTGTATCTGTTGATGTGGAAGACTTTGAGATTCTTGGGTAGCTGCAGGCCTGTCTGGATGGTCCTGTTCTTCTCCCTGCCAAACTTGTCCATGCTAGCCAACTGACCAAGGCTCTCAGACAGCCAGTACATCTGGCCTTCAAATAGGTCAATGGACACTGGGTTGTAGGCAGCTAAAAATAGAATAAGGGGACAGCAGTCAGATAAAAAAAAAATGTTACATCACACAACTTGGCTGTGTGTGGGTGGTGGGAGGGGTGAGGGAGAAGGGACTGTTCAATATAGGGGATAAATATGGTCCTGTGCCAGTTACTGCAACAAGCTTGGGCAAAAACTCATTGGGATTTAAGTTAGCAAGTGGACTTATTTCGATAAATACAGGTACACTAATACATCAAATTTCATTGGACCCAGGTCTAGCAGTAACAATAACTCTCTCTCTGAGCCATCTTGTTTCATGGACAACAAACCCACCTCTAGTAGTAACAACAAACCAGAGGCGTAGCGAAGGGGGGGCGGGGGGGGGGGGGGGGTACAAATGTCCCCGGGCGTCGACCTTTGGGGGTGCCAAAATGGGTTTGAAAAACAAATTAAAGTCTCATTTTAGCTGCATTTTTTCATTATAAATATAAAAAATATAGGGGGGGGGGTGGAAATTGAAAGTTTGAGGGGGGTGCAAATTGAAAGGTTGCTCCCGAGGGTGAGGGGGGCGCCAAATTGACAGTTTGTCCCCGGGCGCCGGGATGGGTCGCTACGCCTCTGCAACAAACCCACCTCTAGTAGTAACAACAAGCCCACCTCTAGTAGTAAAAACAAGCCCACCTCTAGTAGTAGCAACAAGCCCACCTCTAGTAGTAACAAGCCCACCCCTAGTAGTAACAACAAGCCCACCTCTAGTAGTAACAACAATCCCAACTCTAGTAGTAACAACAAACCCAACTCTAGTAGTAACAACAAACCCACCTCCAACAATAAAACTTACCTCTCTCAACAAACCAAACTTAACTCATAGACAACAAACAAGCCCCTCACTAGCAGTACAACTTACCTCTAGCAGTAACAATAACTCTATCAGAACCATCAGGTTTCATGGACTCGATCAGATTCTCTTTACTGTCACACCAGTAGACTCTACCCCCCATGTAGAAGTCTATAGCCAGGCCTGATGGGTAGCCCAGTTTAGTGTCCACTAGCACAGCTCTGTTTTCACCATTCATCCACGCCCTCTCTATACGAGGCTGGAGGACATCCGCATCCGTCCAGTACATGTAGCTGAGGGGGAACATTTTTGGTGGGGTTTAAAGGGTTAAATAGTCTAGTACATGTAGCTGAGAGAAATATTTTTGGTGGGGTTTAAAGGGTTAAATGGTCTAGTACATGTAGCTGAGAGAAATATTTTTGGTGGGGTTTAAAGGGTTAAATGGTCTAGTACATGTAGCTGAGAGAAATATTTTTGGTGGGGTTTAAAGGGTTAAATGGTCTAGTACATGTAGCTGAGAAAAAGTTTTTTGTTGAGAGCTAATGGACTGAGGGACATTCTATGGACTTGAACCCAGATTCAAATTTGAAACTTTCGGGGTTAGCAGTCATATGCTCTACCATTTGACCACTCTATCACATAATATTGTCATTTGCAATAGCACAGATTACTTTTAAATTAATTTAAAATAACTTCATACTTTTACATGAAAACCTTCACGGCATAGTAAGTTCTTGTCAAACAAAATTGTTGCAAAAATAGAAAAAACACTGACTATATTTATATTGAAAAGGGCATCTTTATAAAATGGAAGTAACATATCCTCAACCTTAACCCTTGCCCAAATCCTAACCTTTTAACACTAGCTCTACTAAAGAAAACATCATTCTAAATCAAGATTTGTGAGTGTAAAAAAACAACAGCTATGCAATTTGTTTAGTGTGTGCTTTCTTTATTTTTGTATACAGTCCCTACACACTGCAGTTGGGCTAGGAAATAAAAATGCTGGATAAATTATGGAACAATGTTCTTTATTTAGATATTTCACAAGCACTACAATTGACCTACCCCAAACCTGGATGTACAGCAATGGCCAAAGGATATTTCAAATTTTTGATCAGAGTCAGCTGATAGTGTCCGTCTTCGTTCACCACAGATATTTTCTTGCTCTCATAGTCTGTCCAGTAGATATTCCTGGTGTAGATGACAAGGCAAAATTAAGTAAAAATAGATTAACCACAGATATTTTATTTCTCACATAGTCCAGTAGATATTCCTTTATAGACAGGACAGATATACATAAAAATAATTTAACAGTTTAAGTTGTATTCTTTAGGATAGTATTATTATTGTTTCTTTCTCTCAATCATCATCTAATAATCTATCCTAATTCAGGAAAAAAGATATCTTCTCATAGTTGGTATTATTATAGAATGAAAAACAGAAATGGGGGTCTATGTAATATCAATAAAGGCAATGCAACACTTCAAATAATGAAATATTCATGCATTTTAATTACAGATTTAATCAAACTAATTAGGAAATTTAAAAATGTGTTTTTTTCAGTTGAAACTGAATTCAAACAGGTCTATTTCACTGCAATAAAATAAAAGTGGAGTTAACACCTGTTTATGTCATTGTATGAATATGTATAAGTTATAGCAAAAATCATTATTAAATTTATTTGACTGCCCTTTCCAAGCAAGATCAAACCAGCCTTCAACATACTCCCCTTCACTTGTTCAAACTAGTAGCCACATAGAGAAGAATTTACTTCCACACATGATAAAGACTATCTGAATCACTTCAAGGCCAGTTAATGGTTATCCCACACACTACAGTTTCTTCTATGGGATTTTGGTGATGCAAGTTCATTTAGTATTCTGATTATTTATTTTTTATGTATCCATTGATTAAGGAAACCAGGGACTCTGTGGTCTAGAGGGAGAGAATGTGTTTGCTAACCCAAAATTCTCTAGTTCAGACCCATGGTCACATGAGGCTCTTTAGGGACAGCAACCTATCTAGCAGAGACAAACTCCAAAATCAAACAACTGCTGCCTTGTACATGATCATCTTATAATAGCTATGGGTGCTAATCCAGAAAGAAAAGCAGGCTGAAGTCAAGAGTCAACTAGCCAAATTTGTTTTTGGTGCATACATGTTGACATGTAATATTTTATCAGATGAGCTCCACTCAAACATTAAAATCTAGTACAAAGAAGAATATCCAGATATAAAAAAAATTTACTTGGCTGCCCAATCTAGGCTGAGACCCCCAGGGTGGCTGGAGCCATAGATCTCCAGATCCTGAGCCACAGCTTTCTTCTTCTCATCTTTGGGCACAGAGGCTCTGTAAGGGATGAAAGGAGAATTTTTAAAAGTCTAATTCTATTATCCAAAACATCAAAATTTTATCAAGTAAATCAAAGGCCATTTCTTGTCTCATGTGGATGATTAACAACAAAAAATGTTTTTAAAGATTTTAAAATAAAACAAAACTGACCTGAAGATCTTGCCCTGGTTTGTGTCTGACCAGTAGACTAGCCGGCGGTCAGCGTCAATGTCAATGCCAGCTGACCGCACCCCAGAGATGACTTCAGTAGCATAATCTTTGCTCTTGGTGCGATACTGGCGGATCTCATCTCCCATGGTGAATAATATAACATAGGTGCTCTCTATGGGCAAGTTGTATAGTTAAAATATAAGCCACAGTTGTGCCATACTACAAAATAATTTAACATAGATTATATGTGAACTATACAGGCTATAGAATTGTCAGACCATAGAATATAGACATAAGTACTATAGCTTCCGAGACAAATAAAAGTTTTGAAAATACTATTTTCATAACATCCCTTTATAATAGATAATTTATTGAGCAAATAATACATATTGCAAAACTTCTTTTAGGAGAATTAACAATCATTTTTAAAAGATACAAGCTTTAACAAAATAATATTACATGATGTGTTCAAATTAAAAAAATTATGAAAAACAGTACTGCATCCGAAACTTGCTGAAGTGATTTATGAAATAATAAATTTGGCTTCTTAGAACTGAAACAAACAAAAACCTGGCCAACAGAACAAACCTTCAGATCTACACTCCTGTCCTTTGTTCTGCGGATCAAGAAACCCTTTGTGACATTTACACTTGTGTGAGCCCTTCACATTGAGACAGTCTTGAGGGCAGTGGTTGCCCCAGCTTTCACATTCATTCACATCTGATGATGAGATAATGAGGTATAGTTTTTTATCTCACATTCACATCTGATGATGAGATAATGAGTTATAGTTTTTTTTATCTCACATTACATATGGTGATGAGATAATGAGGTATAGGTTTTTTTTATCTCACATTACAGCTGATGATGAGATAAATAGGTATAGTTTTTATCTCACATTACATATGATAAGATAATTTTTTATCTCACATCACATCTGATGATGAGATAAGGTATAGTTTTTATCTCACATTACAGTAATTACTTATTTTAGTATAGTTTTAATGTCACATTATATCTGATAATAAGATAATTAGGTATGCCTATAGTTTTTTATGTCACATTAAATATGATAGTATAGTTTTTAATGTAACATTACATCTGATATTAAGATAATGAGGTCTAGTTTTTGATAATGAGGTCTAGTTTTTAATGTCACATTCCATCTGATGATAAAGGGCCTAGGTATATCACTCATAAAAACAAATATGTGACCACATCTAATTAACTAGCACTTGTATAAAAAAAATGTGTTTACCTTCACATTCCTTCTTGTTGCCCTGGGCAACACGGAAGCCAGTAGCACAGGAACAGTAGTAGGAGTCAAGGGACAGGTCAGTACAGTTGTGTTCACAGCCTCCATTGTTGTCATCACACTTCAGGCCAGTGGCTTTGTCTGAAACAACATTTCAACAAACTCAGTTCTACACTTTGGTGGTATTTACAGGTGGCTTTGTCTGAAACAACATTTCAACAAACTTAGTTCTACACTTTGGTGGTATTACAGGTGGCTTTGTCTGAAACAACATTTCAACAAACTTAGTTCTACACTTTGGTGGTATTACAGGTGGCTTTGTCTGAAACAACATTTCAACAAACTTAGTTCTACACTTTGGTGGTATTTAAAGGTGGCTTTGTCTGAAACAACATTTCAACAAACTTAGTTCTACACTTTGGTGGTATTTACAGGTGGCTTTGTCTGAAACAACATTTCAACAAACTTAGTTCTACACTTTGGTGGTATTTACAGGTGGCTTTGTCTGAAACAACATTTCAACAAACTTAGTTCTACACTTTGGTGGTATTACAGGTGGCTTTGTCTGAAACAACATTTCAACAAACTTAGTTCTACACTTTGGTGGTATTACAGGTGGCTTTGTCTGAAACAACATTTCAACAAACTTAGTTCTACACTTTGGTGGTATTTACAGGTGGCTTTGTCTGAAACAACATTTCAACAAACTTAGTTCTACACTTTGGTGGTATTTACAGGTGGCTTTGTCTGAAACAACATTTCAACAAACTTAGTTCTACACTTTGGTGGTATTTACAGGTGGCTTTGTCTGAAACAACATTTCAACAAACTTAGTTCTACACTTTGGTGGTATTTACAGGTGGCTTTGTCTGAAACAACATTTCAACAAACTTAGTTCTGCACCTTGTTGGTATTAAAAATAGTTTAAGAATTTTTTAAAATAAATATTCGTTAGCATATTAATTGGCATGCTGGAGGGGATGGCGTGAAATAGTCAAGCACACTACTGCTAACTAAAAAGTCTCAAGTTTGATTCCCATACTCAAGTCTGTATGACATTCCAGAGTCTACCCAGCTCTGTTGGGTACCTTATTGGAATTGGGGAATATAGTGTGGTCGCCACTTTGCCCAGCCACCTTCACTACTTTCCCTAATGTGAGTTGGTACCCATCAGACCTGGGTGGACTCACGTCTCAGGGACATTCTAATGACCGGAACCTGGAATTTAACTTATAGACCTTGGTTTAGCAGTTTAACAGACTTGATTATCCTAATACTTTTACTAATCTTATCCCTGACTATGTTTGGAGATGATTATTAATAGAAATCAATTTGTTTATATATCGGAGATCTTGACCTTCAATTTAACTTAGTTTAAGGCCTAGAGAATTTCTCCAACACAAAGACACCATTCCAAGTTCAATTATTGCCAGTTTATTTTTATATGTACATTCAATTTACTCCTATTATGAATTCCACAGTCTTACACATTACTTCTACTATCTGAATGACAAACTAAAGTTTCTACAACAATATATTCCTCTACTATAAATTAACTAATCCATGCTTCCAGTTCAGCTGCTTGCTACGCTATCCATGTCCAACTGGTTGCTATATGTTTGAGTCTCAGACTGATGCAATCTCTAACTTACTCCTTATGCTTGGTTGACCAACTGACCATCACACATGACTGGTCATCTCATTTCTCATAGGTTGGCTATTATTAACCTCTCTATTTAACCTCTTTCTAAATATATCTAAGTTTGCGTCATCACACTGACATAGTAACTCCATTTTTTTTTATCCTGCTTCTGTTGATTTGTCAATTGGAATGATTCAATTTTCTTAACAAAGGTCTGGCAGAGCCCCAATCCTGACCCTAGCCTTGCCCTAACAGAGGTACCAGCTAAAGTAAAACCAATCAAAACTTACGGCATCCGTTTTCATCAGAAAAGTCAGCACAATCAGCATAGTTGTCACAGACCTTCCCACCATTGATACAGAAACCATCTGCGCACTTGAATTCATCAGGTTCACACTCTTTCTTCTTGCTGTCACCTGTAGAAAAAATACAATTGTTGTCGGTAATTTTTAAATAATAATTCAAGTTTTCTTTTTCCACGCATTACCTGTAGAAAAATCATACCACGGTTATTTTTAATTTAAAATGTTTTTTTAAATTTCTTCATGGTATCAGCTCAGCAGAGGTGAATGGAGCATCCGTCAAATGGTATTTGAAAGAAAGTGCTAGGTAAAATGTGCAAAATTAATAGTTCCCCCTGGGCGCTGGAATGTGTTGCTATGCCTCTGATGATAGTCATACAATAATACTTTACTATTGTTTCAAATGCCTGAATATCAGCCGCTAGGAATGGACCATTTTCAAACCTGACGACCCATGGGGCAAGTGAAGAAGACTTCACCTTTTTCTGTGACCATGGCATAGGAAGGGATATTGTGGTCTGCGCTATGTTCAGCTAGCTTTACTTTCCCTAACGTTAGTTGGGTACCCATCAGAGCTGTTGGACTCAGGAACATTGATTTGAACCCGGATTCGAACTCGATACTTTCGGGTTAGCAGCCAAGCACTCTACCAATAGGCCACACTGGCTAGGAATGAAATGGATTATTTCTTAGATCTAGTGATCCATCCCACTTACAGTTATCCTCGTCGGAATTATCCCCGCAGTTGTCAACGCCATCACAGCGGCGCCACCTAGGGACGCACTTGAAATTGTTACACAAGTAACGGTCAGGGCCGGTGCAGTCAATGCTCTTACACACACTGGTGCTTTCATCTGAGTCATCTCCGCAGTCGTTGTCTCCATCACATCTCCACAACAGCGGGATACAAATCTGAACATTAGAAAGTTTTAAATAAATGGTTTAAGTAATTCTAGGTGTCAAGTCTAGTTTCAGGATATACTGTTCAGATAAATGGTATGTGTTTCTGAGACCGCTTAAGGTCTTTTGTGGTCAGTATTATATCCTCATAGCTTTACCTTTCCTGAGAGTGGTCTGATACACTTCACAATAGGGCTGGTAAGTAGGTCACCAACCAGTTCTACGTCTCAATAAAACCTGCATGAGCCGTAGAACTGGTTGGTGACCTACTAACCAGCCATATTGTTTGGACTAAGGATAGAACATCAAACTCATGGCTCTTAAGTTAATAATAGTGTGCTTTATATACTAACTGAGCTCTACATTTCATTTTACCAGATGTATTCAACACAAAGTTTATATTCAATTTTCATGATCATAGATTTTTTCACATTGGTTCATACATTTATACTTGTTACAAGATTTGAACATAGAAACTTGTGACTTATAAGACATTTTATCATTTATAGGATTTTTTAACAGTAAAACTTGTCACAGATTTTTCTAACATAGAAACTTGTGACTAAAGGTTTAACCTTGAAACATGTGACTTACATGATTTTTTCAACATTTTAACCAGTGACTTACATGATTTTTACATTCAAACTGTGACGCTGGACAAAAATTGCCATTAGGATATTTGGCGGTACAGTTCCTCTCATCAGAAGCATCTCTACAATCACGATGACCATCACAGACATTGGATTTACTCGTGCAGTGTCCACTGGCACATGAGAACTCATCTACTGTACATTTGTGGTAATCTAAAAAAACACAGACGAAATTATATATAAGTAGTCTAAAAATTTATACTCAGAACTTTAATTAAAGTATTCTGAAAAAATAAAGTGGAAATTATTTAAAAATATACACTCATAATTACAATTATACTACCTAAAAAACAGCCAAAATAATATACAAGTAATCTTAACAAAATAGAGTCAAAATTATAATTAGATTACATAAAAATCAACCAAAATCACATATAAGTAATCTAAACAAAATACAGTCACAATTATAATTACATTAACTAAAGAAACATAGCCAATATTAAATATAAGTAATCTAAACGAAATACAGTAAAAATTATAATCAAACATTTCTGCTTGATGCTGTGTAGAGTAGTGTGTTATAGCCCAGTGACTCACACTACAGTACAGGAGCATTCAAGCAATATCTATGTCTGTATGGTAAAACCTAAAAATATTACTTTATTTAAACATTTTGCAATTTAACTATATTAGAAATAGCTACATTTTTTAAAAAGAAAGTAATAACTTCTACAGTTATTATGCATTTTACATATGTACATGTTGGGATATTAGGATAAAGAAGTTAACAGAATACTGGTCTCTCTTGAATAGAGTGTGAAGTGTTTTAAAGAAATGATGTCCCAATAATTTTCTAGGCTATGTTTTCCTAGCATTACATAGAGGGATCTCCTCTGTCCGTGTAAAATCATAATAGACTGTACTTTTTCATCAATCTAAACATAAATCTTATCACAATCCAAGCAGCTACATGTCAGTAATCAATACTTAATTTACTGGCTAGATTGTTTTTTAAAACTAACTATTGATTTCACATGAACCTTTTGATGATAAAGGCAAGTTGATTACAAGGGCTAATTTTAAATTATTTTTTTTTTTTACTTTTAGTAATTCCTTTAGATCTCTGATTATCTGTTTATTCAATAATAAGCAGTGATATTGTTTTAAATACCATGATTAATATTTATTGTATTTAATCATCCTGAATCAACATAAATTTGATACTTTTTGAGACAACTAAATGTATATAAGTATTAATTACAATTTATTTTTTTATGAAATTAGTATGCATCTAGTATTTGAATGAATAAAATACTATATTTTCTAATACTACAAGTATAGATAAAATAATTATTTTAGGCCACTTTTATGTAACCTAAATTTTAGAGCCATTACTTCCCCTTAACATTATCTTTTGAAAGATCTTCCCCTTAATATTAACTTAAGGTTTTTAACCCATATTATCCCAAGGTCTCAAATTTTTATAATTTTTTGATATGGTTTAGCTTTTGGGCACTGAATGAAGGAATGACTATGGATTTTTTTTTAAAATCAATACTTTTTTAAATATCGATTTTTTTAAAAACGTCCCATAAGTGGGACGCTAGCAACGAACGGCCCCATGTACATTTATTGAAAAATAAAATCATTTATCACGAAATATGGCTAATCACGAGAAAATTAAGCTGAATTTTGATTTTGCATTGTTAGACCAATGATTGCATTGTTTAGGACAGCTAAAAATACTGATAATGATCAATTGGGTTAGCCATACCATGGTCTAAAATGCAGAAATTATGTTCAAAAGTCTAGTTTGCTTTCAATCTAGCATCCATCAAAGTGAACAACACTTGGAAATAAGTAAAGCTGTGACTAGTACATCTAATTATACACACATGATCACAAATATTGTTATTATTCATCGAAACTGTAATATAATTAAATATAAATAATTGATTTTTTTTTTGGGGGGGGGGGCGTACTTGAAATTTTTAGGGAGGGACGAATTAAATTTCAGGGGAAGGGTGGACATTGGTAAAAGTATGTTTTGTATATAAATTCCATTTTGTTCTGGGGGCAGAGCCCCTCCCCTCCTCCGAAATGATGCCTGAAAGAAACTGCCCTCAGTGAATTTGCAAAAGATGATCCGGTCCAGTCCCAGATGTCATCTAGCCATCTTCTCTTTTGTTACTCTCGCTATTCCCCGCCCCCCCCCCCCCTCACAGGCGTACATTAGGACATCAGACATCTTAGTTCTAGGGCACGGATCCGTCTCTGGGGGCTTGTATTAAGTGTTCATGTCTCTCATCCATGTATGCACCTCACTATGCGAACAACTCCCAATCTAACACCAGGAATCTCCTTAAAAAGTTAACAAAGTAAAACTGGTATCAGGAACCTTTGGAGGGGAATATTATTGGGGCATGACAACTGTACACATCTAATTCACATTTCTGCTATATGTAGCTTGAGTTCTCTTATATGAAGAGAGTTAACCAACCCCCATGACTGAATCATTTCACCTAAATCGTGGCCATTGTTATTATTCTGGTTTGTTATAATTTTAATATCACGCGCTAGTAAATTTACAGCAATACTAAATTAGTTTGTATTCAATGGTATTAAATACTTCAGTAAGTGTAATTCTGAAAACTTAAAAATAAAATGTAAGTTTTTCAATATTTGCAATTTTTAAATACAATAATATATAAGAAAATATAGGTCAAGGTCATAATTAAATATCTATAAATACTACTTAACACCCCAAAGTCAACAGTTAACAAAGTTAACAATTGTTTCACCATAAACAACCATTTAACATAAATATTTGCATCTGTGTTTCTCGCTAGTGTCCAATAAATGTGACGTTTGTGTAACAATCTGCATAAATATAGGTCAAGGTCATAATTAAATATCTATAAATACTACTTAACACCCCAAAGTCAGCAGTTAACAAAGTCAACAATTGTTTCACCATAAATAACCATTTAACATAAACATTTGCATCTGTGTTTCTCGCTAGTGTCCAATAAATGTGACGTTTGTGTAACAATCTACATGGGGCCTTTCGTTGCTAGCGTCCCACATATGGGACGCTTGTTGTACACTTGATATAACGAAGTAGTAAAAAAAAAATGTTTTTCTTAAATTTTTATCAGATAGAAATATGGCACTGCTACAAGTTTCAAATGTATTTTGCACTTAAAATGTTAATATTTTAGAAGATATGCATTTTTCTGTGCGCATGTTTTCTTTTTTCCGCCATTTTGACAAGTCCTGCAAATCCGGCACTATAACATTTTTCTAAATTAATTTTTTTCACAAAACACACACAAATTCAATAGTCTAACCATTTTCAAACACAATGAAACATAATTTGTGTTTTAACTAGTTTTTAATAAATTTTAGCAATTTTTTTACAAGCGTCCCATAAGTGGGACGCTAGCAGAATATGGGTTAAAGCTATTACTTTACCTTTGCATAAGCTTTCTTTCTCATCAGAGGCATCACCACAGTCATCATCGTGATCACACTTGAAGCGTCCCTGTATGCACTTGTTGTTGGTACACCTGAACTCGGACTCTGAACACTTTCTGTAGCTGTCTCCTGTTCACACAAACATTATCATGTTAATGATGAGAGCTTTCTCTCCTTATAATAAATTTACATGTCTTGGTCCATCCCCAGCAATATTCCCTCTCATGTGCAATAGTGTGTGTGCAAAATATATTTTTGTGTTGTGCTTGCCAGCATATAGTATTGCCTTGCTAGCAAAACTAAGAAATAATCACAGCACTTATATAAAGAAAAAAAAAAGCTCTATTCCACCTGCACCACTGACAACCAGATCTCTTTCTTTGATTAGGATGAAAGTTTAAAGTTCAATTCCTTAAACATTTTTGATTATTAACCTCAGAAAAACATATAATAAATCACATACTGTAAACCTGACCATTAAAGACACATATAGTAGAAATTATGCTCGGAGATAAGCATTAAACTAGACATATATTAGATTGAATCTAGAACAGCACATCTGTCAAATCCCACCCCCCCCTCTCAAAAATCACCACTTTACTATTACCCCCCCCCCCTCCCCTTCCTTGGAAATGCTTTAAAGCTGAGTATTAAACAAGAACAGGATTCACTGAAAATTATTCCCCTCCCCTGGGTCATTACCCCTATGCCATTACCCCCCATCTAAGCATCAAACAAAACACAGAAGATCACATACTGCACTTTGTCTTATCCTCGTCCGAGTTATCCCCGCAGTCGTCATCAAAGTCACACATCCAGCGCTTGGGTATACAGCGCCGGTTCTGGCAGCGGAAGTCGCCGGTGGAGTGGCACACGGGGCAGTTCTCCTCCTTCTCGTCGGAGTTGTCGCGGCAGTCGTCCTCTCCATCACAGCGCGCCCAGTTGGGCACACACCTGTAGTTGGTCTCACACCGCCACCAGCCCACCTCACAGTCTCTTGTATCTGACAGAGGTACATTGATTTTTTTCTTTCGTTATTTAAATTTGATTTATGTTCATCTTTTTTACATGCTCAAACATACACCTTTTCACAATGTTTACTAGATTTATGGTCATTATTTTTTTACATGTTCAAACTAAAACAATTTTTTACTAGATTTGTGAAGTCTTTTTTTTTGTTTCGTTATTTTAATTTGATTTAGGTTCATTTTTTTAACATGCTCAAACATACACCTTTACACAATGTTTATTAGATTTATGGTCATTATTTTTTTACATGTTCAAACTAACACAATTTTTTACTAGATTTGTGAAGTCTCTTCACTGTTTTACATGTAAAAACATACACCTTTTCACAATATTTTCAATAGATGTATCTTTTTTATTTTAGCGCACGTTGTGTTCACCAGTTTTCCCAAGATTTTTAAACAATGTTTTATATGTTCACAAACCATTTTGATAATTTTCACAAGTAAAAGCATACTGCTTTTCACTTTAGATAAGATGCTTTTTAAAATAATGCACAGCTGTTGAGATTAGCTTTATTGAACAAATAATCATGTTCAACAAAAGAACTTATATTAATTCCACTTTCTGAAAACTTCTTCCTTATGAAAAAAAATTAGTAGATTTAATTTTCTTTTTTTTTTCATTTTTTTTAACAAAAATAAAAAATATACCTAACCAACAAATATATTAACAGCTATTAAATATTATCCGATTTAATATTAAAACAAAAATTCTGGACAAAAAGAAACAAATCTGATGAATCAAAGTCTTGTAAGGCTATTATTAGGATAGACCAAGAGAGGTAAGCAGCATGAACTCACCACATTTGAATTCTGGTTTTTCATCAGAGTTATCCCCACAGTCATTGTCAAAATCACATTTCCAGTTGGCTTGGATACAGTTGCCGTTGTCACATTGGAACTGGTTTGGTTTGCACGTTGTGTTGGCTACATGGTTGATTTTAAAAGTATTATTAACAATGAAACTAAATATTAAATAAAAAAAACAGCGAAGGGCAAAAAAGCATACAAGGATGTTTTGAATGGCCTAAGCTACACTGGGAGTTGAAAAAACAAAGTAGAGGATGAAGCATGATAAAAAGAAATTGTAATTATCAACTAATTTATTTTTTCATAATTAATAATTCAATAATGTATATTATAATTATCTATAAAAAAAAAAATTTTAAATAACATTTTTGTGATAATTCATACATCAATCCACACAAGAACATAACCTCTATATGAAGTTAGATATTTCCTTAGCCAGATTCTAAGAAAACTATCCAAATTTAAGTTAAAATCACTCTTAAAATTTGAACTAGGCACAGCAGGATGGAGGGTAAAATTATTTAATTTTTATAAAAATAAAAACAAATGGAACCCTCCACAATGGTGTGAATTGGTTAGTACGTAAAACTGATTCTAATCATTAAAAGGTGTATTTTAACACTGACTTCAATGGTGGTAACTGTTTAGGAATCAGATGAATAGTCCCTGAGTAATAATAGTTTTACAGATAAATTTATCCAAAATATCATTCTGGCATAATTAATGGCTACTTTTTAAGACAGCCAATGCAAGTATGTCTACTTTTAAGTTGTGTTTTTTTTCAACATAACTGCCAGTTAAAAATATTTAGAAATAAATAAATTCCTTCAACTGACATCAGAGACACAATGCTCATATACTTCCAGGTCTAGCTCAAAACAAAACAATTTATTCAGGCGTGGAATATCAGATATTTATATTTCTAAAAACATTGCATATATTAAAAAGCTGGATGCACAAACATCAGAAAGATCAAATTACCACAAAATTTTCTAGTCACATAATTCAAATTTTTAAAAACAACAATTTTTAAATTTTTTATATATTAAAAAGTCAGAGGCCCAGACATCAAGAGAGGTAACTCACTACAAAACTGCTCATCAGAATTGTCGCCGCAGTCGTCCTCCTTGTCACACATCCAGGCCTTGGGAACACACTTGCCATTTTTACAGCTCATCTGCCAGGGCTCACACACGTGCTTGTGGCAGCCTTCCTCGTCACTGCCGTCCCCACAGTCATCCTTCAGGTCACAGACTCGGAAGGAGAACGTGCAGTTCTTGTTCTTGCACTGGAACTGTCCGGGTGCACAGTGGATCAGGGCTAGAGAAACAAAAATTAGTAGGTGAAGTAGAGTTCATCTGTTTCTGTGAACTCAGCATACAAAGGGGTAGTGTTGTTGGCACTAGGGCAAAGCTGTTTTTACTTTCCCTAATGTGAGTCAGGTACTCCTTCAAGGCTCATGGGGCAGGTGAAGTAGAGTTCATCTGTTTCTATGAACTCAGCATACGAAGGGGTTGTGTTGTTGGCACTAGGGCAAAGCCGTTTTTACTTTCCCTAATGTGAGTCAGGTACTCCATCAAGGTTCATGGGGCAGGTGAAGTAGAGTTCATCTGTTTCTGTGAACTCAGCATACGAAGGGGTAGTGTTGTCTGCACTATGCACAGCCATTTCATTCCCCTAATGTGAGTCTGAGAGTCTGAATAGAGTAGTCAACTTTTCTTTGAATCAAATGTGTCAAAGTTTAAAAGATGACTTACGGCAGTCATCTGGCTCATCTGAGCCATCCCTGCAGTCTTTCTCTCCGTCACAGCGCCAGAGCCTGGGGATACACCTGTCATCAGAGCTGCCACACCTGGAAATTTAATCAGCACTTTTGTTAAGGTGTAATTAGTATTATACTACACCTGAAGGTTTAATCAGCACTTTTGTTAAGTAATTTTAATTATCAGTATTACATTACACCTTCAGATTTAATCAGCATTTTTGTTAAGGTATAATCAGTATTACATTACATCTGAAGATTTAATCTGCTCGTTGCTTAAGGTATTATCAGTATTATTACACATTCTAGATGCTAATTTTATTTAAATAAGATTTAATCAATATAAAAATACTTGTATGCTTTTGCTAATAAAACAGCCTTAATCTATTGCTTTGTACTCACCTAAACTGTGAGCTAGGCCCTAATGAATGTAGCTAGGCTAGAACCAAGGCGCTATGTACTCACCTAAACTGTGAACTCAAACACCTGGCCTCACACTATGTACTCACCTAAACTGTGAACTCAAACACCTGGCCTCACACTATGTACTCACCTAAACTGTGAACTCAAACACCTGGCCTCACACTATGTACTCACCTAAACTGTGAACTCAAACACCTGGCCTCACACTATGTACTCACCTAAACTGTGAACTCAAACACCTGGCCTCACACTATGTACTCACCTAAACTGTGAACTCAAACACCTGGCCTCACACTATGTACTCACCTAAACTGTGAACTCAAACACCTGGCCTCACACTATGTACTCACCTAAACTGTGAACTCAAACACCTGGCCTCACACTATGTACTCACCTAAACTGTGAACTCAAACACCTGGCCTCACACTATGTACTCACCTAAACTGTGAACTCAAACACCTGGCCTCACACTATGTACTCACCTAAACTGTGAACTCAAACACCTGGCCTCACACTATGTACTCACCTAAACTGTGAACTCAAACACCTGGCCTCACACTATGTACTCACCTAAACTGTGAACTCAAACACCTGGCCTCACACTATGTACTCACCTAAACTGTGAACTCAAACACCTGGCCTCACACTATGTACTCACCTAAACTGTGAACTCAAACACCTGGCCTCACACTATGTACTCACCTAAACTGTGAACTCAAACACCTGGCCTCACACTATGTACTCACCTAAACTGTGAACTCAAACACCTGGCCTCACACTATGTACTCACCTAAACTGTGAACTCAAACACCTGGCCTCACACTATGTACTCACCTAAACTGTGAACTCAAACACCTGGCCTCACACTATGTACTCACCTAAACTGTGAACTCAAACACCTGGCCTCACACTGCCGCTGGTCAGCCTTCAAGACAAAGTACTCAGGACAGGCACAGGTGTAGCTCTGTCCACCAGGTGAGGTCAAGCACAGATGGGAACATCCTCCGTTGTCTAGTCCACAGGGGTTATAACCTGGTCAAGAGAATTCACTCTAGATCAGTTCAGAGTTCAAAGGTTAAAAATATAGGGGCTAATATCTGGTCAAGAGGATTCACTAGATCATTTCAGAGTTCAAAGGTTAAAAGTAAAGGGGCTATAACCTGGTACAGAGGATTCGCTAGATCATTTCAGAGTTCAAAGGTTAAAAATATAGGGGCTAATATCTGGTCAAGAGGATTCACTAGATCATTTCAGAGTTCAAAGGTTAAAAGTATAGGGGCTATAACCTGGTACAGAGGATTCGCTAGATCATTTCAGAGTTCAAAGGTTAAAAATATAGGGGCTATTATCTGGTCAAGAGGATTCACTAGATCATTTCAGAGTTCAAATATAGAGGTTTAAACCTGGAGTGCAGGATTCGCTATATCATTTCAGAGTTCATATGTTGAAAATATGTTAAAAAATCAGTGGTATTGTCTGTCTTTGAAATTCTATCAATCAATTCATTTATAATTTTGTGAAAAGATTTTTATTAATTATGCCTGACACTGTCAACTGTGTAGAAAAATAATTTCTCTCAGTAGGCCTACTGTATTAATAATAGTTATAAGGACAGCTTGGTCGAACGGAAGAGCATACAACTAATAACCCAAAAGACTCAAGTTTGAATCCACATTAAAGTCCGTAGAAATTCATTAAGTCCACCCAGCTCTGATGGGTTCTTGACACATGTTTGGAAAAGTAAATGCAGCTGGGCATTGTTTTGACCATACCCTGCCCTTCATATGGCGAGGTCACCTATAGAGTTCACCTATTTCTGTGACCAAAGTATTTTAAGGGATGTTGTGCTCAGCTCTAAGCCCAAACCTTTTTTTTTTCTAGACATGAGTAAGGTACTCAAGTCTGGGATCTAAACTCGAGACTTTCAAGGTAGCAGTCGTTTGCTCGACCTCCCAGCCATCCCATCCCATAAACAAGCACCTTACAACTAACTGAATCTATCAGAAGGTGAAGGGGTCACTCAACAATAAAATTATGGGATGGCTTGGCCTGGACATAGAGCTCTAGACGGCTAACCCAAAAGTCTCGCGTTCAAATCCAAGTTCAAGTCAGTAGAATGTACCAGAGTCAGCCCAACTTTGATGGGTATCTAACTAACGTTAGAGAAAGTAAAAGTGGCTAGTACACAGAGTTTCTTCCAGGCATCTCTTCGGGGAGGCGAAGAAAGTCTACCGACCCCATAAATGAAATGGAATTTATATAGAAAATATATACTTTTAACAGTGTTCCCCCCCCCCCCCCGGAAATTTTAGTCCGCCCCCGACCCCAAAACACAGCTAGTACATAGTGCTGACTATGTTGTCCCTTCATATGCCTGGGTCACAGAAACAGGTAACTTTACTTGCCCCATGGACAGTCCGTCCCAAAAGGGAAACTTTACTCACAACGCTAAAACTCACCTGGCTTTTGTTTGAGTGGGTGGAAGACGTGGATGTCCATGGGCCTGTGGGTGACGTTCCAGACAATGGTGTGGTTCTCCCCGGTAAACTTGTTGGCCCTCTCTATGGTCAGGTGGTTCCAGTCCGTCCAGTACATGTAGTCCTCAAACAACGAGATGGCGAACGGGTGGGGTACACCTTCCAGCACTATATGGCGGTGCCTTCCATCCAGGCCAACATATCTTTTTATTGAAAACAAAAAGTTTGTGTTTACTTATATTCAATACACAGCATAAATAAACATTTAGTATTTATAAAATAAGAACTTTCTCTTCCAGACCAACCTATCTTTTTATTGAAAACAAAAAAGTTTGTTTTTACTTATATTTAATACACAGCATAAACAAACATTTGGTATTTATAAAATAAGAACTTTCTTTTCCAGACCAACATAACCCTTATAACAAAAATAGTATTTTTTTGCTTTAACAATTAGCATGAAAAAATATTTAGCATTTACAAAATGAGAACTTTCTTTCCAGACCAACATAACTTTTATTAGAAAAATAGCATTTTTTTACTTTAACAATTAGCATAAAAAAAATGTAGCATTTACAAATTTAGAATTTCTTTTGTTTAAAAATGTTATGGTACATGTCTATTTATTTGATAGTTAGCATAAAAAAAACTTTTAAACCAATAGATAAAAAATTCTGCAATACCTAAAAGTTCCTTTTTTCTATCACTTTAATAGCTAAAATTAAAAACGAATAATTGCAGAAAACCAAGATGACACCCCAATCATCCAAACTAAGACATCTTCTGTTGAAAAAATTTTTACCTACCTATATGATAGTTTTAAAAAAACAACTAAAAAACCAACATGACTTACTCAATGATATCCAAATGTGCATCTGCCCACCAGAGGCGGTCAGTTTCAAAATCAATGGTCAGAGCATTTGGCCAGCCGAGTTTCTCCGTGATAAAGTCGGTGGACAAGTTCTGTCCATTCAGTCCCATCCGGCCAATGTAAGGTGGGTTACCCCAGTCTGACCAGTAGAGAAACCTGGCAGGAAATAAATGGACAACAAATTACACATGGTTGCATTATGATTAGTTCCATGAGGAGATTAGTTTTATGAGGAGATTAGTCTCATGAGGAGATTAGTGTCATGAGGGGATTAGTTTCATGAGGAGATTAGTCTCATGAGGAGATTAGTTTCATGAGGAGATTAGTCTCATGAGGAGATTAGTTTCATGAGGAGATTAGTCTCATGAGGAGATTAGTCTCATGAGGAGATTAGTTTCATGAGGAGATTAGTCTCATGAGGAGATTAGTCTCATGAGGAGATTAGTTTCATGAGGAGATTAGTTTCATGAGGAGATTAGTCTCATGAGGAGATTAGTCTCATGAGGAGATTAGTCTCATGAGGAGATTAGTTTCATGAGGAGATTAGTTTCATGAGGAGATTAGTCTCATGAGGAGATTAGTCTCATGAGGAGATTAGTCTCATGAGGAGATTAGTTTCATGAGGAGATTAGTTTCATGAGGAGATTAGTCTCATGAGGAGATTAGTTTCAACAACAGATATCAATTTCCACAGGTATTCTTATCCAGCATATCTACTGATTTACCAAAAGATTTTTACTAATCATATATACCAACATTGATTTTTTTATATTTGGCTTACTATCACAATGTTATAGGGCCTATACTGTTTTATCAGTTAACTGAAATTACACAAAAGAGCAGATTTTGAAAGAAATGGGTTCAGTAAAAAAAAGTGACTACAAGATTTAATCAATATAAAGAAGTAGAAGTATACAGTAGTTTTAAAGATTGCCTTTAAAAAATGGCCCAGAGTTAAGTTAAATAATAGCTTGTTAATAGTGTTAAAAACTGGACTTGATAATAAAGTTAAATAAAAGCTTGTCAATAAAAGATTGTTGAAAATGACCATCTTAGTTACCCATTAAATGGATCAACAACAATGGCCCTTGGCCTCCTGATTCCATCCTTCAACAAAGTGACTTGACTTGTGCCATTCATCTCTGATACACAGATATGTGACTTACGGCCATCCACCCAATACAGTTTTCTGTGGAGTAGAAATACCAAGTTCAATTTTCAAATGATTTCTCTCTTCTTCATCCAAACCAGTTGTATTTGTCATAGACTATATTAAAGGTTGCTGTGCATAGTGCTAGCCACACTACCATTATTTTTGTATTTACCATTAAATGCTGAGGTCATAGAAAAAGGAGAACTCTATTTCAGTCACTCTATGGACAGTCAGGTTAAAAAAGGAAACTTTACTTTAACTTTACAATACTGTTCAGTACTGTCTATATAAATAATTTTGTTTATTATGGACTGTATTGTTAACCACTGGAAATTGAAAGAATTTTATTTAAATATTGTAGTGTTAAATATCACACACATAGCTATCATAAGACTTTGATTTGATAAAAAGTGTATTATTTTATCACCACCAACAAACCAGCTTTCAAAAGAATTTCAATTTGATGAAGGTTGTATTGTTTAGAACATAGACAACTGGTAGAGCTTTTGACTTCTAACCCTAAAGTTTTGAGTTTGGATTCCAGGCTCAAATCCAAATTTTCCTGAGTTCATCTAGGTCTGATCGGTACCTAAATCTTGTTAGGAAAGTAAGGGTGGCTAAGCAAAGTGCTAACAACCTATCTTTTCAATGGAGGAGGATACTGAAACAGGTGAACTCTACTACACATGCTCAATGAACCTTAAAGTACTTTACTATATTGTTTGACCTCCAGCAAGTCTCAGCCTACCTGGATATCCAGTCGACAGAGATGCCCTCAACACTGGGCACATTGTCCTTGACTACAACCTTCTGGTCAGTCCCATTGAGGAAGATGCTGAAGATCTTATGCTGCTTGACATCACTGAAGTAGATCAGGTTATTGGAGATGTCAAAGTCAAGGGCCACAATGTTCTCAAAGCCTTGGGCAATTCTTCTATGGTTATCCCCGGCTGTGGAGATCTCACGCAGGTAGTAGCGGTTGGTGAAGATCAGTAGAGGTGTTATGGCTGCAAATGGAAACAATGCCATAAGATGGAGGTAGGAACAATATCAGTAGAGGTGTTATGGCTGCAAATGGAAACAATGCCATAAGATGGAGGTAGGAACAATATCAGTAGAGGTGTTATGGCTGCAAATGGAAACAATGCAATAAGGTGCAGGTTGGAACAATTGGTGAAAATCAGTAGCAATGTTATTGCTGACAATTAACAATGCAGTAATATGCAGGAGTGGCGTTCAGATTTGGGACCGTAGGGTGTTCCTGAGTCCACCCAACTCTGACTCGTGTAAAGGTGGCTGGACATAGTGGTGACCACACCATCCTTTTATATGTCAAGGTCAGGAAACTCTGCTACATTTTTACTTTCTTGTATATACGAAGTATAGAGAAAGTCTTGTAATCGTGCTAAAAAAAAAAAATCGAGATTTTTATAAATCTCGACGTTTTACATCTCACTGATACGGAAAAACATAATTTTGCAATCTTGTCCATATGTCTGTGTGTGTGTGTGTGTGTCTGTGTGTGTGTGTGTGTGTGTGTGTCCGTGTGTAAACACGATAACTTGAGTACCGTTACAGCTAGGTTGATGAAATTTCATATATAAGTATTTTATCAAAATCGTAGATCCGTATCAACTTTTGAGCGATTTCCGATAACCGGAAGTGGTACTTTTTCTACTTTGAACTTTTCAAAAGCCTATAACTTGAGTACTTTTTCAGATAGATAAATGAAATTTGATATGTAAGTAAAAGATCTAATTCTCTACCTTCTGTCAAATTTTGAGTAATTTCCGTTTACCGGAAGGAAGTACTTATTTACGCTATTTCTGATTTCTCAGAAAACGCATGTAAATTTATAAAGTACTAATAATATTGCGCACTATTATGCACATCTTTATTTAGCGTTCACTTGGTGTGCATTTCTTTTTTCTACGAGATTATATTCTATTTTTAAAACTTTGAGTATTTAAAATGGATTAAAAATCATGTCTAGAAGTCTATATCCCGAGTTGCCATCCCCGGTAGTGTTATATTAGAATATTCGAGAAAGTTTAGGGAAGATCACTCCCGGTTTATTTTTATATATTATAACATTACAATTTCCAGTATTTAAAGAATTTAATTATTTTAAAACTGAAATTTTTTTTTAAATTTACAAAATACAAATATTGCTATAGTGAATAAAAAATGTTAATTTAAAATCCAGTTTAATGTAAGTCGTAAAAATGTTTATACCATCAATTTTCTTGCAACTTTTCTCATCACTCATCCGCTGGTAGCCCTCGGCACACTTGCAGATGTAGCTTCCTTCAGTGTTCTCACACTGCTGGGAGCAGGACCCAATCTTCTCCACACACTCATCTATGTCTAAACATCGGCACAGAGAAAGTGTATAAAGATAAGTAGTTTATTTTGTTTGTGCTTTGTGTTAATAATTATTTATAATCTTAAGAACCAGAGTTACAAATAAAAACTACTAATATGGTGCAATTTTTAATAATATTTTACAATGAAGTCAAATATGTAACTGTATGGAAAATAAACAAGAAGTACTTTTGAAAATCGGCTTAATAAGCTGAACAAAAAAATCAGATCTATAATCAGAAGAAATAACTAAAAGCAAAATGGTAATGGATATTTATTAAATTTAGATGAGTAGATTATTAAACATATTTTCAGTAGATTGATAAATATTATAAATAAGTAGATATTAAATAATATAAAAAATATAAACATTATAATATTATATTATAATATTATAATTTTATATAAGTAGGCCTATTACTATCTTTTATCTTACAATTAGAGTACATTATTACAAGAATTTTTATGTTTTAAATCAAAGATAAATCAAAGATTACCATACTTCATTCACACATAATTTGAAAACTCAAGCTTTAAAACATCATGGTTTTGTAATTGAAATTCTAACTGAATTAAGACTAGACTAGCATAACAACAAACATTCAACACTAAACAACTTTTAGGCAATCAGTGAGCTCACCTCGACATCCTTTCCTGTCAGACATGAGCTGGAACCCTGGGTTACACTCACACTTGAAGCTGGTCAGTGTGTCCACACATTTATGCTGGCACTGGTTGACCCTGGCACTCTCACACTCATTGACATCTACAAGTTGATTAGACAATTATCATTAACATCTAGGAGTTGATTAGACAATAATCATTAACATCTAAGAGTTAATTACACAATTATCATTGACATCTACGAGTTGATAAGACAATAATCATTAACATCTAAGAGTTAATTACACAATTATCATTGACATCTACGAGTTGATAAGACAATAATCATTAACATCTAAGAGTTAATTACACAATTATCATTGACATCTACGAGTTGATAAGACAATTATCATTAACATCTAAGAGTTAATTACACAATTATCATTGACATCTAGGAGTTAATTAGACAATTATCATTAACATCTAAGATTTGATAATCAACTATCATTTACATATAAGAGTTAATTAGATAATTACCAGTGACATCTAGGAAATGATTCAATGATTATTTTACAAAATTGTCTATACTTAAATTCTATACTTCCAAATAAAAAATCAAAGCTACCTGTGTAAAATATGAAGTAAGCTAATTGGCAATAATAATTTTAAAAACTCCATGCAAATAAAAATGCTGCCTGTGTAAAATTTAAAGTAATAAGCCAATCTGGCAATAAAGATGAAATCACTGCAAATTAAAATACTGCCTGTGTATAAAATCTGGCAATAAAAAATCTAGCTGCTGATTAAAATACTGTAAAATAGTCCTATAAAGCAAGCCAATCTGGCTATATAAAAACACTGCAAATTAAAATATTGTCTCAATAAAAAATCTAGCTGCTGATTAAAATACTGTAAAATAAAAAGAAAGCCTATCTGGCAATAAAAACACTCACTACAGTGTTGTTCATCTGACTCATCAGAACAGTCTGGGTTCTTGTTACAGACCACATCATAACGAATACACTGGCCGTTGTCACACCTGAACTGGTTACCTGGACAGGTTGGCTCTGGGGTCACTGGAACAGAAAACAGTTGACTGTTGGCAATAATTCAGATAGCTGATTAATTAAATACTCTGAGCAATATTTTACGTCTCGAGTTCGAATCCGCTTTCAATCAGTAGAACAACATATTCTGAGCAATATTTTAAATCTCGAGTTCGAATCCGCTTTCAATCAGTAGAACAACATATTCTGAGCAATATTTTAAATCTTGAGTTCGAATCCGCTTTCAATCAGTAGAACAACATATTCTGAGCAATATTTTAAATCTCGAGTTCGATTCTGCTTTCAATCAGTAGAACAACATATTCTGAGCAATATTTTAAATCTCGAGTTCGAATCCGCTTTCAATCAGTAGAACAACATATTCTGAGCAATATTTTAAATCTCGAGTTCGAATCCGCTTTCAATCAGTAGAACAACATATTCTGAGCATTATTTTAAATCTCGAGTTCGAATCCGCTTTCAATCAGTAGAACAACATATTCTGAGCAATATTTTAAATCTCGAGTTCGAATCCGCTTTCAATCAGTAGAACAACATATTCTGAGCAATATTTTAAATCTCGAGTTCGAATCCGCTTTCAATCAGTAGAACAACCTTGAGTCCACCCAGCTGTAATTGGGTATCTAACTCATGTTAACTAAACAAAGCTGCTAGGCATAGTTTTGACCACACTATCCACTTGTATGCCGAGGTCACTGAAACAGATGAACTCTACTTCATCAGCCCCATGTGTCTTGGGCACAAAGGAGAAAAGATGATGATAGTGCCTATATATATAACTGAACACCCATTACATCCTGAGCACAGAAAGTGTTTAGTTCATGTATATAGTTTAACACCTACAACAGTGTATTTCTTTCTCATCTGAGCCATCACCGCAGTCATTATCTCCATCACAGGCCATGGTCTTGGATATACAGCGAAGGTTGTCGCAGGTGAACTGCTCTGGACTACAGCTTCGGTAATCTGAAAATATTGTTTTACTTTATAAATGTAAACAAACAGATTTTTATATCCCAAACAACTGCTGGATCAGTGGTTCTTAACCTGGGTTAGATTGAGCCACATGTGTTGGGTGAGCCAGTCTCAGGGGTACGGCAGCAGTGAAGACACACACCTAACTAGAGTCTGTAAAGCTCATGGTTGCTAAACTGAAAAAGTCTCGAGTTCGAACCCTTGGGCAGGTGAGGCTCGTTAGCTGGGGACAGCCACTCTTCTAGGAGAGACAACTCCAAAATCAAACAACTTCTGCCTTGTAGTATGTTCTTGGTTGGACAAAGGCTATGGAAGCAAATCCAAAAAGAAAAGCAGGCTGAAATCGGAGTCAATGGCCTCAATGGCGCATAACCAGTTGACACGTAACGCTTAATTGTGTTGGAGGCGTGGTCGAGTCGGCAAAAGCTCATGGTTTATAAATTCGAAAAAAGTCTCGAGTTTATCTGGCAGATAAGGCTCGATCCCTTCCAACACTAAAAATTAAGAATGAAGAAGAAGAAGAAAAATTTTATTTTTCCAATTAAGAAGGGTTTGGTGAATGCACATATGAAGCTGTTAAAGTTCTGTATCCACAAAAAGGGTAAGAACCACTGATATAGATAAAGTAAAAACCTAAGTTAGTATAACGAAAAAAAACATCACAGCAGTGATACTTTTAAAATAATTTGCTAGTATCTTAACAGCCTATAAGAATTGTTCTCACACTCATCACAAAAAAAAAAAGACCACCATAAATATTTTAAAATCTTACTTTTAAAACTAATTATTTATTGTAAAAGCAAGTAGACAAAAGTATTTTATACTAGCTAGAAGAAAAACTTACTGCAATCTTTGGGCTCATCAGATGAATCACCACAATCGTTGTCATGGTCACACTTGAACCTTGCAGAGATACAGATGCCATTGTTGCACTGGAAATAGAGCAAATAAATAACCAAACAATCATTAACTGCATACTTTAGTTTATTAAATAATACACTTAAAACAAGAAAAATATATAGCTAGTGTAATTTCTTTTTTCAAAATTCTATTTCATAGATTTCAAAGCAGGTGAAAGTAGTTTACAGTGACATAGATCTATTAAGATTTGTGTAAGGTTTTTAAAATAAAGACAAAAAGGTAGGAGAATGTTAAAACTTGTTGTCCAGCTTTGATGATTACTTAAAAACAATGAAATTACTTAAACTATGTGGTCATTCTTTTAGACTATGATGTCATCTTCTGATTTAGAAAATAAATGTGAATAAAGAAGTGACTCATCAAAAAGAAAATGACTCTGACAAATTCAAATCAGGAATTAACTCATCAAAAAGAAAATGACCCTGAAAAATCCAAATTAGGAATTAACTCATCAAAAAAAAAATGGACCCTCAAAATCCAAATTAGGAATTAACTCATCCAAAAAGCTAACGACATACCTGAAACTCCTGCTCCATGCAGGTGCGAGGGGGACACGTCTGTGTTTCGTCCTCTCCATTACGACAGTTGCGTACACCATCACACACTTGAGAGTTGGGGATGCAGGGGTAGGAGCCTTGGTGCTTGTTGGACTCACAAGTGAAGGTGTCAGGGGGACACGTCCTGTCATCTAGAAATACATCCCAAACTTTTTAGTGACAAACACATTACTCATTGTTTATTCTGAATTTTAAAAGCTTCAATTTCTTAGAAGTTAACATTTCTTTTGCGATGATGTGCAAATTTTACTTTCTGGCTATATTGTAATTTTAAAAGCTTCAATTTCTTAGAAGTTAACATTTCTTTTGTGATGATGTGCAAATTTTACTTTCTGGCTATATCAGCAAAAGCTGAAGTTTAATTATTTATTAATTTTTAAAGCTAGTCTTTCATCCCAATGGGACATAACCACTGACAATAGCTGAATTCCAAGACAGGCTCACCTAATTTCCTCCCCTCTTTTAATCCACAATTATTACAGAGATAGTTTCAGGTTTGGAGTTTGACATTGTTGGTGGAATGCTAATAAATTCTATGTAGGCAAAGTAGGCTATAAATCTTAAAGGTTTTTTTTTTAATTTTTTTAAATTGAAAAAACAAAATAGTTATAGAGACTTGCTTAAAATAACTTTAGAATATTTGGAAAGACTAAGACCTTGACCTTGAGACTTCAATACTTACTGCAGTTTCTGGCCTCAGATTCATCAGAGTTGTCACCACAGTCGTCCTCTCCATCACACACCCACCTCATGGTAACACAGCGGCCGTTGTTACATCCAAACTGGTCTGATTGGCATGTCCGGTTGAATGAGGCTGTGGACATTAACATTCACTTTAACATGGAGTTTATATAAGGAAAACTGATACTCAAATCTGGAATAGACTGAGATTTTTAAAAACATTTACTTTATGTAAAGTAAAAGTAAAGCCTAGTGATCCGTAGTGTAGATGATGTAGAGTTCATGTTTATTGACCTTGGCATAAGAAGGGATAGTGTGGTCAGCACTATACCCAGCTAACTTTATTTTTCCCAAAGTAAGTCTGGGTGGACTCACACACCCTACAGTCACAAGTTTAACTGAGATCCAAACACAAGACCTTCCGGCTAGCGGCCAAATGCTCTACCATTCACAACACTGTCCTATTTTCTTTATATGGAAATGTTTGAATATGTATGTATTGGTGTAGTTTCCTGAGATATTAAATATGTAAAATAGTTCTTAAATTAAAGTATATATGCAGTTACAAAAAGTATCACATGCTTTCTTATTATGAAAGTGCAGGCGTAATTTCTTCAGATTCAAAATTACATACAATTTTCTTAATATAAAAGTATAGATGCAGTTTCTTGAGTCACAAAATTTCATAAAACTTATAGGTGTCGGGTGAAACAGTAATGAGACAAAAATTCTACACAAATTGAATTAATTGCTGCAAAGTTGTTTCTATTTCACCACACTTTTAATATTCCACCTCCTGTCCATTAACATCTGTAATAAACTAAGCTTGAAAAACTCCTATAATAAAAACATCAGTTCTTACAGCAAGTTGCGGCAGCTTCGTCCTCTCCAAAGCCGCAGTCATCATCCCCGTCACACTGCCACGCCCCTGGTATACACTTGTGGCTCTGGGAACACTGGAAATCACCTGGAAAGTAATACAGGTATCAATCACTGTTCACCTAGTGGGACTGTGTTGTACATCCATGGTGACTAGAAAGATGCGCAATGGAAAACTGCGCACAAAATTGCTTTTTTGTTTCTTAAATCGAGTATTGACAGACATTAACAAAGAGTGACTACATGTACATTGTAGCCAAATAAAACATTCTTCCACGAAACATGAAAAGTTGTAGTGTTTTAGTATAATTAGTTTGTGTTTGCGCATTTTTCTGTTTGGGTACTTTTCCGTTGCTCAGTTATCCCATTGCACATTTTTCTAGGAACCACATCCATACAATACTATCTGCACTATGGGTTATCTGTAACAGCCTATGTTGACAAACTCTACCCATGCATCATATTATTTACTGTAGGCAGCTGTAAATTAAGGTTTGCCAGCTGTACTAAGCACATATATTTAGCACTATGGTTTATCTGGTACAGCTTTAGCAGTCTTATTAACCATCAGTTGATTAACTTTACCCAAGCTAATGACCATCATATTATTTATTTTAGCAGCTGTAGATTTAAATTTGTCAGCTGCATTAAGACTAGGGTACTGAAAGGATACTGACATTTACTTTCTCATGAATTTTTTTCATTTAACGTTAATACTATTCACCAAAATTGATTAGGCCTACTCTTTTGAAAAAAACTTAAATGTGCAAAAATTTAATGACCTGGTGCACAGGAGACAGCGTGACAGAAGAAAGGGTTTTCATCAGAGTTATCTCCACAGTCATTGTCCCCATCACACATGTAGCGACGGATGATACAGATGTTGGTGGTGGGGCACTTGACTTGGCTGGGGGGACAAGTCCTGGGAGCTGAAACAGAGTTATAGGACTTTATTTACTTTACTTGATAGTAGCCTATAGATGAGTTACAAGGTGGTTTAAAACTCTTGTCTTGGGATACATCTATAACTCTTACATTCTTGATAGTGCCAACATAGCATTATTGTCTATGTGACACGGTTGTATAAAATGAAACGTGTAGGCACGGAGAGAGAGAGAGAGTGGCCTTTCCTTGAAGTTGGTGTGCCAGAGGAACTGTGTGTGGATGTGAGGGTGTGGAGTAATGTTGTATGATGTCAACACAATGTAACGACTCATCAGTTTTCTTTTCATATTTTTCTAGTGGTTGGTAAAAATTACATGTAAATGATATAGATTCTCTTTGTGGATTGTGTTTTACTTACTCTTGATACACCTAGCACTACGAGCCAAAAAATATCCACTAAGCCAAGTGTAACAGGCAAGCTTACTCCTAAAGTTCAGGTATAGCATTATTGCCTAGCCTACATCTAAAGTTCAGGTATAGCATTATTGTCTAGCTTACTTCTTAAGTTCAGGTATTGCATTATTGTCTAGCTTACCCCTATAGTTCAGGTATAGCCTTATTGTCTAGCCTACATTTAAAGACTTTATTTACTTACGACAGTTTAATTCATCAGTCCTGTTGCCATCCCTACAGTTATCAATGCCATTACATTTCTGGGCAGCATCAATACACCTGAAGTTATTGCAGGTAAACTGGTTGGGGCCACATGTTGGGTAGGCTAAAAATAAAACAATAATTTAAAAATTTGACAGACAATCTTTTCCCAGACAAGAAAACAAATTTTAAAATAATCATGCATGGTTATTTGTTACATATAGTAAATTTACTGTTAAATTTTCATAACAAAATTCTAAAAAAAACAGGAAAAGAAAATAAAGGTTCAGTATAGTAATTTCACTGAATAATTAAAGGCTAAGGAAGCAAATCCAAAGAGAAACTGGACATATGGCACAGAACAAGTTCACACATATTACTTAATTGTGAGAAGATGATACAAATGTAAATAAAGCTTTTTAAAAGAAATTTTTTAAAATAATACAGAAAATGGTATCGAAAATACATATTTACTCACCACAATCTTCTTCATCAGAGTTATCCCTGCAATCATTATCAAAGTCGCACCTGTACCTGAGTGGGATACAGCGACCATTCTTACAGCTGAAGTACTTGGGGTCGCAGGTGTGGAGTGCTGGAGATTGGAAGAATATTCTGGTGGTGTTACATTGATTCTAGAATAACATTTGTAGGAGAGACGGAAGAAGAGGTGCTGGCCACAGGTTAAACCTGGCATGAAATGAACTCCAAAGGACAGGGATTTATAGCAGATTTTTGTAGCTAATTTATGCTCCAAAGGAAGCGATTACAGATTAAGTAAGTTAGTATACTACCTCTAGAATCAGTAGCACGTCTTAGTGAGGTGATTTGTTGTATATCTTATGCACTGATAGTGCATATTTACATGCATGCATAATATTCTAGTGTATTTTGTATGTTGATATGTGCTATGAAAGTGGTTCTTATACCGGGTTTGATCAAACCCCAGGGATTCGGTTAATCAGTTTCAGTTTAAGACACACACCCAACTCATATGATTCACAATCAGATTTTGTCTGTGCAATGACTATAGAACCATTAAGAAGGGTTCGGCGAATGCACATAAGAAACCAATGGGGTTCGGTACCTACGAAAAGGTTAAGATATATATGATATTGATCATATGAGTGTATGACTCAGAATAGGGACTTAGAATTGTGTGAAAAGGGGAGACAACGGCAGATATTCAGCCACCCAGGACTCACCACACAAGTTGGAATCCTCGTCTGAGCCATCACCACAGTCATTGTCCAGGTCACAGACCCATCTCTCTCTCAGACACCTGCCGTTTTGGCACACAAACTGATCAGCTGAGCAGGTGTTGTTGCTAGGCACACACACCTGTTTGGTGGAACAAATCTCATGACAGGTCTTTTTGTTTTGTTTTTTTTAATTCAAATTTGAAAAATTTGTACTGCATTGCATTACTTTTAACTTATATACCTACTCTCAAATTCTGGAAGTCAATAGAAAAAAACTAAATTATGATTAAAAACAAAATTACAATCCATTCTTTTTTTTTACACCAGTAACCCTACAAAGCTTTTTTTATTTATATACAATCTACATCTGCAACAAGGGAAGAGGTGGCTGAAAGTTTAAACTGTTCAACTGCTTTCTGAAAGTCTCAAGTTCGGCTGATGGTCATGAGTCTGTAAAACACCCGAGTCCATCCAGCTCTATGGGTACATGACTCACATTAAGGAAAGTGAAGACTTGTGGGCTTAGTGCTGACCATACAATCCCTTCATAGGCAGAGGCCACACAAAATAAAACAGATGCACTCTACTTTACCTACTCCATAGACTGTAAGGTTCAAAAATGTACTTTATTTACATCTGCAAAGTCAGGGTTTGAATAGTGCCAATAACAAAAAAAAAATTAAAAAACAGAAGAAAACAATGTAACTAAATAAAGAGACTACTAAAATGTACCTTTCCGTTGTTCCTAATGACCATGTCTTTACCCTCCTCACAAGTGCATTCAACTGTTCCATCAGGCCCAGGGTGACAGCTATGGCTACAACCACCATTGAACACAGCACATGGGTTGTTGCTACCTGTTGGGACATGATAGGTAAATTAAGAACTGAAATAGTCTGAAAACTATGGCTACAACCACCATTGAACACAGCACATGGGTTGTTGCTGCCTGTTGGGACGTGATAGCAGGTAAATTAAGAACTGAAATAGTCTGAAAACTATGGCTGCAGCCACCATTAAATACAGCACATAGGTTTTGCTGCCTGTTGGGACATGATAATGGCTATAAAAAAAATCACGGAAATATATAGCCTCCTGTCTGGCGACAAATATGGTTGCACCTACTATTAAATATTGTCTGTAGATATACAGCAAAATAAACTACAGAAATGAAATGGTCTACAAATACAGTCTAGCATTACCACTACAAAAATTGTCAGTGAGGCACGGAGTAGTTTTACAGCAGAGTGAATATTTGCTATTTGCAAAGTTCAAATCTAAGAATGAATAGCAGATTTAAACTTACTATCTTTTACAATCGTGTAGTATATTAATTCTATCTTTATAATTCCACTCTATGGGTAGGTATGCTAAAACGTTTGCCAATAATTATTTTACAATGCCAAACACTTACTATCTTAAATGCCAATTTTAGATTTACCTTTTCCACACTTATCACATACAACAGATTTTAAAATTTTACTTTAGGACAATCTTATGGTACAACTCTGCGAGTAATGGTTTTCACCAATGGTCCGGTATTTAGACTAAACAATCCTAGACTTACACTTCTGCTTGTCTTGAGCATACACAGTTATCCCCATAGGCCTGGTAGACAGACCCTGTACCAGCATCTTCATGTTAGCCCCTGTGTGTTTCTCTGCCCGATAGATCCCTCGTAAGGTCCAGTCTGTCCAGTATATGTAGAAGCCAAAGACAGTGAGGGAGAAGGGGTGGACTGTGGTCTCCACTATCACCTCTCTGTAGTTGCCATCTAGGTTGGCTCGTTCAATGCGGTCCCTAGATGTAGCATACAAATATAGGTATAGTAAAGTTCATGTCTAGAGTTTGTCCATGTCTAACTTGAGTCCATGTCTGCCTTTTGTCCAAGCCTAACTTTTGTCCATGTCTAACTTTTTCCCATGTCAAACTTTTGTCCAAGTCAAAATTTTGTCCATGTTCAACCTTTGTCCATGTTCAGCATTTGTCCTGTAAAACTTTTGTCCATGTCTGCCTTTTGTCAGTGAGTATCTTTTGTCCATGATTAGCTTTATTCAAGTCCATATCTACTTTCTGCAAATGTCTAGCTTTTGTTGGTCTAGCTTTTGTTGGTCTAACTTTTGTTGGTCTAACTTTTGTTGGTCTAGCTTTTGTTGGTCTAACTTTTGTTGGTCTAACTTTTGTTGGTCTAACTTTTGTTGGTCTAACTTTTGTTGGTCTAACTTTTGTTGGTCTAACTTTTGTTGGTCTAACTTTTGTTGGTCTAACTTTTGTTGGTCTAACTTTTGTTGGTTTAACTTTAGTTGGTCTAACTTTTGTTGGTCTAACTTTTGTTGATGTATTATTTTTGTTGATGTCTAACTTTTGTTGATGTATTACTTTTGTTAATGTATTACTTTTGTTCATGTCTAACTTTTGTCCATGCCTAACTTGTGTCTAAGTATGCCTTTTATTCTTGTCCAACCATTTCCATGTCATCTTTTTGTCCATGTCATCTATTTGTCCACGTGTCACCATTTGCCCTCCACCCACCTGTGGGCATCTGCCCAGTAGATCTTCTCCTCCTCGTAATCAATGGTCAGCCCATTAGGCCAGCCCAGGTCAGTGGAGATGATGTCCTGTCTCTGGTTGCCTGCCATGGTAGCCCTCTCTATCTTTGGTGTGTGACCCCAGTCTGACCAGTAGATGAAACTGTCCAACAAAGATAATAAATCAATTTAGGAACAAGTTAGAATCATGTGACCCCAGTCCGACCAATAGATATTACTGGGTCCAACAATGAAGGGAAAAAACTCAATTTAGTAAAGAAGATATAACTGAGTCCAGAAAGAAAAGCAGGCTGAAATTGGAGTCAATTGGCCACGTGGCACATAACATGTTGACATGTTACACTTTATTCTGTTGGAGGAAATCGTGTCCAACATTACAATTAAGAACAAACAAGAAGAAATCAATGAAGCATGAAGAACAATGAGAATCAATAAAAAATACCACACTTAATTAAGTGGTAAGTGATTCCCAAATATACATTTAGCATTCATTGTAAAGAAAATACATTAAGTTTTAGGGTTAGGGTAGGATTAAGTCAAAGGTAAAGTAAATGTTAAATTGAAGTAGATAAAAATAAACACTTATGCCCACAACAACTCACCCTTTGCAGGGGTCAATGGCTAAAGCTCTTGGACTCTGGACAGTGGCTATGACCACCTTGTGGGTCAGGTTGACATTGATGCTGTAGATGCGGTTCCTGAAGAGGTCAGCCCAGTAGAGCTTCTTGCCCACCCAATCAAAGGCAATGCCCTCCACTGAGGTGACATCATGCACATAGCCAGGTGCTGGGGACAATAGATGAGCTGAATTTAAGGGGGGAGGCTCCGGTAAAAAAAACTTTTTTTAAAACTTGTTAGAAAACAGTTATTTCTATACAGCTTTATTAAGATACATCTGCATATGCATTTCCACTAAAAAAAAAATCGTGGAAAAATCTTGGTAACTATGACAACGGCGGCCATCTTGAAAAATTAACCCCTTCATAGGTTTTCCACCATCCATAAAATATTATATTTTAAGCCCAATAAATAATGCTAAAAATTTTAAGTGCATATCTTCAAAATTATTTATTATGAATTTTCAAAATTTGTGTCCGTTCAAAACACTTAATTTGGGGCATTAAAACTAGTGTTTTGAACGGACAGAAATTTTGAAAATTCATAATAAATTATTTTGAAGATCGCACTTAAAATTTTTAGCTGAGTGCCCCAAAATATGGAAAAAGATTATGAATTCATTATTTATTGGGCTTGAAATATAATATTTTATGGATGGTGGAAAACCTACGAAGGGGTTAATTTTTCAAGATGGCTGCCGTTGTCATAGTTACCAAGATAATTCCACAAATTTTTTTTAGTGGAAATGCATATGCGGATGTATCTTAATAAATAAATTTGAAATTTATAAAGACCACATTCTCTATAGAGTCGACAGTGGTGACTATCATTACTTAGGGACTATAAATTCATTTTGGGATGGCATGTTTAAATAGTAGAACATAGGATTGCTAACCAGAAAGTCTCGAGTTCAAACCTGGATTCAAGTCAGTAGAACGTCCCTGAGTCCAGGGTACCTGATGCATACTAGGTTAAGTAAAATTGGCTGGGCAAAGTGCTGAACCCAGTATACTTACATATGCTGAGGTCAAGATACATTTGAACTCTACTTAACTTACCCTATGGACTGTCAGGTTTGAAAGGATACTTTAAGGTAGTTACATTTCCTTAATACAGACTTGATTTTTAAAACCAGTGTTAAAAAATGCTTTAAAGACAGGATAAAAAAACTCAAGATGGCAAGCATCACAAACTGTATTGCATGTTGCTGTTGTTCTGAAAAACTCACTGGAGTTCATGCTTGGCGCCATCACATCCTCAACAACCGTGGAGCCTTTCTTGACGCGGCTGATCTTCTTAGAGTTGACCTGGCTGAAGTAGATGTAGTTTTCATGGGCGTCATAGTCCACAGCTACCACACCCTGTCAAAATATAAGTATTAGCAAATAAAGAATCTATATAATTTATTCTCTAGGCATGCAAGTCGACTAATCTTCCTCCTGCCCCCTCCCTCGCTCTCCAGGCTCTATTGCTACAACCCCCACCCCCACCTGTCTAGTGCTTTGGTTCATGCCAAATGTTTACAATCGTAGAGCCGGATCAAATTAGTGATGGCTATTAGTGGCAGATAATTTTGTTTTTAAATGATTGAAACAAAAGGGGAGGAAATAAAAAGTTTTTCTTGATTTTTTCATTTTGTCTGTAAACTGTCAAAACGGACGACTGCTTTCAATTGTGATCTATTGGGCAGATGAAGTAGAGTTCATGCTTCTTGACCTCTGTATATGAAGGTATGGTGTGGTCAGCACTATGCCCAGCAGCCTTTACTTTTCCCAATGTAAGTTGGGTATCCATCAGAGCTGTGTGGACTCAGAGACGTTCTACTGATTTGAAACTGGATTTGAAATCAAGGCTTTCGGGTTAGTAGTCTAGCTCTCTACCGCTAGACCAAACTGCCCCATTTGTCTTATTCTTAAACTAGTTTCTGTTAAGAAATGTTGAGAAGCTAGGCAAACAGCTAAAACAAATAAAAATCAAGCCTTTTCTTGCACCAACATAGTTAGATCTCTATCTATTTGTTTCCTTAAGTATGTTGTGTCTTCTACCATGCATTGCATCTCCTGGTATAGATTGGGTAAGGGGAAGGAAGTTTGGTTATGGGAATGACCTATGGCCTCAAGCCTAGAAATGGAACTCATGACTTTCTGATTGACCAGTGTAATTCTATCCCTTTACCACAGCATACCTTTAACATACTCATCAACAACCATTTGTACTTGTGTTAAAGGTGTGTGCGGCATTAAAAGTAAAGTTCACTATTTAAAACTGATTGTCCATGGTGCAAGTGAAGTACAGTTCACCTATTTCTGTGACCAGCTGCCTTTACTTTCCCCAACATAAGTCAGGCTCCCCTTAGAGCTGGGTGAACTCAGGGACATCCTACTGTCACATGTCCAAAACAGAGATCCGAACTCAAGACCATTGGGCTAGCAACCAAACAGTCTACAAATCAACCACACCATCCCACCTGTGTGTAGCATTACCTACCTGTAGATCAGGTATTGTTGGAATAGGGTTGGACGTGGACTCTGGGTTGAGGGACAAGCTCTGGATTTCTGTCTCAGCTGCAAACAGCAGGAAGGACGTGGGGGCTGTGGAAGGCAACAATCATTTAGTCACTGGGTTAGAGGTTCAATCATTTAGTCATTGGTAAATAGGTTCATTTAGTCTCTGAGTTAGTGGTTCAATCATTTAGTCATTGGGTTAGAGATTAAATCATTTAGTCATTAGTGGTTCAATCATTTAGTCATTGGGTTAATGGTTCAATCATTTAGTCATTGGTAAATAGGTTCATTTAGTCTCTGAGTTAGTGGTTCAATCATTTAGTCATTGGGTTAGAGATTAAATCATTTAGTCATTAGTGGTTCAATCATTTAGTCATTGGGTTAATGGTTCAATCATTTAGTCATTGGGTTAGTGGTTCAATCATTTAGTCCATGGGTTAGTGGTTCAATCATTTAGTCATTGGTTTAGAGGTTCAATCATTTAGTTATTAGGTTAGAGGTTCAATCATTTGGACATTGGGTTAGAGGTTCAATCATTTAGTCATTGGGTTATATGTTCAATCATTTAGTCATTGGGTTCGAGGTTCAATCATTTAGTTATTAGGTTAGAGGTTCAATCATTTGGACATTGGGTTAGAGGTTCAATCATTTGGACATTGGGTTAGAGGTTCAATCATTTAGTCATTGGGTTATATGTTCAATCATTTAGTCATTGAGTAAGAGGTTCAATCATTTAGTCATAGGGTTAGAGGTTCAATCATTTTGTCATTGGGTTAGAGGTTCAATCATTTGGACATTGGGTTAGAGGTTCAATCATTTAGTCATTAGGTTAGAGGTTCAATCATTTAGTCATTAGGTTAGAGGTTCAATCATTTGGACATTGGGTTAGAGGTTCAATCATTTAGTTATTGGGTTATATGTTCAATCATTTAGTCATTGAGTAAGAGGTTCAATCATTTAGTCATAGGGTTAGAGGTTCAATCATTTTGTCATTGGGTTAGAGGTTCAATCATTTGGACATTGGGTTAGAGGTTCAATCATTTAGTCATTAGGTTAGAGGTTCAATCATTTAGTCATTAGGTTAGAGGTTCAATCATTTGGACATTGGGTTAGAGGTTCAATCATTTAGTTATTGGGTTATATGTTCAATCATTTAGTCATTGAGTAAGAGGTTCAATCATTTAGTCATAGGGTTAGAGGTTCAATCATTTTGTCATTGGGTTAGAGGTTCAATCATTTGGACATTGGGTTAGAGGTTCAATCATTTAGTCAGTGGGTTAGAGGTTCAATCATTTAGTCATTGGGTTATATGTTCAATCATTTAGTCATTGAGTAAGAGGTTCAATCATTTGGACATTGGGTTAGAGGCTCAATCATTTAGTCAGTAGGTTAGAGGTTCAATCATTTAGTCATTAGGTTAGAGGTTCAATCATTTGGACATTGGGTTAGAGGTTCAATCATTTAGTTATTGGGTTATATGTTCAATCATTTAGTCATTGAGTAAGAGGTTCAATCATTTAGTCATAGGGTTAGAGGTTCAATCATTTTGTCATTGGGTTAGAGGTTCAATCATTTGGACATTGGGTTAGAGGTTCAATCATTTAGTCAGTGGGTTAGAGGTTCAATCATTTAGTCATTGAGTAAGAGGTTCAATCATTTAGTCATAGGGTTAGAGGTTCAATCATTTTGTCATTGGGTTAGAGGTTCAATCATTTGGACATTGGGTTAGAGGTTCAATCATTTAGTCAGTGGGTTAGAGGTTCAATCATTTAGTCATTGGGTTATATGTTCAATCATTTAGTCATTGAGTAAGAGGTTCAATCATTTGGACATTGGGTTAGAGGTTCAATCATTTGGACATTGGGTTAGAGGTTCAATCATTTAGTCATTGGGTTAGAGGTTCAATCATTTAGTTATTAGGTTAGAGGTTCAATCATTTGGACATTGGGTTAGAGGTTCAATCATTTGGACATTGGGTTAGAGGTTCAATTGTTTAGTCATTGGGTTATAGGTTCAATCATTTAGTTATTGAGTTAGAACTTAATCATTTAGTCATTGAGTAAGAGGTTCAATCATTTAGTCATTGAGTAAGAGGTTCAATCATTTAGTCATTGAGTTAGAGGTTCAATCATTTAGTCTTGTTAATTGAATTCAAATCTTATTCATTGAGTAAGAGCTTCAATAAGTGTGTCTTTTTAATTGAATTCAATCCTTTAGTCATTGAGTTAGAGCTTCAATCATTTAGTCTTGGTAATTGAATTCAACCATTTAGTCATTGAGTTAGATGTTCAATCATTTAGTCACTGGGTTAGTGGATCAATCATTTAGTCATTTAGTCGTGTTAATTTAATTCAATCATTTAGTCATTAAGTGAAATATTCAATCATTTAGTTATTGAATTACAGGTTGAATAATTTAGTCTTATTATTTGAATTCAATCCTTTAGTTATTGAGTTATAGGTTCAATCATTTAGTCTTGTGTATTTGAATAAAATCCTTTAGTCATTGAGTTATAGGTTCAATCATTTAGTCTTGTTAATTGAATTCAATCCTTTAGTCATTGAGTTAGAGGTTTAATAATTTTGTCATTGAGTTAGAGCAGGGGTCTCCAAACTACGGCCCGCGGGCCGGATGCGGCCTGCGATGTCCTCTCATCCGGCCCTCTGAAATCTTTTTGTCCACGGAAAAAAACGTTTGTTGGTTATAGTTGAGGGACTTTGGCCAGAAAAACCAAAGACATGCCTGGAAGAAACTGGCCCCCGAACTGAAATTTGATAGTTAATGCGGCCCTCGGACTGAAAAGTTTGGAGACCCCTGAGTTAGAGGTTCAACCATTTAGTCATTGAGGTCGAGGTTCAATCCTTTAGTCTTGTTAATTAAATCATTTAGTCACTGAGTTAGTTGTTCAATCCTTTAGCCACTGGGTTAGAGGTTTAATAATTTAGTCATTGAGTTAGAGGTTTAATAATTTAGTCATTGAGTTAGAGGTTTAATAATTTAGTCATTGAGTTAGAGGTTTAATAATTTAGTCATTGAGTTAGAGGTTTAATAATTTAGTCATTGCATCAGAGGTTTAAAAAAACAAAACAGTTCCAGACAATCAGGTGTATTTACCTTGACATAATTTCTTGTCAGGCCCCAGGGTACCTGTAGAGCACCCACAGTCTGGCTCTGTCTGGTTGGGTTTAGCAAAACACAGCTGCTGGCAGCCTCCGTTGTTGGCGGAGCAAGGATTGCTCTCATCTGGGGATTAGATAAAAACAATGCCATCCAGAGAAGGTTACACATTTTTAGCCAATGTACATGATTATGAAATCAGTGCTACATGGATTAACAGTATAGACCAGAAAACATAAGAACAATTATATTTTTTTATGTTTCAAGAAAACTATATTATGAGACACACATCTAACAAACAAAATACTTAGTCAATTTTATAAGAACATTAAGAAGAGGAATGAGATGAGGTACATTTTATATTGTATCAAAAACAAAACAAAAAGAGGTTTTGTTTAATTAATAAATAATGTAATTTAAGTCTATCAATATAAAGAATAATTTTTAAAAATACCAGTTATGCAAGAAAAAAAAATTTGTTTTAAATTTTTTATATTTATTTACTGGAACTTTTTATTTCAAAACAGAATCCCCATTGTTTCATTAAAATTTACCCGAATGCAAAAATTAGCTCATATTATGTGCAATTATTTTTAATCAAAACTTACCTAGGGGTTGCATAGCATGATCAAAGATGGCAATATCACTCAATGTATCCAAGCTGCTCTTCAGAACTTGAGGGATGTATCCTTGAGAGGTTTTCAGTGCCCTGAAAATCTGGACAAAACAAACCAAATAAAATATTTTAAGAATAATCTAAATTAAATATTTTAAAAATCTGGACAACCCAGACAAAATCAGTATTTTTACTGCCCTAAAAATCTGGACAAACAAGATATTTTTAAAAATTTGAGTGATAATCTAAATTAAATATTTAAAAAATCTGGACAAAACATGAACATTTTTATTAGTGACAATCTAAATTAAATATTTTAAAATCTGGAATATGAAACAAAGATAAAAAAGATAGTTTTCTTTAATGAGAAGCTAGTTATAGAAAAATAATAGAGTCAAACCAGGTATAACAAAGACAGTACTTGTTGGTGCTTACATGCAAATATATAAAACTAGACAACACATTCAAGGTAAAACAATTTTCTTTTAAGTGAAAAATATGAAAGTAAACTATAGTAATAAACATACCATATCATTATTATCAACCACGAGCCGGCCCGCGGCATAACATACGCCGCTATTTAGTTGTTTCTAATTTTCAATAATTCATAATTTGTGAATTCGACAGTACCAACGCTGACACTGAAAATATTTCTTTAAAACACTATAAGTAGCTCGTTAAGGACCATAACCCCCCCCCCCTTCCTTCCCCCCCCCCCTCCCCCCCTTCCTTCCCCCCCCCCTCCCCCCCTACGTTTAAAATCGTTGGCTCTGCTTGTAAACATTTAGAGTGAACACAGCTCACTAAAACCATGTAGGGGTGGGGAGGTAGGGAGAGCGTTTGCAGCTTGTTTTCTAACGGCTCGAAGAAGAGAATTATATATATAGATACTAAAAACTCATATTACTGAGTCAAAATATTTTGAGGATCAATAATTTCATAATTTAATAATGAAAATAACTTTTTGAATGGAATATGTGTATACTACTACGAGATCTGGTTCAACATCAAACATGAATATAGTAAGTACAGTGTACTAATGAGTACATTACCTTCTGAAGATTCCTGTCTATCCAGTAGACATATGTTTTAAACACACACAATCCAAATGGGTTTGGTATATTTGTTTGAATGTAGCGTCTGTTTTCTCCATTGTAATCAACACACTGTAGAGATGGCAAACAAATTTACATAATTAATTTTAACATGTGAGATTCAGATTCTTACTTTATTGTAGGCTTATATCAAAAGTATTAAAATATTTATGAGTTTACTATGAGTCAGTAAGTAGTAAATTATATTTTGGCTTGTTAATACAATAAAAGTGTAGTTAATGCTTTTCTGAGGATGTGGCATATTGAGATATACTGTGGGCAATATGGAAAAATTTGTTAATGGAGAAATATATCAGTGTTGAGTTTACTCAGTTTGTTTCACAGACCCAAAATAATGATTGTCTAAAGTATTTGTGTTTAGATACACTTTCACTAAACCAACACTTTCACTAGAGTACACAACTAATATCTGAAGGGTATCACCAACTTAACTTTTGACTTCCCACCTCTTAAAAACCTGTTATGTTTTTCTCTTTACCTGACTGGTGTCTCCAAAACACCACTTGATCTCAACACCCAATCATTTATCTTTATCTTTATGGTGTCACCTAAATACCACTAGCTCACACCACCTGATCATCTATCTTATCCTGAATGGTTTCACCAAACCACTGGTTGTCCACAACCCACAATGACATATATTTACCTCAGTTGTGTCACCAAAACACCACTTGACCAAACCACCTAACACCTCACCTGAATGGTGTCACCAAAACACCACTTGACCAAACTTCCTAACACCTCAGCTGAATGGTGTCACCAAAACACCATTTGACCACCTAACACCTCACCTGAATGGTGTCACCAAAACACCACTTGACCAAACTTCCTAACACCTCAGCTGAATGGTGTCACCAAAACACCATTTGACCACCTAACACCTCACCTGAATGGTGTCACCATAACAACACTTGACCAAACTTCCTAACACCTCAGCTGAATGGTGTCACAAAACACCATTTGACCACCTAACACCTCACCTGAATGGTGTCAACAATGGCATCCACCCAGTACACATCATGTGTTTCTATGTCTATGGTGACGTCCCTTGGCAGGCTGATTCCTGTTTTAACAATGGCAGTCCTGTTGGTCCCATCTAGCAGTGACCTCTCTATCTTGGCCGTCTGACCCATATCTGCCCAGTATAGGTATCTGTCAAACAACAAAAATACAGATGTACAGAGGAGATTTAATAGAATCTAGTTTTAATCAAGGGAGGGAATTAGTTGGGGGGCAGCACTGTTGATATAAGGGAGCGAATGCGTTGGGTAGTATTGAAAAGTGTGGGAATGAATCAGGACAGCACTGATAAAACAGGGGAGGTAATGAGGCAGAAATGTTGTCCTGAATCACAATATAGGTCAGACTTTGATAACTCCTGTCCCATTACAGTTTCCTCTAGACCACATATACCCAACACATCCTCAATGATCAGCTACATAGCCTTGACTACCTTGCTTAGTTCCACAACCTAGCTTTACCCAGTGTAAAACAGCTCTTTCATTTTGCGGTTTATATTACCAGAGTGTCACAAATTTACTGCCTGCCCATGTCAGATGCAGATGGGACAGCATGGCCTAGCGGTAGAGCACCAGACTGATGATCAGATAGTCTCGAGTTCCAATCTGTGTTCAAGTCAGTAGAACGTACTTAAGTCCAGCCAGCTCTGATGGGTAACTCAGGTAAGGTTAAAGTAAAGGTGGCTGGGCATAGTGATGACATTATCCCTTCATACGCCGATGTCAAGAAACATATGAATTCTACTTCATCTGCCCTATTGATCACTAGGTCTAAAGAGAAATCTTTACTTTATATCAGAAGCAGACTCACCTGCCTCTCAAAGGTCAATTACCAAGCTATCATAACAACACCAACTTTACCTTTTTATTGGATTGACAGCCAAAGACCTGGGTTGTCCTTGTGATTCTCTCACTAAAACTTTCCTGAATGTCCCATCCAGCCTCATCACTTCAATAAACACTTCCACATCAAAAGCATTGGTGAAATAGATATTTCCTGAGGTAGAATAAAACAAGGAATTAGTGCTTAGTATTGTCTAAAACTAGCACGGTGAAATAGATATTTCCTGAGGTAGGATAAAACAATGAATTAGTGCTTAGTATTGTCTAAAACTAAGACTGTGAAATAGATATTTCCTGAGGTAGGATAAAACAAGGAATCAGTGCTAAGTATTGTCTAAAACTAGGATGGTGTTGTGAGTGTTAGCACTGTGGATATTGCTAACACAAATTTTAAGTTTTTTTTATTCATGGGAAGCAAGACACTACCCCCTATCAATGACTTCCTATCCTGGATATTCCCCCTCCCAACTATTTCCTCCCACCCCTATCCCAAAATTGCTCCAAATGCATAATTTTTTGTCAATCATCTACTTGTATAATACCCCCCACCCTGCCCCAAAAAACTACTGTAGGTTCTAACCCCCTGTCAATTACCAATTGACTGTAAAACTTAGACGAATATAGAGTTAAAGTTCAAGTAAGGGGTAAATGGCAAGGTGTAAGGGGTAGGTTAGAGTCGTGTTAACCCCATAAATTGACCATAATAATTTTTTTTACATTTTTCTAGAATAGAAAAAATTATGAAAAGTCGGCATTCAGGGTTGTAAGGGTTAATAAGACTGTTCCTTGTATACACTTTTACTCAGACAACCTACCTGCGATCCAATCCACTGCTATGCCCTGGATACTGTTTGACCCAATTCCAGTGGTCAGTATGTCCTGTAGACCAGTGCCATCTGGTTTGATTCTATGAATTCCTCCATCTTGTTTGGAGGTGGGGATGGCCTGCCTTGAGTCCACCCAGTAGATGTAGTTGGACCCCATGTACACATCAATAGCCAGAGTTGCTCTCCCTTTGGGAAGTCAAAAAAAATGTTAATACATTTGTCATTTAGACTACATTTGCAAACATATAAGAGAAGTTAAGTTGGTTTTAAAATTAATAACTGAATGTATGGTGATGCTAGACTGTTAGACAGCTAACCCAAAATTCTCAAGTAGAAATCCTGGTTAAAGTCAGTAGAACATTTCTGAGTCCATCCAGCTCATTAGGAAAAGTAAAGGAGGCTGGGCATAGTGCTGACGACACTATACATTTTATATGCCAAGGTCAAGAAACATGAACTCTACTTCATCTGCACAATGGATCACTATCTCTAAAGAGGAATCTTTATGTGTGGTGATAGCTCAGTGTAATGGTATTTTAACTTGAAGACTAGTCAGTGGAAATAGCCTCGGTAGAGAAGAACAGAACATAAGTCACAGTGACTGGTCACTACAATGTGGAATGGTCAGAACAGTTAAGTTACAAAATAGCAGTAGACCAAAAAAATTATTTTTATATGTTTCATTAATGAGATACTTATCAAATACAAAATAAAAGAGCATATTAATCTGCAAACTAGTTAATAGGTAACTGTTATGGTGTAAAACATATGTGTGTAAAATAAATGTAACAGTGTATACAATGTATATTTGGTGAATACATGCAACAGTCACACTAGATATTCAAAACCAACATCCTCAAGTAAGACAGAAGAAAAAACAAATTACCACTGGTCAGTAATTAATAAATGTAAGCTGACCTTAGTCTACCAACATTTTTAGCCAATAAACAAGATTAATTAATTAATTAAGAAACATAAACTGACCTGAGCCTGCTACTGGTACCATGGCCTCGTCCCCTTCAACACGTGTCATACCAAACCCTCGGATAACACTGTACATGGAGACCACAACAAAGGAGCTCTCAGCTAAAAAACAGGGGGAAAACATCATGATAACATCACTAGCAGGGGCGGAACTACAGTGCCGCCAGACCCCGCAATGCGGGGGGGGCCCACGCCGTTTAGGGGTCCATAGCCGCCCATAATCATTTTTTAATAGTTAAAATTAATTTTCTTGCATTTTTGAACTGATGGTTGTTTTGAAAAAAGAATTCTGTAGACACCATCCCAAGCTCTTGTATATTCTTTTTCCTACAATCAAACACACGCTGTTGTCGGCAAAATTCTTTTGAAAAAACATCAATTGCGCGAGAGGCCACTAGATATTAAGACGGCTTTTTGAGACCATCCCAAATTTGGTACTGATGGATAAAAGCACACCGGTGCTTTGTTGTCCCTTTTAAGTTCCTTTCTCAGACCTCCCCTCCCGCTCTTAGCCTTACAAGAAGCCAATAAATAGCGCCTCAACAACTAAGCTGGCTCATATCGGTGGTAGTGTTGACAAACTAACACTCCAACAACTAATATCCAAGAAATAAAGTGCCAACATTGTTTACGTTTAATAACCACTGTTCTAGAAAACAAGACAAACGTCTCAAATAAATACACGAATGATAGTATGTGTGTATATATATATATATATATATATATATATATATATATATATATATATAGATATATATATATATTAGTTTCGTCACTGGCACCTTGATAGTGGTTTTGTAAATAACAAACAGAAAACAGATCTAATACAGTAGTGATGTTATATAGTAGCTAAGACATGCTGTTGCGTAAAAAAAATTTTTTTTTAAATATACACATTAGCTGTAGTGTGAAAGATAGGCAAACGCTCAAACCACTTCCATAAATTATTTCCCTTTTTCAAATAGTCAAATAGGGTTGCTTAAAAGCTCTTTTTAATAGATTTGTAATAATCAAATTAAACAGCAATTACTGGTCTTAATTATTATTTTAAAAAAATAAGTACTAAAGAATGGTATAGTATAAAAATGAAACGTAGTTAAAATTAATAATATAAACACAAAAAAAAACATAAAAATAAACATAACACGAGACACCATTACTTATACAAAGCTTCATGATTGATATACTTTTGACCGACTTAATGATTAGATGCATTAAACATAAATGAAAACAGATTTTCAGAACAGACCATTGCACTCATACACATAACATGTTGTTGTGATTAGATTTAATTGAATTTTCTTTTTCAAAACCCGATCAGGCAAGAAAGGAGTATCCTATGTTCGTATTGTGTTTATATATATATATATATATATATATATATATATATATATATATATATATATATATATATATATATATATATATATATATATATATATATATATACATAAATTTTTTTGCGGGGTGGACCATTTTTTCTAGTTCCGCCACTGATCACTAGTCACAGACATCAACATAAACATAAACATACAAGTCAGAAACATCATGATAAAAATACAAGTCACAGACATGATAAACACAAGTCACAAACATCATGATAAACATGCAAGTCACAGACATCATGATAAACATACAAGTCATAGACATAATAAACATACAGATCACAAACATGATAAACATACATGTCAAACACATCATGATAAATATACAAGTCACAAAAATCATGACAAACATACAAGTCAAAAACATCATGATAAACATACAAGTCACAAACATGATAAACATACAAGTTACAAATATCAAGATAAACATACAAGTCACAAACATAATTAAAAACATAGAAGTCACAGATATCATGACAAACAAACAAGTCACAAACACCAAGTACAGAATGATGAACATAAACATACAAGTCACAAATATCACATAAAGAATGAAAGAATGAACTGAGAAACTTGTTTGTAACTAACATAAATTTAATAAACATTTAACATTTGTTTAAATAAAATATAACTATAATATAATGTAATTTTAATGAGAAATGTCATGATTAATTATCATTAAAAACCAGCCATCTATCTGCATTATGTAAATAACCAACTTAAAATTCCCTTCAGGTGTGTACTAACAGATAATAGTTTTTTAAATGTCTTAGTTTCTACAACATAACCTAATATAAATAATCTACTAAAATAAAAAGATAGTAAGTTATTTATTCTTATCTACATGAGTAACTTGGAAATTTATTTATTGTAACTGTAAGGGGACAAATATCATATTATGTAATGTCATGAATAAACGTCTTACCTGCACAAGTCCCATCATCTTTCAGTTTAAACCCAGTAGAGCATGCACAGATAGAACCTGAGCTTTTGGGCAGACAAAGATGTTGACATCCACCATTGTTTACTGAACAAGCATTGGTGTCCCCAGCTGTACCAGATAGCAAATAAGTTAATTGAGTTAATTTTTTACTTTAACAAAACTATGTAGATTTTATGTAATGCATGCTGTATTTAACAACATGGTAGTGGTCATGTTGCTAAAAAAAAATTTAAGTTTTGTAATGCTGTAGTAAAATAATATTTAACATTTGTAATACTAAAATATAAAATATGTAACTTTTGCAAACAATTTTAAAATTCAATTTATTTTATAATACATAGGTAAAGTCTACCATTAAATTACTTGTACTGCTAATTTTTATTTTATTTAAATTACTCATTAGAAACCTAAGGAGTTTATTACTCCAGTTTAGTGGTATTATTCAATGTTATAAAATTATGAAAGTTAGAATAAAAAAAAAACTTACATTCATGTCTGTCGTAATAAACTTTGAGAGCGCCAACACCCTTAATGTTGCTGCGTAAAACTGCTGCCGTCCTTATAGAAGGGTAGGGGGCGCGGTTGATAGTCTCATAGATGCTGTCGTAGTAGTACAGTCTGTTGTTGTGGAATACGACACCTTGGGGTGAACCAGAGGAGACGACTTGGGATATAGAGCCAGACTTGATGTAGTAGCGCTGGAGCTGATGAGGGGGGGGGGGATTAAACAATTAGTACAGTATTACCAAGACAACACCCTGGGATGAACCAGAGGAGACCACTTGGGATATAGAGCCAGACTTGATGTAGTAGCACTGGAGCTGATGAGGGGGGGGGGGATTAAACAATTAGTACAGTATTACCAAGACAACACCCTGGGATGAACCAGAGGAGACCACTTGGGATATAGAGCCAGACTTGATGTAGTAGCACTGGAGCTGATGAGGGGGGGGGGGGGGGAATTAAACAATTAGTACAGTATTACCAAGACAACACCCTGGGATGAACCAGAGGAGACCACTTGGGATATAGAGCCAGACTTGATGTAGTAGCACTGGAGCTGATGAGGGGGGGGGGGGGGGGAATTAAACAATTAGTACAGTATTACCAAGACAACACCCTGGGATGAACCAGAGGAGACCACTTGGGATATAGAGCCAGACTTGATGTAGTAGCACTGGAGCTGATGAGGGGGGGGGGGAATTAAACAATTAGTACAGTATTACCAAGACAACACCCTGGGATGAACCAGAGGAGACCACTTGGGATATAGAGCCAGACTTGATGTAGTAGCACTGGAGCTGATGAGGGGGGGGGGGGGAATTAAACAATTAGTACAGTATTACCAAGACAACACCCTGGGATGAACCAGAGGAGACCACTTGGGATATAGAGCCAGACTTGATGTAGTAGCACTGGAGCTGATGAGGGGGGGGGGGGGGAATTAAACAATTAGTACAGTATTACCAAGACAACACCCTGGGATGAACCAGAGGAGACCACTTGGGATATAGAGCCAGACTTGATGTAGTAGCACTGGAGCTGATGAGGGGGGGGATTAAACAATTAGTACAGTATTACCAAGACAACACCCTGGGATGAACCAGAGGAGACCACTTGGGATATAGAGCCAGACTTGATGTAGTAGCACTGGAGCTGATGAGGGGGGGGGGAATTAAACAATTAGTACAGTATTACCAAGACAACACCCTGGGATGAACCAGAGGAGACCACTTGGGATATAGAGCCAGACTTGATGTAGTAGCACTGGAGCTGATGAGGGGGGGGGGGGAATTAAACAATTAGTACAGTATTACCAAGACAACACCCTGGGATGAACCAGAGGAGACCACTTGGGATATAGAGTCAGACTTGATGTAGTAGCACTGGAGCTGATGAGGGGGGGGGGGGGGGGGGAATTAAACAATTAGTACAGTATTACCAAGACAACACCCTGGGATGAACCAGAGGAGACCACTTGGGATATAGAGCCAGACTTGATGTAGTAGCACTGGAGCTGATGAGGGGGGGGAGGGGATTAAACAATTAGTACAGTATTACCAGGACAACACCGTGGGGTGAACCAGAGGAGACCACTTGGGATATAGAGCCAGACTTGATGTAGTAGCACTGGAGCTGATGAGGGGGGGGGGGATTAAACAATTAGTACAGTATTACCAGGACAACACCGTGGGGTGAACCAGAGGAGACCACTTGGGATATAGAGCCAGACTTGATGTAGTAGCACAGGAGCTGGAAGGGGGGGATTAAACAATTAGTACAGTATTACCAAGACAACACCCTGGGATGAACCAGAGGAGACCACTTGGGATATAGAGCCAGACTTGATGTAGTAGCACTGGAGCTGATGAGGGGGGGGGGGGGAATTAAACAATTAGTACAGTATTACCAAGACAACACCCTGGGATGAACCAGAGGAGACCACTTGGGATATAGAGCCAGACTTGATGTAGTAGCACTGGAGCTGATGAGGGGGGGGGGGGGGGGGATTAAACAATTAGTACAGTATTACCAGGACAACACCCTGGGGTGAACCAGAGGAGACCACTTGGGATATAGAGCCAGACTTGATGTAGTAGCACTGGAGCTGATGAGGGGGGGGGGGATTAAACAATTAGTACAGTATTACCAAGACAACACCCTGGGATGAACCAGAGGAGACCACTTGGGATATAGAGCCAGACTTGATGTAGTAGCACAGGAGCTGGAAAAGGGGATTAAACAATTAGTACAGTATTACCAGGACAACACCGTGGGATGAACCAGAGGAGACCACTTGGGATATAGAGCCAGACTTGATGTAGTAGCACAGGAGCTGGAAGGGGGGAATTAAACAATTAGTACAGTATTACCAAGACAACACCCTGGGATGAACCAGAGGAGACCACTTGGGATATAGAGCCAGACTTGATGTAGTAGCACTGGAGCTGATGAGGGGGGGGGGGGGGGAATTAAACAATTAGTACAGTATTACCAAGACAACACCCTGGGATGAACCAGAGGAGACCACTTGGGATATAGAGCCAGACTTGATGTAGTAGCACTGGAGCTGATGAGGGGGGGGGGATTAAACAATTAGTACAGTATTACCAGGACAACACTCTGGGGTGAACCAGAGGAGACCACTTGGGATATAGAGCCAGACTTGATGTAGTAGCGCTGGAGCTGATGAGGGGGGGGGGATTAAACAATTAGTACAGTATTACCAGGACAACACCCTGGGGTGAACCAGAGGAGACCACTTGGGATATAGAGCCAGACTTGATGTAGTAGCGCTGGAGCTGATGAGGGGGGGGGGATTAAACAATTAGTACAGTATTACCAGGACAACACTCTGGGGTGAACCAGAGGAGACCACTTGGGATATAGAGCCAGACTTGATGTAGTAGCGCTGGAGCTGATGAGGGGGGGGGGGGATTAAACAATTAGTACAGTATTACCAGGACAACACTCTGGGGTGAACCAGAGGAGACCACTTGGGATATAGAGCCAGACTTGATGTAGTAGCACTGGAGCTGATGAGGGGGGGGGGGGAATTAAACAATTAGTACAGTATTACCAAGACAACACCCTGGGATGAACCAGAGGAGACCACTTGGGATATAGAGCCAGACTTGATGTAGTAGCGCTGGAGCTGGAGAGGGGAGGGGGGGGTTAAACAATTAGTACAGTATTACCAAGACAACACCCTGGGGTGAACCAGAGGAGACCACTTGGGATATAGAGCCAGACTTGATGTAGTAGCACTGGAGCTGATGAGGGGGGGGGGGGGGGATTAAACAATTAGTACAGTATTACCAGGAGCTAGAGATTTGCTGAGTAGAACAAGTATTAATGATTCAAACAACACAGGCTTACAGTAAAGCTAAACAAGTATTCCTGCACCTTGAATACAAAAACAATAAAACACGAGGACTGTGAAGTAGCCATGTGTAAAAAATTCATAAAATTTGTAGTCTATTGCGTTACTGCCCAACAAGTAGGAGATTTACAAAACATTTAATTTTTCTCATAAAAAATTGTCCATACTGCAGTAAAGAAATTGTCATAAAGGTATAATATGATTCACTTGGGTTCCCATAACATAATGGGGTTGGAACCAGGTGTTGGTACTGAAATAGCATTAAAGACAAAGAGTGTTATTTGTAGAGCTCATTGGTCATAAAGTTTACACTTCTGACTTCATGCACTGCAGACGAGGAGATTCAGTGCCATGTGGAGAGGTGGGCTCAGATCCTGTCTGGCTTCAAACTGCTCTGTCTTTTCAAGGACTATATTCTGTACCTGAGTCTACCCTTGGCATTAAAAAGACACTTTTGTTGATATAGATGTTTAGTTTTGAGGACCTACCTTGTTGTGGAATGTATCGGTGAAGTACAAGCTCTGGGTCTGTGTGTCCAGGGTCATGTACATGGGGGTCCTTATCCCACCCAGCAGCAGCACCCTGGGGTTGGATCCATCCATCTCAACAACAGCGATCTTAGCCGGCACCCCCGGGACTCCACCATCTCCCCAGTACAGCAGCCTTAAATAAACAAACATCACATCTTTAAAATCATGGTACTTCGTCATCTCCCCAGTACAGCGGCCTAAAATAAACAAATATCACATCTTTAAAATCAAATACATTTCTAAAAAAAAAAATCAACAATACACATATTTAAAGCTGACCACTTCTTTAATCAAGTATTTTAATTAGTATTACTAATTTTATGTGAAGTGTTTTGTCCCTAGCCATCGTGATGTTTAATGTTGCCACTATTAAAATACTCTTAATTATCTGAGGGTTTTTTTCTACTTTCTATTTCAGGAGGGCTGGATGGTGGTGGCCTTTTGACAGCTGATTTTCCTATCTGACTAACACATTGGGCCCTTTTCATGACCCTTTCTAGTAGATAATTATTTGTGGTTTGAGCTGGTTGTTTGTTGCTATGACGCTTATCCTGGCATCTTAGTGTTTGTATTTTGTGAACTGTTTCTTATTGTTTCCTATTTTCTATGAAGTTTTCTGAACTAGACTAGTCCTCAAACACATCATTAATTATTTTGCCGACTGCTTCTACATGATCTTCCTACTCTCCTCTGTCACTGTCAAGTCTGATAATCTTAAGGACCCATCGGCTTTGAAAGCAACTGGAGTTCTGTTACCCTTCCGTTGACTTGCGCTATTATGCAACAGTAAAGTGCCACGTCCTGTTACCCGAAATTGCTCAAAAGTTGTTAAAAACTACAAATTGGATATACTATTTATATGAAATTCCTTTAACTTAACTGGCACCTAACTTAAAAGGTATGCAAGTTATACATACACACACCTACAGCTAGATATATAGACAAGATTGCAAAAGAAAGTTTTTTTGGACCCACGGAGGTGTAAAATGTCAAGATTTGTCAATGGTAAAGATTTCAAATTTACAGCTTTAAATATAAATTCATCTAAACTGTATAAGAGAAAGCAAAATCTACACACACCAGGGGTCGGCAACCTGCGGCTCGCGAGCCGCATGCGGCTCTTTTGATATCAAGATGCGGCTCTCCAGCTCCTTGCACAAATACTAATAATCTTAATAAAACAATAAAATATTTGAAATAAAAAAAAATTTTAGTGGCTCTTTAAAACCAGGGAAATTTTTAAAATTGTAACTTTTGGCTCTTCCACTTCAAAAGGTTGCCGACCCCTGACACACACACATACTATGAAAGAAATTACTAAAAAACTTAAAATAAATAAAATTGTATACCATAAAATTGAAAACAGCTATGACTACTAAATAATTAATTTTGAAATCTAATATATTTTAGGGGAAGACTAGAGGCATTTATTTTTCTATAGTTGAAAACCTCGCATTTAATATAATGACAAAAAAATCTTGACTAGGACTTTAAAAATGTGATTTAAAATTTAGTTTTTATTATTTTTATAGTGTATTAATTTTTACTTCTGTCTATGCAAGGCATGTTTGCTTAAGGAACGCACTTAAATCAACTGTAATAATTATTATACATATAGGTTATGTCCCTTTTTAAAACAAAGAGTTATACCCCCTTCCAGGATCCACACAGAGAGACAATGGATTAGCCACATCCCGCCTTCTGCCGCTGTTGCTCAGCAAAACTTTTCTGTAATGTTCTTTGCCATCTAACCTCATAACCTAAATCAAGGGATGTTACTGTCATTTCGTTGACATAAATAAAAACACAAGTAAAAAAATAATTAAATGTTACATTTTTTTTAATTCAAGGGTCAGAAAGTGCAAATGGTTGACTGCTAATCCAAAACTCTTGATATCAGATCCCTGGCTAAAGTTATCTTGTGTTAACCCAACAGAGTACCTGATTTACATTGGGGAAAGTAAAGGCCCTGGGCATAGTGTTGACTACATTTTCCCTTCATGTGCAGAGGTTCGAAAGGGAACATTACTTCTACACTACTAAACAAAGAAAGTCAATGCTTAGATAAAATTTCTTAACTTCATGTAATAGTAATACTCTCTAGCAATATAGAGATACCATTCCACAAAGCCGAGGTCAAAAGCACTAAAATAGGACCTGTCATATGCAGACCTTCCCGGCGCCCGGGGACAAACTTTCGATTTGCACCCCCACCCCCAAACTTTCGATTTACACCCCCTCTCAAACTTTTGATTTGCACCCCCCTCAAACTTTCGATTTGCACACCTCCCCCCCACTCGAACTTGTGATTAACACACCCCCCTCAAACATATGCCCTTCCCCCCCTCACTACGCCTCTGGTCATATGTCAGAATATAAAAACAGCAACATGGGTAAAATTATCATGGTGGTGTAAATTTAATTCCTTCTTAAGCAGTGGTAAATCATAACCCTTACCACTTTTCTCAAATGGTAGCTGTCAAAAGGGAAATAGATATCACACTGCAGTATGTTTTAAAATAACTATATGTCTGAACTGAAAGTGCTGCCACATCTACCTTCCTAGCATCCAAAAAATGGACACTGTTAACCTTAATTTTTTTTTTTAAATGAATACAATATAGAACAATTTCATAGACTCTTTTTGATGCTAACAGAGAAAATCTCATACCATTGTGTTTCATTTTTCATTATTTGATTTACATGGAAGTAGGGTTCAGCTCAAATTTTTTGTAGAAGCTTTGTTCAGTTTTGGGACTGTGTGGCCTAGCAATAGAGTGCTAGACTGCAAACCCATGAGTCTCGAGTTCAAATCCGGGTTCAAATCAGTAGAATGTCCTTGAGTCCACTCAGCTCTGATGGGTAACTAACATACATTAGGGAAACAAAGGCGGCTGACCACACTATCTCTTTATATGCCGAGGTCTGTCTACTTCATCTGCCCCAAGTGTCTTGGGCATGATAGGGAAATGATGATGATGATTGTTTTATTTTACATTTTAATATTTTCTGTGAAACGAGATTCAGTCTAAATTTAGACGCTTCTTGCTTTATTTTTTATTATTTTATTTATTAAAGAATAAACTTCTCCCCTACGATGCTAAATGGTGTCTCACCACATGTGTCTACAGGTATCTATATCCACTAAAATCTTTACACTTTTCTAAACAATTTTATAAAGACCATCAGAGCACAATAACAAATAATTTCATACCTCCTTCAGCCCTGCACCAAGATATCCAGTATTTGGCTATAGCATTACAACATTTAAAAAAAAAATAGTTTCCTTTTCAAACCTGACGGTCTATGGGGCAAGTGAAGTAGAGTTCACTTGTTTCTGTGACCTTGACATATGAAGAGATAGTGTGGTCAGCACTATGACCAGCCGCCTTTACTTTCCCTAACGTTAGTCAGGTACCCATCAGAGTTGGGTGGACTCAGGGACGGTCTACAGACTTTAACACGGATTCGAACTCGAGACTTACGGGTTAGACCACACCGTCCAATTTTTTACCAAATTAAAATATAGCATCTGAGCAGAGAAAAGAAATAGTTTCCTACCTCCATGAGCCCTGCGGCTGCATTAGCCCAGAAAAGGTTCCTAGACATCCAGTCTATGGCTATAGCATTAGGGCTTCCTATAACAGCAGTCGGTACAAACTCTGATGTGTTGCGACCATTCAGCTGAATTCTTTTCAGGCTACCCTGCACAAAAAACAAGGGATTTTAAATTTATTTTTCAGCAAGTTAAGTTCTAAAAATTTTATTTAAAAACTGTTAGTTATTTTTTTAATAATCAAATTGCATTTTTATTTTAATTAATGTTTCAACTTCCTGGTTGCCTCGTCCTAAATCCAGGACAAGAAAGTAGGTGTGTGGTCAGTTTGGGCTAGCAACCTACAATGTAAAACAACAATAACTAGACTTCCTTGGGAGAAGAGATGACAGCTGAGGCAGTATTGCCAGAGATGAAGAATAAGAGGTCACAGGCAAAAAACCTGGCATGAACTCAAGTGGCTTAAGACAGGGATATATTGCGGAGTTTTGTTGCTGCCTTATGTTTCAGTGATGTAGAAATCCAGCAAGTACTGTACTAAACCCAATATTTTTAGCCACTTTGTCACATGATCAACTAGCATCACATGATCAATTAGCATCACATGATGAACCAGCATCACATGATCAACTGGCATCCACCAAACAACAACTTACATTTGTTTTCTCCACATAATAGATGAAACCTTCCTTGCTGTCAAAATCAAAGTCTTGTCCACTGCTGATAGAACTGACCGGAACTATGCCAGTGACATTGGTGCTGCCTAATTTAATGCCAGCAATAAATCGAGACTGCATGAACAACAAAATTTCTGAAGAATCTGGAAGGTAAAATGTGTAAAAATACAGGTTTAGAAAATTACTTGATAATATATTTTTTTAAACTGTAAAACTCAAAGTGAAATTTTAACATTTCTAAAAAGCATGTAAAGTGAGATGTAATCTAAAATATTTAAGTTTGACAAATAGGCCCCTACTTTATAAAAATATTTTTTAAACAGTAAGTAAGTAAGATGAAAAAAAATTGTTTTACGATTATATCTACAACAAGTTAATAAAAAGTCTAGTGACAATTTAAGCGCAATTTCCTTAATTAATTTTTTGTGACAGAACGAAAGGATATTTTTGAAAACTTTCTTCGGCAATATTGTTCTAAATTATGGCAGGAATCGATTGGTAAATGTTTCAAGTCGCTAAGTGGTCTGGTTGCCGAGATATGGACCAAAAATTGCATTTTTTTTTGAGGTTTTTTGGCATTTCCTGAAAATCCAGGAAGGAATTCCGGGAATTTGTTTGGCCCACAATCATCCTCGGAACTTGCTTAACATATTTGCTTTTGGAACTAGTCCTCGATATTGCTTCGTTGAGGAGGAGATACGACTTAAAGCTGCGGACACACATCCATCCAGAAATGACGAGTTAATAATCGCAATTCCGGTAAGGAAATTGCGCTAAAAAAAAAGTAAATGTCTTGAAAAACCTGAAAAATAACAGACTGACTTCTACTACAAAATGTTTTTAAAAATGTTAAATAGGAGAACATCAGAGCAGAATGTGAGAGATGGCATCAAAACTATTCCGGTACCTTTAACACAGGTGTGGGCTGTACCATCCAGCTGCATGCCTATGGGGCAGGCACAGCTGTAGCCAGTGGGTCTTGGTGACAGTAAACACAGATGGCTGCAGTGGTCATTCTGGCATGGATTCGTACCTACAACAAATTATGTGGAGATTTTATTAAACATAAAAATGTAATCAACCATAATAATGAAACTCATTAATTTTGTCAGGTTCTTATCGTGTAGATCAGGGGTCTCCAAACTTTTCAGTCCGAGGGCCGCATTAACTATCAAATTTCAGTTCGGGGGCCAGTTTCTTCCAGGCATGTCTTTGATTTTTTTGGGCAAAATTCCTCCGCCATCACCAACAAACGATTTTTCCTTGGACAAAAAGATCTCCGCGGGCCGGATGAGAGGACTTCGCGGGCCGTATCCGGCCCGCGGGCCGTAGTTTGGAGACCCCTGGTGTAGATTAACAGTCAGATGTTTTGGGTATGAACCAAAGGCTTATAACTTAGATTACCAGTCAGGTGTTTTGGGTATGAACCAAAGGCTTATCTCGTCTCCTAGATTAACAGTCAGGTGTTTTGGGTATGAACCAAAGGCTTATAACTTAGATTACCAGTCAGGTGTTTTGGTTATGAACCAAAGGCTTATCTCGTCTCCTAGATTAACAGTCAGGTGTTTTGGGTATGAACCAAAGGCTTATCACATAGATTAACAGTCAGGTGTTTTGGGTATGAACCAAAGGCTTATCACCTAGATTAACAATCAGGTGTTTTGGGTATGAACCAAAGGCTTATCACATAGATTAACAGTCAGGTGTTTTGGGTATGAACCAAAGGCTTATCACCTAGATTAACAATCAGGTGTTTTGGGTATGAACCAAAGGCTTATCACATAGATTAACAGTCAGGTGTTTTGGGTATGAACCAAAGGCTTATCACATAGATTAACAGTCAGGTGTTTTGGGTATGAACTGAAAGCTTATCACCTGGATTTGAACTTAGGCTACATAAATAAAAAGAAACTTTTCAGAGTTGAATTTTGTGTTGTGATCTAGCATATAAAAGCAATCTAAGGTCTGTACTATGCTGTGTTACCCTATTTGAAGATGAGTATGGCATCAGAGATGGGCAGACAATGTACATTAAATCTGAAGCCTAGTTCATGACTTTTAAACGCTATAACTATTTAAAATACAACATGCATGTAACATCTGATATTCTCTAGGTGTTTAGATGGCATAGTGATCATTGAGTAAACAATATACCCAAAAACTGGCATAAAATGATATAGACAGCTATATCCAAATGCCGGTATAAATAATAAATACAGCTATACCAGAGGCGTAGCAAGGGGGGGGCGGGGAGGGGGGGGGGGGGCAGACCGCACTGGGTGACACCATTTAGGGGGGTGACACCAAGGCAAAAAATAGCAAAATATATTGAGAAAAACTTGAGTGGGGGGGTGCAAATCGAAAGTTTGAGGAGGGGGGGTGCAAATCGAAAAATTTTAAAGTTTGTCCCGGGAAGGGTCACTACGCCTCTGGTGGATGTCATCCTTTAAGTGCCGCACCGGGTGACACCCGACCTTGCTACGCCACTGAGCTATACCCAAAGGCCGGTATAAAACAATATACACAGCTATACCCAAAGGTCGGTATAAATTTACCAGGAACTCAAAAGTTTCCTACCTGTAGGCTGTTTGATGATGTTATACACAGCTATACCCAAAAGTCAGGATAAAATAACTGGAAACTTAAAAGTTTCCTACCTGTAGGCTGTTTGATGATGTTATACACAGCTATACCCAAAGGCCGGTTAATGCTGGAAGCAACCACAGATCTCTCCGAGCAGTTGAATTTGTTACACATGGACACCCTGCTGGCCGCCCGGTCAGTCCAGTACAGCCAGTCCTCGTAGATGGTCAATGAATGGGGGTGTCGCAGGAACTAAACAAGGATATTTGCATTGAAGAAGTCAAATATTTTTTTATTAAACAATAAGTTTTGATAACTTTTGTTATGCTAGAACTACATTTTACATAGTTATTGCTGTGTAACTATAATTTTTTTTAAATTATTTTAGATTTCCATGAAATGTTTTACCCTAGCACTAGAACAGGCAGTGTGAACCACCAATTTAGATATAGATTACAAAACAGATCAGTTAAGTGTTGGAGATAGGTGTTAATTTATTTACTTAATCAAAATTAGTATTTTATCATACTCAATCACTATTTATGATTATAGTTGACTCTTTATTATGGTATAGTTAAAAAGCAATGAAATTAAATTATGTTCTGTTCTTAGTTCAATATAACTGCAAAGGGCAGCAAGACAGTACCCTGGACTTGAGCACAGAAGCAAAATGTGTAATCTAGAAAGATAAGAATGACATTCAGCTTTGGTGTTGGCTATGTTGAAGAATAAGGCAGGTGTGATTAAATTGTGGCTAGAAAAGTGAGATAACATAGGTGTGACTAAATTGTGGCTAGAAAAGTGAGATAACATAGGTGTGACTAAATTGTGGCTAGAAAAGTGATATAACATATGTGTGACTAAATTGTGGCTAGAAAAGTGAGATAACATATGTGTGACTAAATTGTGGCTAGAAAAGTGAGATAACATAGGTGTGACTAAATTGTGGCTAGAAAAGTGAGATAACATAGGTGTGACTAAATTGTGGCTAGAAAAGTGAGATAACATAGGTGTGACTAAACTGTGGCTAGAAAAGTGAGATAACATAGGGGTGACTAAATTGTGGCTAGAAAAGTGAGATAACATAGGTGTGACTAAATTGTGGCTAGAAAAGTGAGATAACATAGGTGTGACTAAATTGTGGCTAGAAAAGTGAGATAACATAGGTGTGACTAAATTGTGGCTAGAAAAGTGAGATAACATAGGTGTGACTAAATTGTGGCTAGAAAAGTGAGATAACATAGGTGTGACTAAACTGTGGCTAGAAAAGTAAGATAACATAGGTGTGAATAAATTGTGGCTAGAAAAGTGAGATAACATAGGTGTGACTAAATTGTGGCTAGAAAAGTGAGATAACATATGTGTGACTAAATTGTGGCTAGAAAAGTGAGATAACATAGGTGTGACTAAATTGTGGCTAGAAAAGTGAGATAACATAGGTGTGACTAAACTGTGGCTAGAAAAGTGAGATAACATAGTTGTGACTAAACTGTGGCTAGAAAAGGGAGATAACATAGGTGTGACTAAACTGTGGCTAGAAAAGTGAGATAACATAGGTGTGACTAAACTGTGGCTAGAAAAGTGAGATAACATAGGGGTGACTAAATTGTGGCTAGAAAAGTGAGATAACATAGGTGTGACTAAATTGTGGCTAGAAAAGTGAGATAACATAGGTGTGACTAAATTGTGGCTAGAAAAGTGAGATAACATAGGTGTGACTAAATTGTGGCTAGAAAAGTGAGATAACATAGGTGTGACTAAACTGTGGCTAGAAAAGTAAGATAACATAGGTGTGACTAAATTGTGGCTAGAAAAGTGAGATAACATAGGTGTGACTAAATTGTGGCTAGAAAAGTGAGATAACATAGGTGTGACTAAATTGTGGCTAGAAAAGTAAGATAACATAGGTGTGACTAAATTGTGGCTAGAAAAGTGAGATAACATAGGTGTGACTAAATTGTGGCTAGAAAAGTGAGGTAAGACAGGTGTGACTAAATTGTTGCTAGAAAAGTGAGATAACATAGGTGTGACTAAATTGTGGCTAGAAAAGTGAGATAACATAGGTGTGACTAAACTGTGGCTAGAAAAGTGAGATAACATAGGTGTGACTAAATTGTGGCTAGAAAAGTGAGGTAAGACAGGTGTGACTAAATTGTGGCTAGAAAAGTGAGATAACATAGGTGTGACTAAACTGTGGCTAGAAAAGTGAGATAACATAGGTGTGACTAAATTGTGGCTAGAAAAGTGAGGTAAGACAGGTGTGACTAAATTGTGGCTAGAAAAGTAAGATAACATAGGTGTGACTAAACTGTGGCTAGAAAAGTGAGATAACATAGGTGTGACTAAATTGTGGCTAGAAAAGTGAGATAACATAGGGGTGACTAAATTTTGGCTAGAAAAGTGAGGTATGACAGGTGTGACTAAATAGTGGCTAGAAAAGTAAGATAACATAGGGGTGACTAAATTGTGGCTAGAAAAGTGAGGTAAGACAGGGGTGACTAAATTGTGGCTAGAAAAGTGAGGTAAGACAGGTGTGACTAAACTGTGGCTAGAAAAGTGAGATAACATAGGTGTGACTAAACTGTGGCTAGAAAAGGGAGATAACATAGGTGTGACTAAACTGTGGCTAGAAAAGTGAGATAACATAGGTGTGACTAAATTGTGGCTAGAAAAGTGAGATAACATAGGTGTGACTAAATTGTGGCTAGAAAAGTGAGATAACATAGGTGTGACTAAATTGTGGCTAGAAAAGTGAGATAACATAGGTGTGACTAAATTGTGGCTAGAAAAGTTAGATAACATAGGTGTGACTAAATTGTGGCTAGAAAAGTGAGATAACATAGGTGTGACTAAATTGTGGCTAGAAAAGTGAGATAACATATGTGTGACTAAATTGTGGCTAGAAAAGTGAGATAACATAGGTGTGACTAAATTGTGGCTAAACAGGTGAAATTAGTCAGGTGTGACTAAATTGTGGCTAAACAGGTGAAACTAGTCAGGTGTGACTAAATTGTGGCTAGAAAAGTGAGATAACATAGGTGTGACTAAACTGTGGCTAGAAAAGTGAGATAACATAGGTGTGACTAAACTGTGGCTAGAAAAGTGAGATAACATAGGTGTGACTAAACTGTGGCTAGAAAAGTGAGATAACATAGGTGTGACTAAACTGTGGCTAGAAAGGTGAGATAACATAGGTGTGACTAAATTGTGGCTAGAAAAGTGAGATAACATAGGTGTGACTAAACTGTGTCTAAACAGGTGAAATTAGTCAGGTGTGACTAAATTGTGGCTAAACAGGTGAAACTAGTCAGGTGTGACTAAATTGTGGCTAGAAAAGTGAGATAACATAGGTGTGACTAAACTGTGGCTAGAAAGGTGAGGTAAGATAGGTGTGACTAAACTGTGTCTAAATAGGTGAGATAACATAGGTGTGACTAAATTGTGGCTAGAAAAGTGAGATAACATAGGTGTGACTAAATTGTGGCTAGAAAAGTGAGATAACATAGGTGTGACTAAATTGTGGCTAGAAAAGTGAGATAACATAGGTGTGACTAAATTGTGGCTAGAAAAGTGAGATAACATAGGTGTGACTAAATTGTGGCTAGAAAAGTGAGATAACATAGGTGTGACTAAATTGTGGCTAAACAGGTGAAATTAGTCAGGTGTGACTAAATTGAGTCTTAATGGGTGAAATTAGTCAGGTGTGACTAAATTGTCACTAAACAGGTGAAATTAGTCAGGTGTCACTAAAGTGTGGCTAAACAGGTGAAATTAGTCAGGTGTCACTAAAGTGTGGCTAAACAGGTGAAATTAGTCAGATGTGACTAAATTGTGGCTAAATTGGTGAGATAATGTGTGACTAACTGTGGCTAAACAAGTGAAGTAAGATAAGTGTGACTAAATTGTGCCTAAACAGATGAAATTAGTCAAGTGTGACTAAAATTTTGCTAAACAGGTGAAATTAGACTAAATTGGTATTGATCAGATGCAGCTACAAGTTTTATAAATGATACAAATAAAACAGAAAATATGAGAAAAATACAAGAAAGAAAATATTAAATTGAAGGAACTCACATGGTCATTAGCAAACACCTGGTGGCGTCCAGTGCCATCATAGTTGCAGAACTCTATAAAGTCCATTCGAGCATCAGCAAAGTACAGTCTCTTGTTGGGGTAGTCAATGGTCAGAGCATTGGGCCAGTACAGTTTTTCTGTCACCAGTGTTGTGCGTCCACTACCATCTAGTCCAGAGCGTTCAATACGTGGGTTCTGACCCCAGTCAGACCAAAACAGGTAACGCACTCTACATGACAATAGAATGGGTAAAGTTACATAAAGTTTTACATGTAAATAAGTTAATGTTTTAAAATGTTACTAAATTAAATTTTATACAAGCCCAATATTTGATACAAAACAATATAGAATGTTTAAGATTTTTTAACAAGTTAAGTTTATAAAAAAAAAAAAAAATAATAATTGAAAATATATGTAAAGCCCCATTAAAATATTTGTCAAATTGTATGAATATATTTAATGTGTGGCTTTCATTAAATACCAGGATATGGAATACAGTCCTTTAGTCAATAGATCCTACCTACAACATAATTAGCTCAACATATGTACCTACACAAAAATCCCACCACAGCTAAAACACCCTGGTTAATAAATTCCCCATTTGACGTTGATATATGAACATTACAATTTGTTCATAAATAATACTGATATTTTAATGCAAATCATAAAACGTCCTTAATTATTGCCTTATCCACAAAACCATCTATAGGATCCATTTCGATGGCCCTGGGGTTTGTGATGTTTTCACTAATTATCCACATACCCATCTCTAGGATCCACCTCTATGGCCCTGGGGTTTGTGATGTTTTCACTAATTATCCACATACCCATCTCTAGGATCCACCTCTATGGCCCTGGGGTTTGTGATGTTTTCACTAAACAAGACCATCCTGTGCTCCCCCGCCAAGTTGACCACCTCAATGGTCTCCATGCCATAGTCAGTCCAGTACAGGTTCTTGCCTATCCAGTCCACTGCTATATCCTCCACTACATCTATCCCTGTTGCTACTATCTGAAAACAGAAACTCATTGTTATTTTACAAGAATAGTTTATATTTATAAATCAGATATAGGGATTATAGACTAAAATAAATGTTTATATAACATAGATTAAACAACAAATGTCTACATCAGATATGAGCCTCATAAAACAAAACGCTGCAATAGATACAGGCGTTATACTACAAAAACCATGTAGCCACATATTACATTGAATGACACTCACAAACATATAACACTAATGGTCATAGATCATATGTTCTAAACTCAAGAAACAATAGTAATAGATGTAAGCACTTTTATATGTACGGGTTTAGCAACAACGTACCAAATGGGTTAAAACAGCAAAGGTTTAAAGAGCTGCAAAGTTTTGAGTTATGACAACGTATAAATAAATCAGCTTAAAATACAGTTGTAGGTTGTGTAATTTATTGAGTATGTTTACGTACATTATGTTGGAGGCTTATTTGCACCCAACCTGTGGTTAAATTAGAATATTTGAACATGTAAAAGTATCCCAATCAAACATGCAAACAGAGGTGTTGTGAGGTGGGGGTGAGGCATACGGACTGCACTGGGTGACAACCGACCTAGCGACACCACTCCATGCATGTAACATGTAATGTTGCAGCTGAACCGAATGATTGATACAATACTTGCAAAATGGTTAAGAAAAATTTACTAGCAATGATGGAAAAATAGAAGTTTTAAAAGTTATAAAAAACAAACCTATAAAATATCCAATATAAGCCAAATGGTTTAGGAAAGTTTACCAGCCAAGATGGAAAATTATAAGTTTTAAAGTAATTAAACTAAACAAATACAATTCATGCAAATAGTTATTAAAGCAAACCTCTGTAGCTTCCAATGTTAGTAAAATAGAGTAGGAAAATTTTTTAGCAATTATAGAAGAGAATGAACTTTCAAAAGTTATGATAGAAAACCAATACAACATTTGCAAATATTTTATGAATATTTACTAGCAATAATTAAAAGAAAAAGAACTTTTAAAAGATATGAAAGCAAACCTCAGTAAGATCCTGCCCATTGATAGTGGTTCTAAAAATCTTCTTCTGTATGGTGTCTGAGAAATAAATGTGAGACTCCCTGACATCAATGTCTATAGCTGTGAGAGATCTGAATGCAGGTAAGGGCAGTGGGTCGTACATCCAGATTTCAAGGTTTGACTTGACTACAGCAGTCCTGCTAGCAATCAAAAGGCTCAGGATTGTCTCATCTGCAAGAGGTTCAATGAAGAGATTTTTAGTACACGTTACTGAACTACTCAGAGCAGCAGAGGACTAAGAACAATGGTGGAAAAGTAAGAGAAAAAAAGCTGTGGTGCCCCAACAATCTCAATTAGGGTTAAGATCCAACAGTTCATTTTTTCAAAATGCCCCTCACAACTTTACAAGTGGTACCCCTCCACACATCCACCACACACACACACTCACATTTACTTCTCACAATTTTACGAGTCCGTCTGTCAGCCAACAGCTGGTAACCCCCCCTCCCCCTCCCCCCCCCCCACACACACACACCACACCCTCACACATCACACACTTACTTCTCACAACTTTACAAGTCCTCCTGTCAGCTAACAGCTGGTACCCCCTACTCCCCCTCACCACACACACACACACCAACACACCCACACTTACTTCTCACAACTTTACAAGTCCGTCTGTCAGCCAACAGCTGATACCCCTCCACACACTCACACACACACACCACACACACAACACACTTACTTCTCACAACTTTACAGGTCCTTCTGTCAGGCAGTAGCTGGTACATCCCCACACCCCCACATACACACACCCACATCACACACTTACTTCTCACAACTTTACAGGTCCTTCTGTCAGCCAATAGCTGGTACCCCCCACCCCACCATCCCCCCACACCCCCACACTTACTTCTCACAACTTTACAAGTCCGCCTGTCAGGCAGTAGCTGGTACCCCTCCCCCCCCCCCATACACACACCACACCCCCACACTTACTTCTCACAACTTTACAGGTCCTTCTGTCAGGCAGTAGCTGGTACCCCTCCCCCCCCCCCCCCCCCATACACACACCACACCCCCACACTTACTTCTCACAACTTTACAGGTCCTTCTGTCAGGCAGTAGCTGGTACCCCTCCCCCCCCCCATACACACACCACACCCCCACACTTACTTCTCACAACTTTACAGGTCCGTCTATCAGTCAACAGCTGGTACCCCCTACACGCCCACCCCACCATCACACTTACTTCTCACAACTTTACAAGTCCTTCTGTCAGGCAACAGCTGGTAACCCTCCACACACTCACACTTGAACGAGCCTTTGGTGTTGATGCAGGTCTGGCTGCACCTCCCTGGTGGGTTACACTCATCTTCATCTAATCATGGAATACAAGGTTTGTTTTTACAATACAATTGTTCAAATATCTACATCATCAAAATGGGTTACATTATATCTTCATCTAATCATGGAATCAAAGTTGTGTTTTTACATTACAATTTTTCAAATAGCTGCATCATTATAGTGGTTAACACTCATCTTCATCTAGTCATGGAATCAAAGTTCATTTTAAAACATTACACAAATGTTTCAAATAGCTGCATTATCAATGTTGGGTTACACTCGACTTCATCAAAGTTTTTTTTTACATCACAATTTTTCCAATAGCTACATCATTATAGTAGTTTATATGTCTTCATTGTGTACATGGAATAAAAGTTGTATTTTACATCATGATCTTATATTGAATTTTATCCATTTTAGTTTACCTTTTTTACCTGTATTCCTCATTAACAGTTTAAATGGAAGGAGTTTAATATACATTAATAATTTTTAGAAAAAAAGAACATGACATTACCTAAACAAACATTAAAACCATGACATTACCTATACAAACTTTAGTGCCATTTAATTCCTGACCCCTGGGACATTTACACTCAGCCCCCCGGGGTGTCTGCATACAAATATGGCTACACCCTCCATTGTTCTCTCCACAGCTGTCTTGATCTAGGAAAATCATTTGATGAAAACAATCATTAAAAATAAATTTTGATGACTCAAACGATGTGGAAAGGAAGTTACCTAGTCTTACGAAAACATGTTTTAGGGAGGGTGGCATTGACAACCCTCCTAGGTGGGATACTGAGAGAAACAGATCAGGAATGTATTGACCAAAGATATTATAGCCACAGAGACAATATCCATTTCTATAACAGAATGAAAACAAAAAAAAAAGTTGAAAAGCTTACTGCAGATAGGACTTTCATCATGTCCTTCAGGACAATCTGCGTTGCCGTCACACACGAGGGTGGTGTTGATGCAGACGTGACTCCCTCCAGGACATTCCCATTTTCCCCTGGGGCAGGAGAATGGTGGCGGGGCTTCAATGCAGATGGAAAAAATTCAAATTTTTTTCAATTTTATTTATAGTGGTATATACACATAATAGACAATAGCTATTCAATTGTAAAAAGACATAATATTCAATTATAGAATAAACAAATCAAAGCTTAAAACAATCAACAAAAGCCAAAAGTAATGTGAAAAGAAAAACAGATATTAACTTAATGGAGTGAGGCAAAGTCTAAGATAAAATGTAATTCATTACATACAAATACCAGCACAAAATGGAGGGGGCAATTTAAGTGAAAAATGGTAATCAAAACCATATAACATACCACACGTAAGGGCTGCATCCTCATCAGAGTTGTCCCCACAGTCGTCATCACCATCACAGACCCAGCCATGGAAGATACAGCGGCCATTCCTACAGCGGAATCTGTTTCCATAGCAGGTTACAGGGGCTGGAAAGGGAGATAATAAGTCTTTTCAGTTTTTAGGGAGATGTTCACAATTCTATTTTATTTACTTTGTTGTATTTTAGGTAATTTTTCTTTTAGAAAAACTACAGATTCAGTGAGTCAAAAAGTCATTTACTTAAATAAGTAAGCTCATTTTTATAAGATTCCTTTCCATTTTATTTTCTGTTTTCTAATTGTATTTTTTTATTCAAGAAATCAAAGGACTCTTTTCATCGTTATTACATCTTCAACTTTAAGAGACAAAATTGATTTTTACTTTCTCCATAAAATACCTATATTAAAAAGCTCATTGATAAAGATAAATGTAGTTTTTAAAAACTTACGGCAAAACGATCCCTCATCCGAATCATCATCACAATCTGTTTGGCCATCACACTTCCAGGTCAAAGGGATGCAACCACCATCTAAACATCTGTACTGGTCTCTGTGACAGCTATCTGGTGTTTGTTCAGCTAAACAGACAGAAACAGTAGCAGTATAAAATCTTAAGCTACAACACAGCTAAAAATCTTAAGTGCTGCTGCTGATTTTAGTTGTTTCCTTCTAATTAAGGATTTACTGATTGTATACAAAAAAAAATTCTAATGAGTTAATAAAATAAATACTTAATTACAATACTGTAAAAATCTTTAAAAATGCTGCTGCAGATTTTAGTAATTTTTTTCTAATTAAGGATTCGCTTATTTTATGGAAAAAAATTTTTTTAATGCTACAATGAGTTTTTCTTATGTATAAAGTTAATATTTATTGATTCTAGTAAAATAAAAATGCACTTCTAAAGGGCATTTTTGTTCTAAATATGAAGCAGCTGAATCAAGAGCTCAAAAATTTATTCTTTGCTCAGCTCAATTTTTTAAATTATTGTGTCAAATCATGGAGAAAAAAAATCCAAGGGAAATTACTCACGACAGTCCTGCTCATCTGATTCATCATAACAGTCTGGTACACCATCACAGTGGTGCTTCGTGAGGATACACTGCCGCACATTTTTGCAGGTCCACCTGGACCCAGTGCAGTTTAATGGAGGGCAGTCCCTTTCATCTGTGCCGTCATAGCAATCATTGCCACCATCGCAGACCCTCACCTCAGTTATACAGCGGCGGTCATCACACTGGAAGAAATATGGTGGGCATGTGTGCTCTCCTACAAAGAAATACAAGAATGGTACAGTAAATGAATCTTAATGGTTAAATAAAATGAATGATAGTGTGTTCTTCTAAAAAGAAATACAAAAATTTTACAATTAAAAAACTCAATTTGTTAAATAAAAAGATTGAAAGAGCTTTCTTCTATAAATTAAAACATAAGTTTCACATCTTAATGGTTGAATAAAATTATTGATAGTGTGTTCTTCTACAAAGATATATAAGAACATTACAATAAATAAATCCTAGTAGTTGAATAAAAGTACTGATAAAGTGTTCTCCTATAAATAAATAAGAGAATTTCACAATAAATAAATCTTAATGGTTAAATAAAAGTATTGATGGAATGTTTTACTACAAAGAAATATAAAAACTTCACAATAAATTAATATTAATGGCTATACAAACAAATACAAGAATTTCACAAATCATGAGTTTGTGGATAAATAAAAACACCACTAAGTCTTTGTTTAAAAACAAATAAAAAATTTTTAGAATAAATTAACCTCCGTTGTTAAATTAAAGTAATGACTCAGTGTCGACATTTAAAGTTAACATCTATTCTAAGTTTTTACAATTTAAAAAAATTTTAAATTACATAAAACTTGTTATTGCTGCTTCCATGGTATTTCTTACAGAAATTTTCCATCTATTGCAATATTTATATCGAAGCTCAAAGGAGCTGAAGCAAAATGGCAACTGGTGGGATGTTTACATTTGCAGGTAAAGCTCAGAGCTTAAACAGATCCAGCCTAACGAACTGAAATCTTATCATAAAGAACCCTTTTCAGCACATTTTGTTTAACAAAAGAAATTATTCTTTCCCAAAATAAAAATAAAAGTTTTCTCAATAATATTTGTAGCATTTATTTAAGTGCTTCTACCAAAGAATATAAAAACTTACTGCAAAATTCCCCTTCATCTGAGCCATCTCCGCAATCATTATCCGTGTCACACTTGAGCGACTGGCTGATGCACAGGCTGTTGTTGCACTGGAACTCTCTAGAGTTGCATGTTTTGGCAGCTGAAATTTTAAATCCCATTTTTAGCAGTGGTCAAGCTATTACATTATTTAATATATATATATATATTCAAATTAGATGGATCAAGTAATTAAAAAAAAATGTGGCTTTTTTATTTAACTTTTATAGCCATGGCAGTTCTTTTACTTTAAAATCAAGAATGTATCAACAATGGTAAATATCAAATAAATCAACAGCCTACTTAAATTGTATAATTTTCCTTAAACATCAACAAAATTACATTTGCTTTTTAATATTTTTATTTTTAAATATATTATGATAATTCTTTTCCTTTATTCTCATTATTAAAGAAAAGTTAACTTACAACAATTTTTTTCATCCGTCATGTCACCACAGTCATTATCTCCATCACACACCCACACTCTACTTATACACTGACCATTGGCACATTTGAATCTGTTGGACGGGCAAGTTGCTGCTGAAACATTATTATTTGCATTTCAGAAAGTTATTATTAGAGATGATTAATCAGTTATAGTATAGAACACATGTATACAGATGTATGACATTGGTGCCTTTTCTTCCCTAATTTATATTAGGATACTGGGCCACTTTAGTTTAACCAAGGAAACAAACTCTTCACTTTTAGGCTTCACTTAAATGCTCTACTATTCTACTTTGGGATGATGTGGCGTAGCAGTCGAGAGCTCGACTGCTAACCTGAAAGTCTTGAGTTTGAATAAAGGTTAAAGAAAGTAGAATGTTCCTGAGTCTACCCAGTTAGGGAAAGCAAAGGCAGCTGGGCATAGTGGTGACCACATTATCATTTCATATGCTGAGGTCTCTGAAACAGATGAACTCTACTGCACCTGCCTCATGTGTCTTGTGGACAAACAGGAAAAGATGATGATTCTACTTCTAGTTATTAAGTTAAGCAAGTAGGCCTATACATTTTTAAAACTTATTTTAAAATTTTCAAAGTATTCACCTTCTGGGCAGTTCATCTCATCCGACTTATCCAAACAATCGTTGTCCCTGTCGCAGCGATAAGAATTTGGTATGCAGCGTCCATTCTGGCACTGGAACAATCCTGAGGCACACGTCGTCACCTCCACCTCCTCTGGGTTTGGCTCACATGTGCGCTGGTCCCTGGCCAACTTCATGCCATACGGGCAGCCACAGTGTCTTCCAACTAAGGACATCCCCTCCGTCACAGGGACCACAAAACAAAAGTTGGAGCAGTCTCCGTTCCGCAGGTGGCAAGGGTTCTGTGCTGTTAAAAAAATATTTAAAGAGTTGTTAACAATAGTGATGCTTATCAATTAACCAGAATTATAAGGGCACTCATTTTCTTTTTCAATTTTTAGTTTTCTCAATAAGTCTATATTTCTTAACAAGGGCTTGTGTTGTTAAAAGATTTTGTTAGAAACTAAAAACCAATTGAGTAAACCATATATAAATAAAATAATTTGTATTTTTTTTTTTTTATATTTTTTGTAAATTGATAAATGAAGATAGTTTGAAAAAAAAGCATTTGTTATTCTATACATACATTTTTCAAAATGCGATAAAATTTAACCATCTTTAAATTTGTAGATAGTTAAAACTTACTTAAAAAAGCAGGGATTCAATTGTCATTAATAACATACCATTTAGTGGCTGTAAGCTAGGGTCGTAGATTCTAATCCCCATAACTCTTCCAATGCCAGATCTCATCTTCATCTCTTGGCCTCCCCTCTTGTTGATACGAATAATAGACTGAAGCCTCCAGTCAGTGTAGTAAATAAATTCTAAATTTTACAAAATGAGCTTGATTTGAATAATTGACTTTATTTTTATTAAAATAATAAAAACTTTTCATACTTTGATATTAATTCACAATTTAAGTATATAGATATTCTTGTTTTTAATGCTAAGTCCGAATTAGTAGACTACTAGCAAATATTAAAATAATTGTTTCAAGTAATATAAGCCGAAATGTTTTTTGAACAACAAATGTAAAAATAAGATTTTATAAATTACTAAATTGGCTCACCTTTATAAATAGCAATGCCAAATGGGTGGACAATGGTGTGTCCGGTCAAAGTTTGAAGATCATCACCATCAAGTTTAGTGTGCTGGATTCTACATAAAGAGAAACAAAAAAGCACTGGTGATTATTCATATTCCATTTTTATAACATTTAAAGACATTCTTTTAAATTAAAAAATAAGAAAATGCATACTTTTCTTCCAAAATTTTAAACTATATATTTTTAAAAATTAGTAAATTATTAATTAAATTTTGTTAATAAACCTAACTTTTAGAAATTCTAATTTGTAAGTGAACTAGCTTTTAACTTCGTAAGCATTGCTTAAACAAAGATTAGTCATATTCAGGATTAATTTTTTTATAAGTCTATATACAAATCTAAATTTTTCATGTTATTTTTAACAACAACAGCGTCATTTCGTCATGTGTTATCTCTCAGTGTCAGCCTCAGTGGGTAATATCATCCCTGCTGAGTCAGTGTTACATAAATAAATATAACAAATAAATAAGGTTGGATTAAACAAAACAACTTTTAATTAACTATTTATAGCATACCTATCAAAATAGGCATCAGCCCAGTACAGCCGATCACTAGCAAAATCAATAGTCAGACCATTTGGCCAGCCAAGCTGGTTTTTTTTAATTTGGGTAATGTTTGTCCCATCTGTAAAACTCCTGGCAATGTAGGCACTTTGTCTGGAGTTTCTCAGCCAATCAGAGTAAAACAGGAAACTGAAGAAAGATAACTTCCATTTGAGTGCTTTGTAAACTCTGAACTTTGATATAAAATTTTAAATAAAAAATTTGAAGGAAGATTGGAACCCATGTCTAATAAATTTACCACTCATCCCCTACTAAAACAAAAAAAAACCACCCATCCCCTACTGAAACAAAAAACCACTCATCCACTACTACAACAAAAAACCACTCATCCCCTACTACAACAAAAAACCACACATCCCTTACTACAACAAAAAACACATTCCCTATCTCCAACAAAATAAGAACCATTTATAATTTTATAAACATTTTAAAATATAATTCGTGGTCTATCTAAAAAAAAAATTAAAAAAAATAAAAGTTATGAAAATAAGCTACTCACCCCTTCAATGGATGAACAACAATAGACCTAGCATTGCCCAGATTTTTTATTAAATCTCTCCTCTCTGTAGGGTGGTTAGCTCTGATCACAGACAATGTACTGCGTCTAAAGTCAGTGAAGAAAAGATTCTTTGATATCCAGTCAAAGGTGATCCCCTCCACGGAGCCTATATCTGTGACCAGCTGGGGCATTGGGTCTAAATTAAACAAGAAAAATATTTTTATTTTATTAGGAAGGCAAAGGTGAAATTTGATCAAATTAATGAAAAATGAAAATTTTTTAACACACACACTACAACATGAAGAATTAAAATTTTTAAAAAGTTTTATATTTAACCGGAAATTTAAGGTTAAAATATTTTGATCATCGTTAGGAAATATAACTGACAAAAATAATTGTAAAAAATAGATCCCTTATGCCTTTTTAAAAATTTTAACATTTGTAACTTGAAAAGACATACAATACTAGAAAATAAATTTTAAAATGTTTCATTCTTGATCATCCAGCTTAAATATCAAAGCGAAAAAGAAAAAATGTTGGAATACAATAACAGAAATTTAAAATTATTAAGTTTTTATATATAAAAAGACAAAAACTTTACACTGGAAATTTTTTATTTAAAAATGTGGGCCTAATCAATAAGAAAATTACCTGATTCCCCTATCTTGCCCCTATATATAACTCTGTTCCTAACATCTGAAAAGAAAACTGTTTCATTCTCTGCATCATAATCCAAAGCCACATAATTGACACCTAGCCTTCCCCAGCGCTGGCCTACAATAGGAGGGATGGCATCGATAGGGTACTGCCCAGGCTCCTCCAGTGAGATGCCTCTAATAGCGCGTGGTGTTGCAAACAGGATAAACTTTTCATTCTCTGAAATTTAAAAATTATACCAATGTGTTGTAGGAGTATGTGATATTCAATTTCAAGACACAACTTTTCAAAGTTAAAGCTGTCTGGGGAAAAAAAACATTAAATGGTGAATTCAAAATTATTAACAATTAATTCTTCTTCTTCTTCGTTCTTCATTTTTAGTGTTGGAAGGGATCCCCTCCAACACAATTAAGTATACGTGTCAACTGGTTATGCGCCATTGAGGCCATTTACTCCAATTTCAGCCTGCTTTTCTTTTTGGATTTGATTCCACAGCCTTTGTCCAACCACAAACAAACTACAAGGCAGCAGTTGTTTAAATTTGAAGTTGTCTCTCCTAGAAGAGTGGCTGTCCCCAGCTAACGAGCCTAATCTGCCTGAGGGTTCGAACTCGAGACCAAATTAAGAGGGACAGTTCAGTTTCCAGGACGGTTAGTCGATTCGTTTTTATCACTACACATATTAATTAATATTTATGTCATATTTATTTAATAATTTTAGATAAAATATTTTGATAAAATGTTAATCCGTTACAATACACTTTCATATTCACTAATTACTTCCCATACCACATTCTGAATTTAACCATGGGAGACAATCTATAAACTGTTCACATTATTGAATAGAAAGCATTAATTGCAGAAATAAATAAATGCACATTGATATTTAAATGTATATTAATAAATAAAAACTATCACATCAAATCATTTTTGAAAATGGCATACATTTCTCTGAATTTTTAAATTAAAGTAATTCTTTTAATTAAAACCAAAAAACACTAAAAAATTATAATATTAATTTTAAGATAAGCAATAACTTCCATTTGACACTGTTTGCCTCATGGTAGGATGTGAAAATGTTATCATAATTTTTTTTTTCCAGAATACAAAGGTTGAAAATAAGTCTGGTTCTGTATAAAATGAATCATCAGCTAACTGTTGGGTAAGCCTGTTATATCAAATTAAGAACTTACAATCATCACAACAGTTGCCAGATCATGAATGACCCATTCTCCAGATCTCTATGAAGCCAAAATTCAATTATGTAATGAGGTCCTATTACATCTTTTTGAAGTGATATACACTCAAATATTCTCAATAATTTTTAATTCGGTGGGCATAATGACTTGTATTTATACATGATTTATAATCATATTATTACATCATGCCACAACTTATGATATAATTATGCAACTTTTTACCCCTTGATATTGATAAGTGTATATATATATATATATATATATATATATATATATATATATATATATATATATATATATATATATATATATATATATATATATATATATATATATATATATATATATATATATATATATATATATATATATATATATATATATATATATATATATATATTCAGGTTTACCAAATAATGCATTTGTTGCATTTAGGCAAACATCCATTTGGGCAATTTTCTCATTCAGCTAAGTGTCTTTTGGGGAAACATCAGTACATATATACAAACTAATAATACAACCTGTAATGAACCCCCCCCCCCCCCCACTTTGAGGACAGACCACAGGTACAAAAGACACCTGTGATAAAGCCATACTGTGGTCAAACCATGTTATTATATATAGTTCAATTAGATTGTATACTTCAAAAGCAGTAAAGTGTGCATTATATGGCAGATTATGTTTTTATGAACTCTGCATATGGGGAGTTAGAGTAGTCAACACTTTGTAGGGCAGTCTATAAAATTAGTGGTAAAAACATACCCCCTTAAGGGCCAACTAAATCAACCATAGGTAGGTGACTGAGCCTAACAATAAAAATTGTATTTCTTTACCAAAATTTTTTTTTAAAAGCTGAATGTTAAAAAAAACAAATGTGCCTTACTTGTGCAGTTAACCAATGTAGAATCCAGCTCAAAGCCAGCCTTACACAAACATCTGTAGCCGAGGCCATTATTATCCGTGGTGTGAGAGAGAGCGCAGATATGTTGGCATGGGTTATCTTTACAAGGGTTGGTGCCAGCTAAGGAGGCAATATAAATAACGCTTATGACCAACAGAAAAAATAATAAAGCTATACTTACAGATGTATGTGCATAAAGCAATGCAACATTGAATTCATCAATTTCATTAAAGAAGCAAATAAAAAATATAAACTTCAGATAGTCAGATAATTATTATTATGACAATTAGATTAGAACTCTAAAAGAAAACCTTTTAATCTTACAAAAAAAAATTTTTTGTAAGATGTTTCTTTATGGAAACATAAAATAAAAGAGAATAAGAAAATAAATGCTGAAATCTTTCTTCTAGTTTTTATTCTTCTTAAATCTAGTGTTGGAAAGGATTTCTTCCAACACAATTAAGCCTTACGGGTCAACTTGTTATGCACCATTTATGCCACTGACTCCGATTTCAGCCTGCTTTTCTTTCTATATTTGCTTCCGTAGCCTTTGTCCAACCAAGAACAATCTACAAGGCAGAAACTGGTTAGTGGCTGTCCCCAGCCTCATCTGCCCGGGGGTTCTTCTTCTTCTTCTTCTTCGTTCTTAATTATTAGTGTTGAAGGGGATCGAGATTTATCTGCCAGTGGGTTTGAACTCGAAACTTTGTTCGAATGTATCAACCATGAGCTTTTTGCCGACTCGACCACGTCTCCAACACAATTAAGCGTTACGTGTCAACTGGTTATGCGCCATTGAGGCCATTGACTCCGATTTCAGCCTGCTTTTCTTTTTGGATTTGCTTCCATAGCCTTTGTCCAACCAAGAACAAACTACAAGGCAGCAGTTGTTTAATTTTGGAGTTGTCTCTCCTAGAAGAGTGGCTGTCCCCAGCTAACGAGCCTCATCTGCCCGGGGGTTCGAACTCGGGACTTTTCGCTTCAACAAGTCATTGTTAACTCACCCCTGGACGAGAGAACATGCATGTGTGGGTGGTATGTGGTTACAGATGTCGGAATGCCAGAATCTGCCTTGTAGATCTGCTTCAGTGTTTTTGGCTCAACACTGTTGTCGTTTTTGTTGATCCTTATAGCGCCCAGCTTTGTAATGTCTGCAAAGAAGATCTGGTTTTCAAAAATGGCCACAGAGACAGGGGCAGGGATGTTCAGTCCTCCAGATACGATGGTCCTCCTTTAGTACATTAAAAAAATTTCATTATCAAAGTAGTACATGAAACATGTTCATTTATAATGTTACATTGTTCATGTAAATAAGCTATGTATGATATTGTGTTATTTTATTGTTGTATTGCTGTTTGATTATCAAAGTAGTACATGAAACATGTTCATTTTTAATGTTATATTGTTGATGTAAATAAGCTATGTATGATATTGTGATATTTTATTGTTGTATTGCTGTTTGATTATCAAAGTAGTACATGAAACATGTTCATTTTTAATGTTATATTGTTCATGTAAATAAGCTACATGAACTGTACAGTATGATATTGTGTTATTTTATTGTTGTATTGCTGTTTGATTATCAAAGTAGTACATGAAACATATTCATTTATAATGTTACATTGTTCATGTAAATAAGCTTTATGAACGGTACAGTATGATATTGTGTTATTTTATTGCTGTATTGCTGTAAGGGTTAGGGTCATGCTGAGCTCAGGGATAGAATCAAGGTTAGGGTCAGGGCTAGATCAAGTGCAAGGGTTAGGACTATGGATGTGTAAATCACAAACATAAAAGTTCAATATGACCTGCTGGTGTTTTAATTAGCAGGCCCTAACAATTGTGAATTTATGTACAAGTAAAGTTACCCTTTTTGAACTTGAATCTATGAGACAGATGAAATAGAGGTCACCTGTTTTGGTGACCTTGGCTTATGAAGGGATAGTGTGGTCAGCACATTGCCCAGCAGCCTTTACTTTCCCTAAGGTGAGTCACGCACCCATCAAATCAGGGTAACTCAAGGAATGCTAAAGACCAGCAATCTGAACTCAAGACTCTTGGGTTAACCATTACGCACTCCTCCACCCAACCACACCATCCCATCAAAATATATAAACACTTGGTTAACTGTCTAGGGTTTACCAAGGACCCCCCTCCCCTCAACCACAGTCCCATCAAAATATATAAACATTTAGTTAACTGTCTAGGGTTTACCAAGGACCCCCCCTCCCCTCAACCACTTAGTCCCATCAAATTATATAAACACTTGGTTAACTATCTAGGGTTTACCAAGGACCCCCCACCCCTCAACCACAGTCCCATCAAAATATATAAACACTTGGTTACCTTTCTAGGGTTTATCAAGGAACCCCCCCCCCCTCTCCTCCCCTCAACCACACAAACCCATCAAAATATATAAACACTTGGTAAACTGTCAATGGTTTACCAAGGAACCCCCCTCCCCTCAACCACAGTCCCATCAAAATATATAAACACTTGGTAAACTGTCTAGGGTTTACCAAGGACCCCCCCTCATGCATCAAGTACTCACCTCTTCAAGCCATTGTAGTCCACACTCTCCAGGTGGTCCAGCTGTGAGTCCACCCAATACACTCGCTGGTTGACCATGTCTAGCGTCAACCCCTGGGGGTAGAGAATTTTATTCAAGCCCAGGTCCCATCTTTTGCTGCCATCCATAAAAACTCTTTCAATCCTCGGCTTCATCATTGGACCTTTTAATCCTCGGTCAGCAAAGAAAAGGTACCTGAAAGTTTTGTTCTTTAGTAATTTATTGTGCAAATAGTGCGCATTTATATTTTCATTTGTTTAAATAAATAATACTAATTCATAATTTGTTGCTAAAATTTGAAAAAGTGTTGAATTTATCGTTCTTCAATGATTATTGAACATATGAAATACACCAACAAAAATTAATTTTTCAAATTAACTTTTCAAGTTATCGCATAGAATATTATTTTATTGAATGTTCAATAAGGCTGCTGTATAATAGTTACTTCAAATTTAACAAGATAAAGGTTTTTTTTTTTCACTATATCATTGCCAAAATTAATAAAATATCCCCAGACATATAACATCCCCACCAACTAGAGCAGTATGAGAATGTAAAAGTTGGTTATTAAAGTTAAGTGGTTGACACCAAAGCTCAAAAACAACTTGAAATATCTTGGAAAGTTGTATGTAAAAATATATGTATAACATAGCCTTACAGCTATTTAAAAACTAAAGGGTATATTGCCCCAGCAATATTTACTCCCCTTCTCCCTCTCCTCACCCCCACCTCCACCACTCAAATCAATTACTTATTACAGCTGGATGGACAATTCATGGGTGTCCTATAAACTCATGGCCCTTAATCATAGAAATCTTTTGATAACATAACATTGTGGCTACATAGGGCTAAATCTTACCCTGTATTGGGATCAACTACCACAAACACTGGGGTCTACAGACATTGTGGCTACATAGGACTAAATCTTACCCTGTATTGGGATCAACCACCACAGCCACTGAGCTCTAATGGGATCAACCACCACAGCCACTGGGGTCTACAGACATTGTGGCTACATAGGACTAAATCTTACCCTGTATTGGGATCAACCACCACCTACATAGGACTAAATCTTACCCTGTATTGGGATCAACCACCACAGCCACTGAGCTCTAATGGGATCAACCACCACAGCCATTGGGGTCTACAGACATTGTGGCTACATAGGACTAAAGCTACAGACATTGTGGCTACATAGGACTAAAGCTACAAACATTGTGGCTACATAGGACTAAAGCTACAGACATTGTGGCTACATAGGACTAAAGCTACAAACATTGTGGCTACATAGGACTAAAGCTACAGACATTGTGGCTACATAGGACTAAAGCTACAGACATTGTGGCTACATAGGACTAAAGCTACAGACATTGTGGCTACATTGGACTAAAGCTATAGACATTGTGGCTACATAGGACTAAAGCTACAGACATTGTGGCTACATAGGACTAAAGCTACAGACATTGTGGCTACATAGGACTAAAGCTTACCCTGTATTGGGATCAACTACCACAGCCACTGGGGTCTACAGACATTGTGGCTACATAGGGCTAAAGCTTACCCCATGATGCGACCAACCACCACAGCCACTGGGGTCTACAGACATTGTGGCTACATAGGACTAAAGCTTACCCTGTATTGGGATCAACCACCACAGCCACTGGGGTCTGCAGGTTATCTGATATCAAGTTGTGCTGGTGGCCTGATGGAATGTTCAGCAGCTCTATGCGGGCAGTGTCCCGGTCAACAATGTACAGGTTGTTGGTCAGCCAGTCCAGGGCAATGTCCACAGGGATGGCTAGCCCATGAACTTGGAGACGTAGAGGTAATGTGTAGCCATTTGCTGGAATGGTGTAAATCTGAAAAAAAATGGAACTAGTTACTTCTGGAATGGTGTAAATCTGAAAAAAAATGGAAATATTTACTTCTGGATCTGGAATGGTATAATTTTAAAAAAAAATTGGAACTAGTTACTTCTGGAATGGTGTAAATCTGAAAAAAAATGGAACTAGTTACTTCTGGAATGGTGTAAATCTGAAAAAAAATGGAACTAGTTACTTCTGGAATGGTGTAAATCTGAAAAAAATGGAACTAGTTACTACTGGAATGGTGTAAATCTGAAAAAAAAATGGAACTAGTTACTTCTGGATCTGGAATGGTATAATTTTGAAAAAAAAATTGGAACTAGTTACTTCTGGAATGGTGTAAATCTGGAATAAAAATTGAAATAGTTTCTGGAATGGTGTAAATCTGAAGAGAGAAAAACTATCACGTGACCAGTTGCTTGAATGAGGTAAACTTAAGGACAATTTTTTTTCACTGTGTAACAGACTGCAAGAACACCGTCAGTCTTAAAATAGTTGTTTTCAAGTAATTTTTTTTTAACCTGAACTAACATTATAATGGAAATATTTTTCTGAGTTTTATACAGAGAAACTGGTAAACTTAGAGGATGTTCTGGATATCCAAAGAATATCAACTGGTTGACTGTAGGCTTCAATGGTTTTGTGAATGTTGGCATTGTTTATCTGACACTCTCTTGGGTAGACATGACATTCAAAATGGCTTGCCTGATATTATGAATATTTAATAACATCCGGAGTTGCTTACCTTACATCCGGAATAGCTTACCTAACATCCGGAATGGCTTACCTAACATCCGGAATGGCTTACCTAACATCCGGAATGGCTTACCTAACATCCGGAATGGCTTACCTAACATCCGGAATGGCTTACCTAACATCCGGAATGGCTTACCTAACATCCGGAATGGCTTACCTAATATCCGGAATGGCTTACCTAATATCCAGAGTTATCACCATTATTTCTGGTTGGTGCCCAAGACATATGGGGCAGATGAAGTAGAGTTCATCTGTTTCAATGACCAAGGGGGATAGTGTGACCAGCACTATGCCCAGCTGCTTTTGTTTCCCTAATGTGAGTCAGGGAATCATCATAGCTGGGTGGACTCTAGTACATTCTCCAGACCCAAGCCTGGGTTCCGAACTCGAGACTTTCAGGTAAGAAGTCTACTACTCTACCGCTAGACCACGCAATATCTGGAATGGTTTACCGTGAAAGTTTGAAACCTCACCTGGTTATCCGTGTGGTTAATGTAGTAGATCATGTCCCCATTCTGGCCCATCTCCACATCCGTAGCATCCACCTGGACTATTTCCTTCACATCCGCACCATCTCTGCCCATTGTGATGATCTTTGTTGTGGTTGTCATAAGGAGGCGAACACTGTCACCTAATTAGGAAATAAAATGTGGGAAGATCTTTATATTTGTAATAAACACACACAAAAATGCTAATATAAGGTTTAAACCATTAACAAAAATGAAAATGAATTTTTCACTCTTTTAAACACATAAGAAGAATTCTTTAAGTTTATATGATAAATAAAAATGTAATGCTATGTCCTAAATTCACTCAGGCTTGTCCAACTTTAACATTTTGAAATATGCTCCATAACTTAACCAAATTTATTTCAACATCCTAGGTTAGCAAATGATTAACAGAAGGAATGTAAGGCTGAGGTTGAATGGGCTAGGTCAGGAGACTCAATCAAGCTTAATCCACCCCTAAACAAAGTCAATCACATTACTTAAGTTGAATTTGCCCTAAACAAAGTCAATCACCTCACTCAAGCTTAATCCACCCCTAAACAAAGTCAATCACCTCACTCAAGCTTAATCCACCCCTAAACAAAGTCAATCACATCACTCAAGCTTAATCCACCCCTAAACAAAGTCAATCACATCACTCAAGCTTAATCCACCCCTAAACAAAGTCAATCACCTCACTCAAGCTTTATCCACCCCTAAACAAAGTCAATCACCTCACTCAAGCTTTATCCACCCCTAAACAAAAACAATCACCTCACTCAAGCTTAATCCACCCCTAAACAAAGTCAATCACATCACTCAAGCTTAATCCACCCCTAAACAAAGTCAATCACATCACTCAAGCTTAATCCACCCCTAAACAAAGTCAATCACATCACTCAAGCTTAATCCACCCCTAAACAAAGTCAATCACATCACTCAAGCTTAATCCACCCCTAAACAAAGTCAATCACCTCACTTATGTTGAATTTGCCCCAAGATAGTCAAAAGCCTCACTTAAGCTTAATTTGCACCTTGAGAAAGTTAGGGACCTTAAAAATAAATATTCCTTTACACAAGCAAATCAAATGATGATGAGAGAGGGAGAGAAACAATGGCTGTGAACCTACTGTTGGGAGTCTTGCAGATGTTGTTTTGGTCTGGGGTGTAGCCGGGCCTACAGCTGCAGGTGTAAGATCCAGGTAGGTTGGTGCACAGCTGGTCACAGAAGCCGTCAGTGGAGCACTCGTTATAATCTGTTGGTTAATTTTACATCATTAATCAGATATTGTATCTAAGAAATTAAGGGTTTTTTTTTTAACTTTATTAGTAAAATGGTGTAATTAATTAAGTTGTTTTTTTTTATCGCAATTGGATATACTATTTCTTGTTGAGACTACTCTTTGATCTTTTTGACTGATTAATTAATTATGAGATTGATATCACAGCTTTTGGGCATGGGGCAAGTTAAACATATAAATTATATTTGTTTTCTCTGGGATTTTTTCTTCTTCTTAGTTTGGAACTTCCATTTTCCATTTTCTCTACATATTTAGGCAATTGCAATTTCCAGTTTGTTTGTGCATGAAATTCTTGTTTGTTTGCAAGTTTTTTATAAAGCTATATGCTGACAACATGAGAAATCAAAGAAATGACCAGGGAAGATGAAGAATGAGCTAAACCTCATTGATGTTTTTATAATCTTCCAACACATTTTTTTTCTTTTAATCATTTTGTGTTTGATGAGATTTTAGTTGTGACAGCTTGAGAATTTATAGAAATGGCCGATACAGGATAAACAATATCACTACTGACCAACACATGTCCTGTTATCTTGGCCAATCTGGTACCCAGTTCTGCAGTAACACTGACCGCCAGTGGGAGTGGCTTGACACAGGTAATCACATGACTTGTTAGAACAGGAGTTGGCTGGGAAAATGTGATGGACATTATATATGGAGAGTTTAATATATGGAGAGTTTGATATATGGAGAATTTAATAAATGGAGAGTTTGGTATATATAGCAAGATTGATGTATAGAGAGCTTGATATATAGACAGTTTGATATATGGAGAGCTTGGTATATGGAGAGCTTGGTATATGGAGAGTTTGGTATATGGAGAGTTTGGTATATGGAGAGTTTGTATATTGTGAGTTTGGTGTAGAGAACTTGATATTTGAAGACTTTGATACATGGAGAATTTAATAAATGGAAAGTTTGGTATATGGAGTTTGGTATATATAGCGAGATTGATGTATAAAGAGCTTGATATATAGACAGTTTGATATATGGAGAGCTTGGTATATGGAGAGTTTGTATATGGAGAGTTTGTATATGGAGAGTTTGTATATCGAGAGTTTGGTATAGAGAGCTTGATATATGGAGACTTTGATATATAGAGTTTAATATATGGCAAGTTTGCATATGGATAGTTTGGTGAATATAGAATGATATATGGAGTTTAATATATATGTGAAGAGCTTGATATATGGAGAATTTATATGATATATGGAAAGTTTAATATATGGAGAGTTTATATATGGAGAGTTTATATATGGAGAGTTTGATATTATGGAGAGTTTGATATATGGAGAGTTTGTGAGCAAAAAAAAACAATACATCCACTCAAGAATTTACATGGAGTACCTACCACAGTCTCCACCTTCATCCCCTCCTGAGGAACATTGCTTTGTTCCATCACAGACTTGAGACAATGGAATGCATCTGCCATTATGTGGACAAGCCCATTCATGGGGGTGACAGGTGTAGTTTTCTAAAATACAGATAAACAAGCAAAATTCAGTGTAAACATTCAAATACAAAACACTTGTTTTCTGTATGAACCATATATTTTGTCTTATATATAATCTCTTATTTACAGTGATTTTTTAAAAAATTCTAAAATATTTAACTTTTTGTCCATTCATTTGATAATGCTAAAATGTTAGCTTTTATAAAATCAAAATTAATATCTTAGATTAGTTGTCAAACTAGCCACTGAGGCTACTAATAAGCCAAACACACACAATTAATCTAACTTTAGATATTTCCAAAGTTTTTAAGATATATTTTCAGTAAAACACTAGGGTACAGATTTATTGAGTTGGTTAATGAAATATACTTTTAGCAATGTTCTGCTGAATAGATGAAAATGACCAAATGTCATTATCAAGCATCAGGCACATGACTGCAACAAGACCAGTTTACAAACTGACCACAGGTCAGTATCAAACAATTCTTACAATAGGTCTGTGACCACAAATTACAGTTAACAAAATGACCACTGGTCAATATCAAGCATCAGACCTGTGACTACAACACAAGCAGTTCACAAAATGACCACTGGTCAGTATCAACTAATAGATTTGTAATGCCAAGTTGCAGTTAACTAAATGACCACTGGTCAGTATCAACCAGTAGGTTTGCGATCTCACATTTTAGATAACGAATTGACCAATGGTCAATATTAACCAATAGATTTGTAATGCCAAGTTGCAGTTAACAACCACAGGTCAGTATCCAACACCAGACCATGGATGTAATAGCAAGGACTTACTACAGTTAAGCTCATCACTTCTATCTGAGCAGTCGTCTGAACCATCACACACCCACTCTTGAGAGATGCAGATATTATGGCAAGAAAATTCATCTCCGCTACACTTTGGTAATACTGTGGGTAATGGGTAAAAAAGTTTCAAGATTATTTTATTTTAAAGAAAACATAGAATATTCTTTTTAAAAGAATAATATATTAACATATTTACATTTTTATTTATATTTGGCAATAAAAGCATTTTTAGAAATATCAGTTTAATAGTCAAACTTTTATATATTTTTTTCAAAACCATGCAATATTAACTTAATTAAGAATGAGACATGAATTCTGTATTTAAACAGAATATAAAAATGAATGTATGTTTTATAAAGAAAAATGTAATTGCATTTTTAATGAACATACAAATTAACTGGATTGGCCTAATTATTGTGCTCACTAAAAAAATTGGATATATATATTAAAATACCTAAATTATATTTTACATATTGCATAATACAAAATAGGCTAAATTCAAGCTAAAAATTTCTGACATTTTCATTTTTCAAAAATACACAACTTTAATGGTCTTTACTACTTTACTGCAAGAAAATCCTTTTTACCTAACTTATTACAGTCACTAGTTTCATCGCTGTTATCACCACAATCATCGTTTCTGTCACATCGCGCAGTCTTTAAAATACACCGGCAGTTTGTACACTGGAATTGATCCTCTGAGCATGGTAGTAAACAAGCTACACACAAAAAAGAAAAGTAATTAATTAGAGAGATGCTATTATTGAATCATTGATTGATGTAGCTTCCAGGCATCTGTCCATAGTCCAAATGATAGTGAATCATAGTAGCACTGTGTAGATTGTAGATCTATGTAATAATAGGGCACTATACTAGATTCTACTTTACTCTATAAATATATAATATACTTTATATATATATAGATAGCAGGGGCGTAGCGAGGGGGGGCGGGGGGTGCGGACCGCACCGGGTGACACCATTTAGGGGGGTGACACCAAGGCAAAAAATAGCAAAATATATAGAGAAAAACTTGACGGAGGGGGTGCAAATCGAAAGTTTGAGGGGGGTGCAAATCGAAAACTTGAAAACTTGAAAGTTTGTCCCGGGAAGGGTCGCTATGCCTCTAGGGGGGTGACACCATTAAGTGCCGCACCAGGTGACACCCGACCTCGCTACGCCACTGATATATAGGTCTATGTCATGCCTCATATGAATCATAATGACAAATGAGATGTGCAGTGTAAGAGTAAGAAGAGTAAATTTTAAAGTCAAGTGGAGTAATCCATCAGTTACAAAGTTTTGAAATTATTATATTAATTATTAATTATCTATAGGCCTATTATTATTATAATATTATATTTATTTTAATTTTATAGATCACTAGAACTAGATCTATGGTTATTAGACTCTACTAGCTAGAGTTAGTAGTAACTTAGTAGAGTAGATCTATTTTTTTTTAATTCATTAATAATTTAATATTATTATTAAACTAATTATCTTTTAATAAAATGTGTCAGATAGTCAGATAGTGTCAGTAGATCAAGCTAAACTGTAGATCTAGATCTACTAAATAAATAGTTAAGTAAGTAGAATCTAGAGTCTAATAAGCATTAGAATCTAGATTCTAGATCTAGACTAGATCTAGATCTACTAAGGGAGTAAGTAGTCTCTGCTTGTGTTTTGTGTAGAGCAGTCGATGAACAAGATCAAATAAAAACCGAAACAGGAAGGGAAGTGGAGAAAAAAAAAGTTCACCGGGCCTAAGGACTTAAACTTCAAAATAATGAAATAGTTTCTTTTTGTGGACCATTTGCCTTTTGATGAACCAGATGTACTATAAAATTCGGTACGGGAATGGGTTTTACAAAGGCTACGTTAAGTTGGTGGTGCTTTGTGACGTTACATACAATTTGTAGGCAGATATCTCTTGTCGTCATTAAGATGGGGGAGGGGAAGGGGGATCTGGCTTGGTTTGCCTTGTTGGCAAAAGTGTTTTAAATCGTATCAAATAGAAGGATGTCATACATCTAAGGTAACACCTAAAGCTTTGTTTTTAAATCTTGGGAATGATATAATATGCGAATAGGTAGTCCCTACGTAGGCCTAACAATTGGCCAGGATAAAGTACTTTAACATATTGGCCTACTTTACATATCAGTAGGCTTAGCCTACCTGTACGACGATTACTTTATGAGATGAACCTGCTATTAATATCAATTTACGCTTTTTTCTTACATTATGCTATAGACGGGAAACGACCCTTCCCCCTTTTGTAAGCCAAACATTGAAAGGACTGAATACATTATCTCCCTCCAAAAATATTATAAACGCATAGCAAATGAGATATTAAAAGAAAATGCATAAGGCCTAACGAGGCGATGTATTAGCTTAAATAATGCGCATAGGGCCTACACTTTAGTTTCTTATATACTTAAGTATATTATGAGACCTGGGGCTGAAAATTTCGAGGGGGGGGGGCGGACACTGGTAAAGATATGGATATATAAATATATACAAATTATATTTCGTTCAAAGAGGGTTGGGGGTGGTAGACATGCTTAAGGGGCAGGAGAGTCGTGTTCCCCCCCCCCCCCCCGGAAGAAATGTTTCGAGAGTATCTCAATGTTTATCATTATTCGGTTTTAACACTTCAGAAATAGTTTCATACTTATCAGTAATCAAGTGTGTAAGTTCAAGTTAGTAGAACGAGAGTCCATCCAGATCTGGTTAGGGAAAGTAAAGGGGGCTGGGCATAGTGCTGACCACACTATCTGTTCATATGCTGAGTTCACAGAAACATGTGAACTCTAATTCACTTGATCCACTGACCGTTAGGTTCGAAAAGGGAAATTTATTTTGATCCTTCATCTAGATAACAGCTCCTTACAAATTCAGAGCAGTATAGTTCTCCGTATTTAAGATTTACGTTTTGAACTAGGTGACGTAACTTTAAAGAGAGAGTAGGATCAGAGGCGTAGCGAGGGGGGGGGCGGGGTGCGGACCGCACCGGGTGACACCATTTAGGGGGTGACACCAAGGCAAAAAATATATAGAGAAAAACTTGAGGGGGGGGGTGCAAATCGAAAATTTGAAAGTTTGTCCCCGGGAAGGGTCGCTATGCCTCTGGGGGTGACACCATTAAGTGCCGCACCGGGTGACACCCGACCTCGCTACGCCACTGAGTAGGATAAACAAGTTCCAATTTGCTATTTTAAAAAAAAATAATATTTTAGTCAATTTTAATTGTTATTGTAAGTTTTATTATAAGTTTTAAATGCTTTAAATATTTAGGAGCAGAAAAGGTGTATTTAGGAGGGACGGAGTGTTGATTTATTGGGCCTTTGCCTTTATTTTTATTTTTAGCACACAACGCGGATATACATTTGTTTTATTTAGTACACCGACCAGATAAGATAAATAAAAGTATCACGAATTTAAACTAAAAAAAACACTATGGTATTTTTTTTTAATACGTGTGTTCATTTAACATCTTATTTTCATTCTGAAGCAGTGGCGTAGCGAGGTCGGGTGTCACCCGGTGCGGCAATTAATGGTGTCACACCCCCCCCCCCCCCGCTACGCCTCTGTTCTGAAGGGTAGTGATGTTTTAGTGCTTTCAAATTTTAAGATAGACACGTTTAGTTTATTATCTGTTAGGTTGTATTACAACTACATTAATTTATTCAGAGGCGTCACAAGGAGGGGGGGGTACAGGGTGACGGCATCTGCGGGGTTGACTCCAAAAGAAAATACAAGTCATTTTGATAAGAAAGTTTGCTTTTTCCAACTTGAATACCAACTTATTAAGATTAAATACCTACTCTATTGCGGTTTTAGACATAGGGAGACATACAGCATATATGGGTTCAATGAGCAGTGTTTCTTCCAGACTTTTTTTCGGGGGGGGGGGGGCGGACACTAGTAAAAGTATATATTTTCTAAATAAATTTCATTTCGTTCGGGGGGGGGGGGGGGGGTAGACTCCGCCCCCCCCCCCCCCACCCGAAGAGATGCCTTGAAGAAACTCTGTTAAGGGTTCTGCGGAGGTCAAACACACACCCGGCTCATACGATTCACCATCGGATTTTGTCAGTGCGGACGATAGAACGATTAAGAAGGGCTCGGCGTATGCGCATATGAAACTGGCGGGGTTCGGTACCTCCAAAAATGTTAAGAACCACTGTACTAGAGTTATGTTAAAGGTAGCGGATACTTGTAAAACAAAAGCAGCATCAAATGACGATGTTTAAGTAAGTTCTTAGAAATGCGTAATTAATTTACGCAGTTGTTTTTAAGTTCTATTAAAAACGAGTGACAGTTTGTTCTATAAATTGACCCCTTAATTCGGAGTTGATTAATGTTTTGCTTTCACCCACGTCAGAGGATATCAAGGATCACGGTAACCCCGATGACGTCACAAGGCGGACGAGACAATTGTCTCAGTGTCGCCACTCGTGGTCTTAGGGAAGTTACCGGCCCAGGTAACACAACAACCCTTTGGTGAAAAGATGGCCTGCCCCAGGCCGATTACAACAGAAACCATTAGGCCTGTCATATCTGTCAGTACAGGGGTCGTCTGACAAGGGAGACAACGCTCCAGGAAAAAAATGTTTTTTAGAGTTATGGTCCTTGGGGCATTCGTTTACGTCTTGTGTGTTGTGAGCGTGTTGGGTGACGTAGACTAGAACGCTTACACACTTGTTGTTGTGATAGTTTGAGCGGTCGCACGTTGTTTAGGTCCGTGTCCCGTAGGATTCTAAGAAAGTCAATGTCCTAATCAAGTCGAGCACGCCCTGATTCAGTGGGTGATGGTAATGTGTCATCTAAACCTGACCGTGGGGGAGGTTGTGGCCTTTGGAGAGTAGAAGAGGAGGGGGGTGGATCAGAAAGTGTCACACTTTCACATTTAAAAAGTAATTCCTGAGACTGAAATGTTACTGTTATTTTGCTTTTTTTTTAATAAAAAAAATGAAGCATGCTTAAACACCAAGCTGTAAGCGCGCCTAGCAGCCCCCTCTCTTCCTCTCTAAGCATATCCCTACCACCCCCTCCCCTTGGTCTGGTGAGCTGTGGTTCACGTTAAATGTTTATAATCGCAGAGCCGGGTTTAGTGACGGCTATTAGGGGCAGATAATTTAGTTTGAAACTATATTAAACTTAGGGGAGGAAACTAAGAGGAGGCTGCTTTCACTGGTGGGGGGGGGGGGGGGGATTAGGGTAGGTGTTGGTGAAAATGAGGGTGGGGGAGTTATCGTCCTTAACGACCTACTGGTAGTGTTTTAAAGCAAATATTTTCAGTGGCATCAGTGGCGTATGATACGCCGCGGGTCGGCTCGTAGTAATTAATTTGTGTGAAAGGGGGCGTTTTAATAAGATTTGCCTGGGGGGGGGGGGGTGCAAATCGAAAACTTGAGGGGGGGGTGCAAATCGAAAATTTGAAAGTTTGTCCCCGTTAAGGGTCGCTACACCATTAAGTGCCGCACCGGGTGAGACCCGACCTCGCTACGCCACTGCATACACGTTATAAGTAGACATCAAAATCAAATTTTACTTGCCTCCTTCGTCTCAAAAGTTTGTACTAATTCCTTCAAGTTTGCAAGCGTAATCACATTTTATTGAAATTGTTGCTAAGTCCACGAATCTACTTTGTACTTTAAGACATAGCCCCCCCCCCCCCCCCCACACACCCTTAGAAAATTTTAAGTGTCCCCCC